CATACTTCGCGATTGTGTTCTTCACAAGAGCGAACCAGCCGCGAATAGCCTCTGCATCCTCGCATTGGGCCCTCTTGTAGTCGTACCTCCGAAAAAACCGCGTCCGCAATTGTGGTTGTCGTTTGACGAAGTTTAAGGCCCAGCGCTTCCCAACCGGAGGCGCGTCGCGATCAGCAAGCAGTCGATCAGCCATTTCTTGCACACCACGGATCCGGGGAGGGAATGATCGGGCATCTAGATCGAGAATGTGATCAACTAACGTCTGCTCTTCTAGCAAAGTAAGATTCCTCGAGTTCGGTATCCTGTCGCTTCGAGATGTAGAGCCCTTCAATCGTCGACTCAATGTTGCATGGCTGACCGAGTACATCGTAGCTGCAGCCCGTGCACTAAGCTCTGGATTGATTCTGATAGCTTGAAGGGCCAGCTGTATGCCTGACTCATTACTTCTGGATGCCATGATGTGTTGTGGAAGAAACGTCTCCATTTGTGTTGAAGCATCATCGGCGCAGTTTTGTGTCTCACTCGCTTGTCTGTCTCACTCGCTTATCATTCACGTTATCGGAATAGTTAAGTCGGGCGCAGATTCGTCTAAAATCTATAGCATAATACGAGGCTGATCCTTTCTATCGAAGGTTTAAAAGCTCTCGTTCGTATTATCGTTCTTCATCTAGTTCCTAAAACAGAGATAGAAGTACTTTCTCGAATCCGTGTAATCTTTCGAAGATACCTTGAGTCTCTGGTTTAAGAGTGTTCTAGTCGCTAGTTATCATAAAGTCGGTAAGATATGGTTCGAACTATGCGAGAGCTTTTCCCTTCAAAAAGGAGGCGGCATAGATAACTGTCGGAACGGCAAGGCTGATAAGGAGCAATGGGCAGGTATCGTGGGCTGGCTGGCGCCTGCCCTGGGCGAAGTGGGACAACTGGCTTAGTCACCACGGCCGGTTAAGGTGGGGCAACCACCCAGGCTGTCACCACCTACTTCGACCGACCCCTGCCCACAATGTAAATAGAAAGAACAAGAACAACAACAGCAATTATCACGGACATCGACGTGATTGTTGCCGAAGATACATCCTCATGAGGAAACGTATCACGCCTGTGATACCAACAATAACCTTTTCGGCTTCATCCTTAAAGTTCATTCCGTAGAAGCGTTGGTAGGCTCTGACTTGCGTAAGGAATCCCTTCAGTTATCCTGGGGCTCCGTCAAAGGCTTAAGGTGAGTTGAGTCTAAGCTTCTCTCGTCCGTTATGCGGCGTAGTAATGATGTTAGCAGCACCGAAGAGGGTATTAACTTCCTCCGTAAGGTAGTCTACTTCCTTGGTCTTGATCTCAAGTCGTTCCATGGCGTCATTAAACATCTATTACATCATGGCAATGTCGGAGTCGTTCTTCTTAATCTTCTTCTATAGTGCTATATAGACCTTACGAGTAAAGCTAATTTCTTCTTCCGAGTCTTCGACGTCCTTTATTTCTTCGTCCAGGGTTTTGGCGGGCGTAGAGGCCTTACCCTTAGAGTCGTTGGAGGAGGTGGACGGGGTAGATTTAGAAGACATCGTCGTTCTTACTATTAGCAGTTTCGTAGGGTCAACTTACTGAACAGGAGCAATTAAAGTATTACGAAGTAGGGGTAGTTTGCAGAAGTTGAGGCTGCGGAACTGGTAACAGTAATCGTAGTCGTGGAACCGGGAAAAGAGATAAGACACTCCCGCGCTCCTATAGGCCAATTGCGCTCTTGGCCGTCCTCGGAAAAGGCTTGGAGAGACTCATCGCCAGACGACTTGCCTGGATCGTAGTTAAATATCGTGTTCTGTACGATCAATAGTTTGAAGTACTCCCTCTTCGCTCTTATAACGACCTTATCGCAGCGGCTATCTACGATATCGAGTACGCCTGGTAAAGAGGCCTGGTTACCTCTATGCTTACGCTCGATATAAAAGGGGCTTTTGACGCCATGCTCCTAGGACGACTGGTCCGACGCCTTTGCAAATAAGGATGGCCGGAGAACCTCGTACGCTGGGTCTTAAGTTTTGTTACCGGAAGGAGAGCAAGAATAAGGCTTGATGGGGAGGTAGGAGACGTCTTCGGTCTCGAATACGGACTACTATAAGGCTCACCCGTGTCTCCTATTCTGTTCATACTCTATATTAAACCTCTTTTTAAGCTAGGCATAGCTCGCCTAAGAAGGAAGCGATCTCGTTTTAGCTATGCCGATAACGTCGCTATCTTAGTAAGCTCAATATTATTAGAGAATAACTATAATAGCCTAACTAAGGAATAGAAAGAAACCTTAGGATAGGGCGCGACGGAAGGAATCACTTTTGACCTTAATAAGTCCGAACTAATCTACTTCACTAAGAGACAAAAAGACGGAAACCTATTAATCATAGTAGGTTTGCCGGATGGGAGGTATTATATAATTTAGGCTATTAAAGAAGGCTCTTCTCTACGCTGGCTCGGCGTTCACTTCGACCGTAAACTCATATTCAAGAGTCACGTAAGAAACCTCTCCGTAAAAGCATATTAAGTAATTAATGGACTATGGGGACTAGGGAATACTATCTGGGGCGCGCCTGCATATTTACTTCGTCGAGCGATCACCTCTTATATATTACCCACTTAGTACTATATATCTAAAATATGGTAGCCCGGCAAGAGCCGGATAAAGAATAGACGTACTATCTTAAACGGGGTTGGTAGTCTGCTACACCAACTAGACGCGACGCAAACTAAAGCTATTAGAGCGATGGTCCCCGTATACAGAACTACGCCTGTACCGATCCTACAGCGCGAGGCGGCTCTACCCCCAGCAGAGGTAATACTGGACGCGAAGCTCTACACAGCGTCCACCAGAATCCATCGTCTGGACGAGCGACACCCTCTCCGAACGAGACTCAGGGACAAATCAGGACCAGACTCACGGCTACGACGAATGGCAAGCCTCGTAAGCAAAAATACCGAATACATCGATCCGTTAGAATTCCCCCCTTGGGAGCAACTAGCGGACTGGCAGACAGCCCTCGCCAGGGTCGGCTACGAACCTAATAAGACCAAAGAAGAACAGGCCCTCTCCTTTATAGGCAAGATAGCAACTTTCTCTAAGCGGGATATTATTATCTATACTAACGGGTCCTAGATATCGGACGGCAGTAATACCTCCGCCGGAGCAGGCTGGGTAGGGTACTAAGCTACACGGCAGATCTTCCGCGGATCCGAACTACTCGGCTCCTAAACTGAGGTGTATGACGCGGAGGTATATACTGCGTATTACGGCCTAATGGAAGCTACCCGGGCTCCTACGGCTCGTATGGTAGATAACGTCCATATCTACCTCGATAACCTCGCAGTCGCGGCTAGATTATACTCCTAGAGCATAGGAAGCAGCTAGGCTAGAGTTAGGGCCTTTAATAGGCTCTCTTCCTCCTGGACTCGGAGATAAAGAGAGAGCTGGATAACCCCCGGCAGGGTTTATGTTTGGTAGTGCCCTGGGTATACGGGAGTACTAGGAAATAAAGAAGCGGATGCTCTAGCCAAGGAAGCCTGCAAACTAATCCCAAAATCATAACCACAGCCCTTATTAGCGCACCTAGAAAGGCAAGCTAAAGTAGCTACCTTCCAAGCCTTTGCTAGAAAATGGCTGTCCTAATGCCCTCGGCAATATGCCGGCCTCGAGATAATTCTTCACCCCAAGCCGCCCGAACTCCGCCTCCCTCGGCACTTACTAGGAAGGCTATACGCAGCAAGATCCCATCATGGAGACTTTGCAGCATACTACGAGAGATTCGCTCATCAAGATGCGTTGCTCAACTGCAGCTGTGGGAAACCCAAGACACCAGTCCATTTTCTACTTCTATAAACATAGACGCAAGGCTATACCGCGCTACCTCCGCCAACGTATGGCCAAAGCAAGCATTGATTTCTTATTAGGTTCTACTAAGGGAGCCTCTCTTTTATACGAATAGATAGAGGAGACCAATTTCTTTTCCGAAATTTGCCCGAGTCATTGAACAGGAACGTTAGGTGAAGACGGTAGCCTGTAACATAGTTTAGATTAGCATAGACCATGTCGGCATAGCGCCCGGCACGTCCTTTTGTTACTAGACGTTAAATATATCATTATCATCATCACCTTTGAGGTACGGACCCCGTATGTTCAGAATACGGAATCCGTACGGTAAACATACGGATAAAGTATATGTTCAGAATCAAGACTTGTATATAGGATGGACTCGAGCCGGACTCTAGGACAGACTTTCCATAGCTCTTCAGCAATTAACTTCGTATCAGGATTAACCTCCGCTTTCAGCTATCACCTTGACAAGACTACGATTGATCACCGAAGCCTTACCAACCCTTACGATTGACAGACATAGCTTCCCTGAAGCTATCCCCGACTACGAATACTGTTACCAGTTCCGCAGCCTCAACTTCTGCAAACTACCCCTACGACTAGCTGGCCGTAACAAAGCTCTAGATAATAGACCGTATATACGGCTTTAGTTCCTTATTATAGGAGGAAATAAGGTTATTTAGGGTATTAGGAAGGAGGCGGTATACTATATCGTACTTAGATTAGGCCGTATTAGTATGTTAAAGTGCCGTGGTGGCGGTGGAGGGTACTTTGCTTCCCTGTGATATACGAGGATAGGATAGGAACGGCGCTAATGGGCGTGGCGGTAGCGTGTGCGGGCGTGATAGGGTTAAAAGGGGGTCCGGTAGCGAGCTGTCGGCATACCGAGAGCTTTTAAGGCCTCTCTGAGGCCTCGCGGGCGGTGCGCTCGCGTCTGGCTACGAGGCTATCGCGGGCGATAATTCGTAACTTGGGTGCAGGAAGTGGTGTTAGTGGGTGGGTGTAGGCCCGGGCAAGACACTAACAGTGGGTGTCTCACGCGGGTGATGCGTGCGGGAAGTGTTTTTCTGAAAGTCAGGGCTCCGGTGTTCAATTTGTAGATTTCTTGGATAATAGGGGGAAGGAAGCTCCCCATTCTAGAAGCCCCGACTCAGTGACCACCATACTCCCTCCGATGATTATCCTTGGGGACCCAGCTCGCACTCAAATCTTGAGCGCTGTTGGTTCCCAGTGATACGAAACTTCTCAATTCATGTGATCCTTCCACGGGAACAATGTTGCCGTCTTCATCTACGGCCGTTACCTTGCTAAGGTGGAATACAGCTGGGATGAAAGTGACGAGAAAAATGAGAGCGGCATCAAAGACGTACAGAAACACCTCGGTTGTTTGTAAGCTGAAGACATAGATGATTAGTGGCCAGGAAAAGAAGTCCAAGATTCGACATAACTCACTATCCATCGTAACCTTGAATGTACTCAATGACGCAAAAAAGTGAACGGACCAAGACCAGTACGCTGACGCCATATAATATCCAAAGAAACTTCTCCCAAGAGGCGGCGTGTCTCAGATCTTGCCCTCGCTCTTGAGCAATACGCCAGTGGAGGACCGCTGTGACGGCAATGAAAAGAGCAAAGCCAATGAGCTGAATGAAAAGACCAACGATGATGACGTTTTCTCCCAGCTGAATCTTGCTCGGCGACTTTGCATTAGTGAGGATACCCCCACCTCCACTCTGTACCAGAAAAGAGAGGACATCGTTGGTGATGAAGACCTTAGTAAGAATCGTCGGTTTGATTGGGCTGTAGTCTTGGCCGTTTGATACGATAATAAGCCGTCCTGGCATGCCGTAGATGGATGCCGCGAGCAATGACGGGGCGATGAGCAGCATGAGAGATTGTAGTGCGTAAGGCATCACCTGCCAATTCGGTGTTTGGGCTGCCGATATGGCACGAGCAACGTACCCAAGGATTTCGCAGACAATGCCGACGATAAATGGGATGAAGAAGCGGGTTCGTTTCTTGTAAAGGAGAATCGCGTGAGCGGCGAGAGTTGAAGAAAACAGGACGACGAAGACGCAAGCGGCAGCCATCGAGGGGTTGTATAAGTAAAGAGATGCCATGACCTGGCTGTCGCTTCGGTGATGTAGCGATGTCATGGTGGTTCGGGTATCGGCAGAAAATAGTTTGATATTTATGATTGCGTCTCAAGAATGACTCTTCGTAATTGATTGAGAAAGGTAACGGCTTCTAGGATGTTCGTTTTGTAATTTCTTCAATGGTCTGTCATTCCTCGAACTTCTCACTTATATACATGAAAATTTCTGGCCAGCGAGATGCCGGGTCACTCACAAGAAGAATTAGCTAGCAAGTTTTCTCTCGGTCTGGATTCTGCCTTGTGATATTCAACTCCGCTTCTGCCCTAGAATAGCACGATTGTGGATTGAGCGTATAGAATTCTCCGTCCTTGAGGGTATGTAGCGTCTTCCATATAGAAGTTGTAACCCCCCTGGGCTACGGTTTGCTAGAGTCAATTTTTTGATCAACATCCATTGTGGTGGCGCAGTAATTGTTTGGTGATCGTCAATTTCCTTTCGAAGTCAGAAGTTGCGTCGCTCCTCTTATCAGACTAGAGAACTTCGATTTCGGCCCTTAAAAAGATGGATCCTAGTTCGCAAGTGGCCAAGGGCCCGAGATACACGTAAATGCTTGTATTATGGAGAATTGTGGAGATACGCGTATTCAGTCCCGAGTCATCAGGGGTATGAATACAACGTCAATGAATGCTCAGCCAGATAATTAAATAGTTGGACCCTGCTTTGTGCAGCCCGGCAATGTTGTCAGCCGCTGACCGGACTTAACGCAATCCTTAACGTCAGATTCAGAGGGATGTTCGAATCATGACATGGAAAGCCTTATCCTTTTCATGGCCGGCATTTCACCTCTTGAAAGCAGCTCAAGAGAAACAAACTCAAAAGAAGCTCTCCCAAAACATATCCAGTCGCAATGTTACGTCGTCAACACAAGAAGAGCCGTAAAGGATGCACTGAGTGTAAACGGCGACATATGCGGGTAAGCTATTCCTCGACCCAGCATTGCCATTGGGTCTCTTCCATGTCCCTTCTCAAGTTATCTCTTGTGCATACTTAGTATCCAATAGACTGACATCCTCTGGGACAGTGTGATGAACAACGGCCCACATGCTTCAACTGCATCAAGGCCGACCGTCTCTGCTCTTTTGCCGACGAGCCATACATAGGGGTAAGTCAGCCACACCCGGCCGCATAAAATACGTGTAACTCACCAACTCAAACAAGGGCGATGATAAGTCCCCTGGATCGGATCATCATTCTGCTGGGGCATCGCCAGATATCCAGCAAAACGGAGACCCCGACGCTGTCAACATGCTTCACATGGAACTGCTCCTCCATTTCAGCTTTGACGTCTACGTCCCCGAATTTGATGCCAGCCTTGGGAGACCTGCGACCGAGCTGGTTTTGAAGATCGCCCAGGAGGCCCTTTCTTGATGCAAGGGGTCCTGGCCATGTCTGCGCGCCACCTTTCCATTATCCGGCCCGAGAGGTCGGCGCTTTACCTCGATCAGGCAGTTAGGCTACAGACCAGAGCGATCAAAATGTTCAACATGACGCACAATGAAGGAGGCAGGGAGAAATGTGTAGCCCGGCTTCTGTTTTCCTCCGTCCTCGGCCGCCACATCTTGGCCGACGTGCTTCGTGATGACGGCTTGGACTTCCCCAATTTCCTGTCCCGCTTCACTCAAGGCGTCAGAATTCATGGCGGAGTCAAAGCTGTCGCCGCTCAACAAAATTGGGTTTCACTTCTAGAGACAGAATTTGGTCCGTTGATGACCAGGGGGTTGGCTGCGGATATGTGCGACCAAATCATTGAGCCAAACGAGGTTTTGCAGTCTCTCATAGCTCACTCACCCAACTTTAATGAGGAAGAAAGGTCAGCGTGTGAGATGGCACTTCGACTAGTAGATACGGGCCTCCACGACCTGAGAGATCCGACTAGGGTTGAGTGTGGACGGCGGATGATGTTTACCTGGTCGATCATGGTACCGGATCGTTACATTTCCCTTCTGGAACGCCAGATTCCGGAGGCGCTGGTGGTGTTAGCAAGATACAGCATGTTCCTGCACTTTGGTAGGAGCTTTTGGCAGATCGGAGAAGGTGGGCCGTATCTTCTTCATGCCATCAGTGCTTATCTAGGACCAATGTGGCAGCCCTGGCTATCGTGACCGGAAGAAATCCAGGATGTTGCGTACGGTGCATCGTCGGGGACGGAAGGAAATCTTCATGTATGATGATCTGAGAAAGAATGTATATTCAAAATTTAATAGACATTATAGACAGAAATCGTATGAAATCAGCTTCTTGCCATCCGAAAATGTTCTCAACTCGGCTCAAAACACCGAGAGCAAATAGCATCAGAGATTTGATGACCGATCAATCTATGGAATCTCTCGATCCTCAATCCTTCAGATCGCTCGGGCTCTGACCAAGATGGTTATGAACAAATGATTGAACTGTTCACAACTTGGGGTTGAATTTGCCACGGATCCGCTCTCCAAAGACATAAAATGACACAGAATTGGAACAAGACTCAGTGCAATGAATCCCAATAAACTGTTCCCCCAACCAAGGCCCAAAGCCTCATACATTTCCAGCCCGGACAAGGGTAATAAGGCACCAAGAAGCGACCTCAAAATTGTCAGTGCCGCTGTCACAGACGCGGCATACTGCGGATAGGCATCAATGAGATAGTTTTGGATGCAGGTTTATCATGTTGTCAGCACATGTTTACAAGAATTATCAAACCGTTTCAGACTTACCATCGTGCCCATCAGTCCGATACACATAACCATGACGCCGAACATTGGAACAATCCAATGAGTCCCATTCTGGACCGTCCAGCCGTAAAGGAACAAACCGAATGGCAAAGCTAGCGCACAAGGAACAGTCATGATTGGTTTCAGTCGGTCTTCGGGCTTGTGCTCCAGACCTCTGGCTTTTGTACGCTTCACGATCAAGTCTGTCAGCTGCCCGAAACCGATCACGCCAATGACCATGCCGATACCAGCGGGAAGAAAAGAGAGGCCACTTGAGCCTTCGTCAAATCCATAGTGCTCTGTGTAGATGCCGTAGGGTATATATGGCGTTAATTGCTGCCCGTAATTAACGGCGTCGTTTTTGCGACAGTAGACAAAGGTGAAAGTTGCGACCAGGAGGTACAGAATTCCGTAAGATATAGCGATGTATAGGGCGTTGAGAGTTACTACTGGAGTGGCTACTAAGAGCTTGATCGGGCGAATGGCAGCAAGACGGAGTTTCTCTGACATAGGGGTCTTTTGCTCGAGCCTGCTACGGATCTCTTTATTTTGAGTCTTCTTCCGAAGACGACTGGCCTTGCTCTCCAGTAAGGCAGGAGGGTACGTTTCGCGTGATCCAAGAATTGAGACAGGTATGAATGTTCCTGCCTGCAGAAGCAGCGTGAGTTTCGAAAGGTCTCAACTATGTGTCGTAAGGCTGAGAGAGATGAACCCACCAGAATGCTAATAAGCCAAAACACCCACCTCCATCCAGCGGCGCGAATGAGATAACCACCAGCGACCGGCCCTACACATGGGCCCAACAAGGGACCCAGTGCCCAGATGGAGACAGCCCTGCCTCGCTTTTCGGGCGGCATCATGTCTGCGATGCTTCCGCTTCCAATGGTGAGGGGAACAACGCCAGATAGACCCATAAAAAGACGAAAAGCAAGCAACATCCCGATGCTATTGCTCAATGCTGTCCCAATCGTGAATACTGTGAAGAGGATATTCCCGAAGGTGTAGAGATATCTACGGCCGTAAAGTTCACTCATCGGGGCGACAAGGAGAGGACCAAGGGCAAATCCAAGAACGTAGATCGAGAGCAGAAAGGTGGCAGTGATAGAGCTATCGTCGTGAAATTCTTTCATGATAAGGGGAATGCCAGGCGCGAACATCGAGGAACCCAAAGGCCTGAACAAGTCAGTACCAACCATGAAGAGTATTTTTAATAGCTAGAAGCCTGAGAATTACTAACGTGACTATGCTGAGAAGAGACAAGATGGCGATGTTCAACCCCTTCTTCTTATCTGACCAGTTCAAGGGATGCTCGGGTCGTCCTGCCCGCCCCAATCGACAACAAAAGCTTCTCCACTCACTTCGTGGAGAGCTTCGGGATCATTGTTCTGTATGGAGGACTTCGAGGCAAGATTTTGAGCTTGTGACTCTTTCGTATTTGGGCGGATCATCTCGAGGGCTTTAGGAGCAGCTTTCGAATCCAATGTTTCTGCCATGACTGCAAACCAGAAATCTCGCTCTAGAAGAGAGAAGTTGAGGATGCTCCTGCACCTATCGTCTTTTAATGTGAAACAGCCCTTGTTATCGGCTCTGGTGATCCGCAGGACAGCAGGCGCACAATCCCTGAAACACGCGTATTCGAGGTGGGAACGTTTAGCTCCCGTGGCCATTGCAGGCATTCGGCAACAGCTCCGAGTTAAGCTATCATGCGGAATGTAACCAATTAGCTTCTAGCGGCATGCTGACTGCACTCCAGTATTTTGGATTCAGGGTAAGAGAGATCCGGGACCCCACGATGGCTGCATAACACCCAGCCGTAGCTCGTGAGCTGAGCTGATCAGTGATTTTCAATCTCGGCTCGTCGAAAGTCTTTCAGGATCTTATCGGATTCAGATTCAAGTGGAAAATGTCTTAAAGTTCATCATTAATGGAGAAAGGAAAGAGATTGATCGATGTGCTACGACGTAAGTTCACATACTGGATAGGTATTCGACATTCCCTCTTGACAACGCACTTGCACTATACTCACTCCAAGAACCCTACTTCCGTACACAACGTAGTGAATTTAATTGCTTTTGATAAATTCTCGAATATGATTGCACCGAAATCAGCACGAGTTGAGGGATCTTTGCGTTGCGAGCGTAATGACAGGAAGACTCGAACCTGTAATTGCTTACTCACAGTGTACGAGACACTACCGAGTACCTTACACTGTACGCCCATCCGTGATCAGCAATAACAATATCACTTTCTTCTGTTACATGTGTTTATCAACTGTTCATTTCATATGTAGAATGTCCCAGTTCGCCTTTATTGATGTATCTAATTATCAACCGGGGGTAGAGGAATTGCAGTTGGCTCTTCCTCGCCGGGGGCCAGATCAGGACCGTCAGGGTCCGGAATGTCTTTAGTACAGTCCTGACCGTCCTTCAAGCCGTTGTAGAATGACTGTTGATAAGCCCCATCAAGAGATCCTTGGAGATTGGCATCGTTAAACGGCACTTGTGTCTTTTCGTACTTAACGTCAGTCAAGGCTTGTCTCGCCGGACTAGGTAGCGAGCTCCACGCGATTAGAGTGCGATTCGAGGCCGCAGATATGTCTGTATCTTGGAACGGTGCCATAGCGTTATCGTGGATCTGAACGATCGGGTTCGTGGGCGAAGCTCTGAATTTGAGATCACCAACAGCTGTTGTACCCCATGTCAAGTGATCGACCGTGTATGAGATGCCAACGACCCGGTACGAGGAGGGTTTCTCGGCGTTGCAACCCCATCGGTTTATCCAGACCACAACGCTGGCCCAGTAATGGCGGTGTCCTTCGTTATCTCCCTCACCCCATCGAACCTTGGGGAAATAGTAACTGTAGATGATAGCATCACGACCGTGACTGCTTCCATGGCGAGCGTAGACTTGGCCGGCGCCGCCATTACCACAGCCCGATCTTCCGCCACCAGCAGGCTTTAATCCTGCTCTATTGAATATTAGGCATGACTCTAATCTGCACGCTTATGGCAATGCAAGCTTACCCAAGAGCTCCACTGGCATCGACTGCGGGATACGGATCACAACCTCCCGTCACAGCGAGGAACGGGTTGAATCTGCGCTCTAGGCGGCCATCTGTTCCTGGCGAAGAGTCCTGTTTGAAAGGCGTGATCATATCGTGGTTGACCCATGTATGGCCACCTGGATCATCGCCATCACGAGGCAGGATGGCGGATAGGGCAGCCTCAGAAAAGAGTAGGCATACCGTAAGAAGTTGTTGAGTTCTCACGAACATGTTGTCAGTGAATGTGTAAGCTGAGCCGAGACAGAAACTCTGGCACTGGCAAGTCCTTTGTCAGACAACATCTCGAGAGGTGCCTATACTTAAGAGATCATAGTAGCCATGTTGATCCGGGAAATCAGTTGAGGATTGCGATTAGTCCTGCCCAATCCGTTTCCACTTCTCCGTTGCTGTCCATTTGAGTTTAATTAGACGGCATCGCCGGCCGCCGCACGGCACGGCACGGTGGCCAGTGCGGCAAGAAGCTTCCTGGTCATGGCGAACAAAATAACGAGAATCAGACTATGGCCTGCGCAACTTGCACAATTACATGCCTGTCTGCCTTCCGCAATATCGACAGTCTTTGCGTTCATCTAGCCTGCGAGAGCTAGCCGAAAGACTTCCAAGATACACACGCCGATTCATCGAACTTCCTCTACAAGTGGGGGTGTTGTTTATTGTAAGTTTTCTTGGCGGGTTTGGACCACGTAAGATTAGCAGTTCTTGCTACGAGTACGAGGTACCTAGGCAACTCCGTCTGATGACATTCTCACGTTGACGCCGAGCACGCCAGGAATGAGGCTACAGCTGACATTGAAGAAATGAAGCACTTCAAATAATACTAGACGCTAGGAAAACTTAAAGCCAATGGCCATTTCCGCAATGTGCTCATACATTCTGGATGCGCCGGAAATCCGAACTGAGTCTGGCACCTCTTTACGTTATTATCTAAACGACATTCGACTTACATCCGTCTTCTTCTCGTCGAAGCTTTTCCTCCCTACTTACTCACTGTGTCTCTGAAAGCTACCAGAGCTTATTTTACACAATGTCAAGCACGTCACACTCCTTCGGGGCAGGCAGCCTCCGCTTCCTGTTATCATGGGTAGTCCTCCAAGCAGCCCTCGTTGGCGCATCCCCAACACCAGTCGCGAGATCGGACACTCTTCCCTATCCTGACGATGAACCGCTCGCCAAGCGAGTCGTGGGCCAGTTCCCCAACTTTGCCAATGAATACTATGGCCGTGTTCAAAAAGGTGTCTACCTTCGTACGCTTATGCCGCTGAGCGACACGGCTGCGACCCGCCATAATCGCGGGGTCAGCGTCGCGAGCCCGTGGCAGAATCAGGCCGCCGTCGAGCAATGGGGATGGACGCGCGAAATCAACTGGGCGCCGTTCAACACCAACGGCGGCGATGAGTTCAGTGACGATGACGACTTTGACCAGTTCGAGACCTCGCCTGGTTTCGGGAACCTCATGGACGATGTCTTTGCGGACCCGAGTCACCCAGTAAACCCGATGGAAAACGGGTTATCCACATTCCTGCATGCAAATGACTTTACACTCCGGGATGGATCGTGGGGAGAGGTACGTTATGAGATTGGACGCCTAAAATCCACTGTTTTAGGCCTTCGAAGTGCTCAATGCTTAACTAATCGCTCTTTTCTTCCAGCCATCGCAAGCCTCTTATCAAAACGTCTTCAATCCGCGCTCGGGTGCAATTATCTTTGACAGAGACTTCAGCCCCCGACATGTAATAGCCGAAAACGGCGCCGGCGACGTCCCAGAACTTGAACAGCTCTCCGACCTCGCATACTTCCAATGGCTCGATGCCTGCGCAGCAAAGCGCGTTCGTCCTACCAACATCAACCTCATCTTCCAGTCTCACATCACCTACGTCCCCAGCTTTAGGCTCATCTTACAGGCTCTGTATGACGGCGGGTACCGGAGTGTGCCAGGTTGGGGCCAGAGGGCGACGTTCTCTATGGATTCCCGGCCGGGACAAGCCATCCTCGGGAGCACGCACGGGGCGGCCCCGGCCTTGTTTCTCATTCAGCACAAAGCGACATTTGGTCAGAAGGTGATCACGGAGGTGACGGTGTGGGGAGGCGCGAGTGGCTTTAGTTTTAAAGCGGACCCGGAAGCTGAGACTCTTAACTTGAGATTCGCCGTTAGGGACGCCTAAACACAGAACCCTCCAAAACTAGGTAAGTTCAAGAATATGAATAGAGAATATGAAGTGGTTTAGAGACGGTTGTTATCTAAAATACGCGGTTTCAATGTTTGTTCCGAGCTAGACTAAACAACAAGAAATCCATATATCAAGACCATCTTTCCATCAATGACATGCCTACTAGTCCAAAGCTCTTCGAGCCAACTATGGGTCAGCCTTCATATCCGGCATAAATTTCGACACAGAGTTGCGATAGGTTTTAGAGATTGCGGCAAGTTGTTCGCCGCTCCACCTTGCACATCGTACTGCCTCAGATCCTGGATAGCACACGCGAAATCTTTGCTTGGATTCGCATACTTTGCCCCACTCCGACTGCCAGAACTCAGGTTATCCAGAGCATTTTGCATCCCTTCGTAAGTTGCAATCTGATCGACGAATTGCTGAGTGATAGTCTCTTTACGGCGAGCCTCGGGGCCTTTCCATGCATTGGTATAGTAGTATCCCAGCTTGGTGCAGTGGATAAGAAGCGCCGCGAGGCCAGCTGCGAGAGCGGTGGCAACCGACGAGCCTGTTCGTCCATTCCTAGTGACGAGATCGCTGATTTGAGAGCCCAAAGCCTCTGATATGGAGTCGGATTCATGGCCGTCATCTTCAAAAACGTCCTTGATATCCACGCCTGGGAATAGGTAGTTCAGCCCATTTTGGTCGGTGACTTCTGGCCAGACCTGCCCGTGAGGATCAGCAGCACCAATGCATAGCACTTTGGCGTTGTTGATTTCTCGTGGAAACTCTCCTCTACCGTTCTGGCCGCGTCCTTGAATCCCATCGTCGCTCGCTGCGCAGAACATGATTGGTATGCGACGGCGTTGGCTGCCGGTGCCCTGACATGCGCTCACGACATTGCGCAGCTCCGTCAGTGTCGCTTCTGGAATCTTGTTATTGTCGTTACGGATGGTCCAAGACATGCTGATGATGTCGACGTCCTGCTCTATGGCCGCTTTTATAGCCTGCGCAAGTTAGTCAGATGCACAGCTTGTTTGGCTGCTGCTGCTTGAGGATCGCTTCGATATCACCAAGCTCAATGACAGAAATTTGCTTGAAGTGAGCTTTTTAACATGGAAGCATGCTTACCTTGGCTGCGCTGCTTGCATCAGGTACTCGACGATTGCTCGATGCGTCTCGGACAGTCTTCAAACGATAAGGTATGATGTCGGCGAAAGGGCAGATGCGAAGAATTGTTTTGGCCATGAAGGTTCCATGTCCACTGACAGACGAGTAGACTGGGTTCGGTCCATCAGGCGTCTGGTCGAAGCTTCTACCTTCCAAGAAGCGCGACTCTAGACAACGCATGCTTTTGCTGAAGAGATCAACTCCGTCGTCGATCAGTGCTACCCTAACTCGACGCAAGTGAGGATCCCTGAAGTCATAGTCTGGCAGCTCCTCCGGCGTTGGGATAATTGAAACAAACTCCTCAACGTACTTGAACCATGGCTGTTCTACAGATTCTGTGGCAGAACCCGCAGTACGATCGGACCCAGGTACGCCTGTGGGTGTAACTCTGCCCATATCAACGATTTGAATAGCTGGCAGAAGCTTGAAGTCTTCGAACTGCTCATTTGCTTGGGCCAGCGTTGACTGTCTGGACAACAGCGTTTGCACTTGCGCTTGAGTACTAGTTGAGTCCTTGTTCGTCTGTCCCATCTTCGTCAGTCGTCGCCTTGGTTGTCTCATGCGCCTTGAGAAGCTTTCAATGTTCTTTCTTATGCGACTTTCCTCGATCGATGGCGCCGTGTAGTAGATATACACTCTTTGCAGATGTTCAAGTGCAGGCAGTCCCTCGGACTCGCTCCATCCACGAAGCACAGAGTTCCGTCCACTCCAATGCAGGTGAAGTTCGCGAACCTGCGGCGTCGCTGTCTGAATCACCTCCGGGCAGAGATCTTCCTTGTGCCAGTCGAGTACCTCGACATCAAAAGATGGATACTTCTTTTTCCCGTGCACAAAACCCGCCAGAGCCTTTTCAATTTCTTCGTCTCGATGAGGATGGTCGCCATCATAAACAACGACCTTGAAGATCTTGCGAACACCCCACTCCCTAAACCAGTTAAAGAATTGAAGATGATCTGTGTAGCGTGATGAGCCGTTAGGCGTTTTCTGGTCATTCTCAAGAAGGATCGTAGCCGGCTGAAGAAAGACATGACGAAGAGTATGGTAGTGATCCCGTTTGCCGAAATAATTTCTCACTTGAGCCTCTGTCATGTCCCGGTATTCTTTAGCCGTATCCATAGCAAAATAATAATCTGGATCCTCGAATATCAGCATTCATACAAAAATGACGAATCAACTGGTAGAAAAGGCTCCGGTTCCTTATCACTGACATTAGGAGAAGAAGAAAGGGGGTGTTTTGACACCACGCGGACGTTTGAACCAAGCTCTGAAAAGCTGATCTGATTCCACGTGGGCAACATTTGCAGGGAATCCTTCCAGAATCTGACACTTACGCTTCTCATGATCTCCAAAAAATCGCTGGATCTCGGTGTCAACCTCCCGGAAGGCGTTCTTCGTCTCGTCGCTGTGGAAAACTGTCGATCGCAGAAAGCGAACTCCGAGCTCCTTGCAAATTTCGTCACTGGCTTTGTCTGCAGCCTCAACATCTTGTCTCGTGAAACGTATCTCTTTCGGTTTTCTCCGACTTGGAGGACCTCCGTTGCGCAATAGCGGACGACGCGAAACCTGGCCTTCTTTTCCTCGCCCCTCCAGAACAGATGGCTGATCCATGATCATGGAGGGGCGACCAGGCTTCAAAATGTTTGGTTTTCCTGGTCTACCAGCATCGAAATTCGAAAACAAAGAAGGGCCTCGGGGATAAGAAGCAGGCACGGGACCTTTCAACATCATCCCGGGCTTGGCCTGTGTTCTCTCAAGCCCCCTTTCGCTCGCGATCTCAGGGGCAGCTAGTCGGTCAGAAGGGTCCGGTTGTGCCTGCGCAGATGCACTCATTTGTCGAGCATACTGATCATGCCAAAAGTCTCTGGTGGCAATATGCCACCTGTACACGCTGTACTCGGGCTGACGCAGAGAGCTATTTGCTTTCCACGGCTGAAGCCTTACCTCTTTAGTCACCAAATCGCAAATGCTGTCGGGGCATTTGTCCAGGATTAGCATCACGAGTGCTAGTTGACGTTCGGGGTCGCTGATACACAAGTCAAAACGCAGAACTTGCTCGAGCGGGCTCAATTCGTCAATGCTTTTGGAAAGCATCTCTGGGGCCGCAAGGTTGACGAGAATCTCCAGAAGGTCTATATCGACCGGGAGCAGCTCGTTGGGTTTCTCACTGAAGTTGAAGGCAGCTCTAATAATTTCTCGGCCAGCTTCCATAGTGTCGGGGTTCTGCTCGTTGTCTTCAAAGCAGGTTTCAGCGAGACCGAAGGTCGCCATAGCCAGTGAAGCTAAGTTGTGATTCTTCATATCTTGAGCCATGAATTCGATGACGACACGAACCATTTTTCGTGAGCGTCTTCTGATGAATTCTAGCAGAGGAATGGCTCCACTGAGATTCATCAGAATTGCTTCTGGAAACTTCCTGAGGATGGCGTTCAGGACTTCCGCAGGGCAATTGTCTGCCCTCTTGGCATCGCGAAGGAATTGATGAAGGACCGTGCCATCTTCGTTGATCTCGTTGGCATGGTCCTCGACGAAGCGGACAAGGTCATGAACACGTTCCTGTTCAAGATGGGGCTCTCGCTGCTCGCTCGCTTTAATGGCGTCGATCTCGTTCGATATGTGATAGGAGACGTCGACAAAGTCCAATTCAGAAGAAGGAGGCGTAACGTCCATTGCTGCAAGAGATCGTCGGCGAGACCTTGACTCTAGTCATAGGACGAGCTTCTGAAATGTGTCGAATGACTGCGTAGAGCTCAGAACAACAATGTGCTGGTCTGCAAGTTAACTTAGGCAGAAAGGGACTACTTGTCAAAACATCAGTTGCGGTACCAGGCCGGAGTTTAGACGGCGAGGAAATTTTCTTGCGCTAGGTTTTTAACTCTGTATTTAGACGTCACTGGCCGTAATGATGAGACGCCGAGACCATGGTCCATGTACAAGGTGGTCGCATGTCAACATGGCCATTCTTTCCTTGCCGTCAACATTTAGGTACCTACGCGACACATTGCGGCACCACCCGACTATCCGAGTCTAGTTGTAAAATGCGTTGGAAAGAGCGGGCGTGTTGGTTGGAAGCTTCCCCTGCATATGCGGCCAAGCCAATATTGCACCCATCTCTGCATGTTTGACTCTCAACTCGCTGCTCCTCTGCGCCAACGTGCCCCTTCAACTTATTGCTTTAACCTACTGGCAACTACGGTTCCAACTTCCAAGTCGTCAGTATGCGTTCTAGCCCAGACACGCTAGACTACTCGCAAACAAGCTTCAAGGTCCAGTGTTAGGAGTCGCATCCACAAATAACCTCACGCAGCTTTGGCGGCACAATTCATGAATTCACAGCCACCTTGTGTTGGTTATTTCGACATTCTCCATATAAGCGCCTTGTTTTCGTCCATAAAAGAGTGGACTTCCCCTCCCGGTCACAATTCTATCTGCGTCGCCATCAAACAACACTGCCTCGTTAACAACCAAGCAACCATTTGTTCACAGCTTCCTCGCACCATCCCTGTTACCTCTCGGAGACTCAGTACTAGTCAAAATGTCAGATACCGAATCAGATGACGTCTCGGACGATGGTACAGTGATCGACTTCGGCTTGGGTGCGGTCAGTGAGGCCCAATGCCACTTTCGGTTCAACTCAGACGGCATCTATACCCCGCGCGAGAGTGGAGTGTTGGTTCGTTGTTCCTTAGCCGACATGGTTCACGGCCAAGCTAGTCCGGACGATACCACCCCATGCGTCCTCGTTGTCTTTGATTTCCAGCTGGACCGGATCAAGGCGACGCGAAGGATACATCAGGCCATCATCAGCCTCACTCTCCCTGAGGGCATTCGCGTGCGCAAAGGGGGTATCTCGCCGAAGGGAAGAGTTTCATTCCGTCCACAAGCAAAGACTCTTTCGCGTAGCAATGAGAGTAGTCTGTCCGCAGGCTTCAGTTATGGTGCCTCCCTTGAAGGTGGTGTCAAACACAGCGAAACGATCAGCTTGGACACGATGGAGTACGCCACTGTCAATGGATGGACAACACGACAACCGAAGGGCAGGGTGAACGACCAACGGCCGCATAATTGCGTCAAATGGGCGCTAATGGAGAACCCCGCCCTGCCCAAAGACGGTGTCCCTCCTCATTTTCGTGCCACTGTCTTGCTTGAGCGATACCTTGGGAATATGGCCGACAAACCCTTTGTCCTTGAAATGGAAATCAAATCTACAGTTGATCTGAAAACATCGATCGAGAATCTGACGGACGTGTTTGGCAAGGTGCCTCGAGGTTGTCTGAAAGTTGATCCCAACAAACAATCCACCGAAAACCTGCGCAAGTATGACACGAAACAGCTTGCGGATGTAGTGGAAGACCTATGGGCATTGTCTTCTGGCACCTTAGCAACTGGAGAGTTTTCAAGATACCTTGTAGAGTAGCGGTTGAGCGGCACGAGCGGGTAGTTACTTGATATTCTTGGCGAGTTGCATGTAAACGCTTTCATCACATCGCATCAAATCCCTGCACGTAACCTGTCGCTTAGCTTCGCAACAGGAACCCCGAATTAGGTCAGAGATAGCCACAAACAGGCGCAGCTGGCTTCCATGTACCTACAAGTACCCAGCAAGTTACCTTGTGAATGCATGATCTGCAGTTGGACTGTTGGACAAGAATCAAGCCAATCTAAGCAATCAGCTGATGTGTGAGTGGCCGGCCTAACGCGAATCTCTTCTATCTCCCAGCCCATCCTTCTCGGAATCTTTTCTGTTGCGATGTTAGCATAACTTAGGGACTCTCTTTTCCAAAGGGTTATAGACGACGGCCACTAGGACGGAGATTGTTCAAAAGATACGATCATGGAGTTAATCAAGAGATTCGACGTAGAGGATGGTGACCCAGACAAAGAGTATGTTGCGCAACACTACTGTCCAGACAATGCTGCTCTTTCATCAAAAGTTCTCTTGAATTGAAGCCAAGATTTGGAGTATCATAGTCACTAATTAATTATTTTAAAGCATCCTTGTGGTCCACGGATTGTCGCATAGCGGTGGCAGCCCTTGGTATGCAACTGCGACCGAACCGGCCTGGCTGAGACAGGATCTGTTCAATGATAGCAACTCCAACATCATTGCTTTCAACTACGACAACGTTTTTGATAGTGATAAGCCGATGTGCACCCGATTAGGGTTGGAGTCCGTTGCCCGCCAGCTTCTAGACGATATTGTGGCCTGGAAGGCATCGGAGGTCAGTACCTCTCATCAATATACCCATCGTGAGACATAACTGCTAACTGCTTCTTCTCCAAAGGGAGATCGACCATTTGCGATTCTATCTCACGACATAGGTGGTGTCCTTGTTAAGATGGTACGTTGAGCTACACTCGTCTACAGATCGACTCTATCAATAGAACCTAGGACTTATCGCACATTTGATGCCAGGCTTTAGTCATCGCCTCTGGCGACTTGGGCAAGTACAGCCAAGTGTTGTACTCTGTGTATACTTTGGTAAGTTGACCTTTAGTCTGTAGCTACTCAAAAGACCACAAATCTGAATAGGTTAAAGGTTTTTATCGGTTGCCCACACAAAACATCAAGCATTGAGTCACTCGCCAATGGCTTCGCGGCTTTGATCTACAACGCTCGCAGCATCCCCGACCTTGGCCTCCTTCAGGCTGCCAAACTATGCGCTACAGTAACCACTGATGTAAATCATCTATTTTTGAACAGCAATGTACCTTTAAGAGTCCAAATCATCAGCGTTTTCTCTGAGGCATTGGATCCGTTGGACCGAGTAAGTGCATATAGTTTGTGATATTTTGACCTTTCTCGTAGCTTGGAGCCTACTTCGTTCTCCTCAAGAACGGTCACGCTAGATTCGAGACCGGTCTTATGATCTCTCAGAATTAATGATTCTATTCATTTCTAATTCCTTTAGATTTTTGACGAGTTCACTGCCACGGTTGACCTCAGTTGCGAAACTCGGATCGGATTGCCCTATCCTCACAACACCCTGCTCGGCCATGAACTCGAAGACAGGACGAATCAGCTACTCAAGGGAAAACTTCAGCTCTCAACGACAGGTAACGGGCCGAGATACCCCTGTGCACTGGAATTGTATCCTCATCGCTAATCGACGCTTTTTACAACAGAAAGCTTTAGTTGCCAAGGCTTACAAATTCTGCTTTCATCTATCTCTCCGACACCTACGTTTCAAACCGGGCTTGAATTTAACACGTCGGATAAGTTGGGGCTCGAAGAAGACCTTGACGAATGGATAGAAGATCATGCTTCCAGCAACATCCGATACCTAGTGGCTTCTGCGGAGTCATCCCCGTCAAGTACGATAGGCAGCTTCGTTCGCTTGGTATCAGAAGCAAATAACTTGTCTGCAGCCAGAACAGAAATCCGGGCTTTTGTCTACCAATTTCGAAAGCTTAAGTTACATCCAGAGATTCAAACTGGATCCCACTGGAACAGCATGCGACTAGTACTGGAGAGCTTCCTAGCTCAGGGTATTGCGTACCTCTCTCCTCGGAATCAGATGGAGCCGGATACGGGTGTGGCAAGCTTGTTTTCATTGTTCGAATCAGCCTGCTCGTTTACGAAGCCACTGGGAGAAGACTCACTAAAGGTTCTATTCGTCGCTCTGAACGTTTGTCTTTGGCGCAACAGCATTCGCCCTATTTGGTCTATTTGGAACCTAGAACATTGTGGCGGCGATGCGGAGGTGACCAGACTCCTCAGTAACATCAAAGAGCTTTTCCGGTTCACCACGTTCAAGTCTGCAATACTTTTTTCCTGGTCGGGGCATTCGACATTAAACTTCGAGGGATGCATGCAGGATTTCGATATTCGTCCTTTCCAACTAAGGACCCGATATCAACGGTCTCAAAACAAGAGCAACCAGATCTCTATCGACCTGTTAGCTCCAAACGGCAGCTATACGTGCTTTGGCACTTTGCCAGAACTGATTGATGCTGCCTTGCGCGACACCAAAGACAACCACCTTCGACAAAGCTTCATGCAATCGGTCATCAGGACAGCGCAGACCAGCGTATCAAAGACTCAGTGGTTACAACGAGTCCGTGAGGCCATCGACGATAATGGGAAGCTTGATGCACAACGTCTTCAGACTGCAGTTTCAGGTTTCCTCGCAAGAGAAGAGAAAGTTTCCATGAACAGCGCCCTTCGCTGGATCCAGTTCTGTTGTCGACCTCTATCTCCGACTGAAGTTGTCACGGCTTTAGCCCTGGAACAGAGCATAGCCAAATCGGGTGAAAGCGAACTCATCTCAGATCAATGCCATCTTGGAAATGGGATGGAAAATACTTCATCTGCCGGCTTTTGGTCCATCCAGAATCCTCTTTCAGGCCTTATTCAGGTGGTTGACAACGAGGTTCGGCTTACTTATGACATCCTTGGTGAACCAAACGATGCCGGCCCCTGGCATCTCGATAATGCCAAGTCGAACTTATGGATCTTACGCTGTCTATTCCGACATTTGGATGCCGAGGCTGAGCGAATAGGCCTTGGTGGTCCAAGTCCACAATCCGGGTTCATCCCGCCTTCACCATTTCATCATGACTTGGCGGTGTATGCTGCCAATTTCTGGTCGCACCACTACAGAACTGCTAGATCTCACGCATCTACGAAGCCAGAAGCCGATTCCATGGTGGCCAAATTCCTGAAGACCAACCACGCCGCGAGTTTGCTTATGCTCCGATATGTTCAAAACGCTGTCGTGGAAGTTCCCAGGAAGACGACTTCTGAAGACACCGCAGCTACTGCGGTGGCCCTTCTCGTATGCCACGGCTTCTCTGATATCGAGGAGATCGGGGTGCTTGCCAGCTGCCCTGGATGGGAAAGCGGCCCAAAGACTGCGTTTCCTGCTCTTTTGGAGGCAGTCAGGGGCGGTCATACGACACTTCTTGCGAAGCTCTCTGTTTCCGTGCTAAAAGATGAAGAAGCGAGAAAGGTCTTTTCTGCGGTGGAGCCAGGAAAGCTCTCACACGACTGCATACATGATCTTCTCCGACAAGCGCAGTCTCGACAGAATTTCCAACTCCCTCTCGAATTAATTCTCTGCGCTGCATTCGCCGGCATCGAAGTAAGCGCGAAAAACATTCAGGGTCGTAAAATTGACAAATCTGTGTGGCTCGCATGGCTATTGAGAGCCATTTGTATCCCGAAATCAGATGCCACGAAAATGCTGTCGCGGCTTGCAGAGCCTCACATCAGCGAAGGCCAAAAGGCTGATATCTTGTTTGCTGCAAGCCTCATCTGTGATTGTAGGGACGTCCTTTCACTTATGAGCTGGCTGAGATTAGACATCTCGTCCCGATCTTTGCGAGCGCTTGGTTACTCGGGCAATCATATTGTTCTGGAAAAGCGGCTTGCAAGCCTGTCTCTGAACAGTGACCAGACGAAGTACTTCTTGACTGTAGGCCTAAAGGAGAGTCTCTCTTTGGCTGTGGATCACTCATCACTCGAACTTGTACGAGTACTCCTTGGGCACGCTGATGTTACACGAGACAAGGAAGTCGTCATGGATTGCTTGAGTCGTGCTATTCAAAAATCAGCGTCCAAGGAAATCTGTCTCTTGCTTCTAGACACGGGAGTTGAGATCGAAGACGAGCGTCAAGAGCAGTACTTGAGTGACGCCGTGAAGCAAGGAAACACAGAACTAGCTCAAGTGTTCTTGGATTACGGTGTCAACATCAATGCTCAGGAGTACTCGGGCGAGCCGCCTCTTTACTTGGCCGCGAAAGAGAGCACTCTATCCATGGTGAAGTTCCTCGTTGAACGGGGCGGGGATGTCAACGTTCGAACCAATGTCAAGGGGCTAACGCCGCTGTATGGAGCGGCACTTCAATCAAGACCGGACATCGTCGAATATCTGTTGGGCAAAGGAGCCGACGTGACTATTACTTCAAGATTACGAAACTGGTCTCCGTTGGAGGGTGCTTATGACTATCCGGCCGTCATGGCACATTTGGTTACGAAGGCGTGGCCGCCCCCCGACTATCATCGGGTGGCTGAATTTGGCGACACCCAATGTACAGCCCTTTTCCTCTCAGCGACGTTCGGCAAGACTGAATGTGTCAGGTTGTTGTTGAAGCACGGCAACCCGGACATTGAATTCACACCATCCTCGGATATCGAAAAAGAAAAGGCTGATACGAGGGGGTACACTGCTCTAGCTGTTGCGTGTCTGTACTCGCACACGGAAATTGTGAGGCTGTTACTAGAGAATGGGGCCAACGTCAAACATCGAGTCCCAGTCTCTAGTTGGACACCGCTTCACATCGTACGCAACAGCGATACGCTCGCAGTTTTGCTTGAATACGGTGCCGACATCGAAGCTAAAGATGTTGATGGTTGGACGTCTCTCTTTCACGCTGTAGTGAGTGGAAATGTAAGCATTGTCCGGCGTTTGGTGAACGCCGGTGCCAATCTGGAGACTACCGACATTGGGGGTTATACCGTTCTGATAGAGGGCGTATTCCATGCTGTAGAGCAGTACCGTGAAGAGATGTGTAGATACCTCGTTTCTAGAGGCGCTCTAGTCAACGATACGAGCACAGATAGGTTGGGATCCAGCGTGCACAAGTGTTGCAGGCTCGGTGGCATAGATGAAGTGGAGTTGATCTTTAAGCTAGGCGGTGATGCAGGTCTCTGGCACGGGATGCAGGGTACACTTCTCGAGGCGGCATGCAAGAGTATCAACAAGAACAACTTTGCAGTTGTGAAGTATCTTGTTGAGCAAAAGGGGATTGACATCAACGGTCCAGGAAGCTACTTCCGCTGTGCCATGGGAGAGGCGTTTCGGTCCGGCGACGAATCACTCATAAGATACCTGCTTGGAAAGGGTGGGATTTTCAACACCACGGACGGCAACGGACAACCGGCATGGTTCAATATTTGTTACAGGAAGGACGACGCCCTCGAGATCTTCGACAAGCTACTAGCTGACTACGGCGCGGTCGACCCACTAGCCTCGCTAGGGGACAAGGACAGAATGTCACGGACTATTCTGCACTGCGCAGCACAGTCAGGGCACCTGGGGCTTGTTGAGAGACTTGTCGACCTGGATCCGAACCTAATCGATTGTCGTGACCTCGATGGGTGGTCGGCGATTCACTGGGCAGCGCAAATGGCTTGTATCGAAGGTCTTGAAGAAGAAGATTACCCGCAGAAGTGGCAAGAGAAGACAGAAGTCATCAAGTTCCTAGCTCGCAAGGGATGTCCTGGTCTGGCAGAACGTGTGCCTGATGGTAAGGGAGGTACATGGAACGTACTGGAAATCGCGGGATACCAGGGTGCGCCTGATGCTGTTGTGGCCTCGATCAGGGATTTGATGGAGGAGAATCAAGTTCAAGTCGAATCACCCAAAGCGGGTTCCAAGAACGCTGGAAGATGGTCTTGCGATGGCTGCCATACTGTAAGTTTCCCAATGCCAACATGGGCATGAACCACACGTATCTGAGCTAATCCAGACGACGAATCAGCGGATTCGGAGTGCTTTCCTCCGTTGCGATGACGACAGCTGTTATAAGAACTTTGGTGTTTGCTTCAAGTGCGCGTCTTACAAGAACAAGGTTCATGACTCGAAACACGTGTTCGTCGTTCATGAAGAGGTCTCGGACAGCCATAGCTGCGTTGAGCAAATGGGAAATTAAGGATCCATGCTGCCTCGATTTGATCGGGATCTGGAGTCTAGCTATCCTCAATTCAAGCGTCACAGTCACTTAGCAGTAGAAACTTTAGTAAAGGTTAATAGTCACAGTGGCCTCATCGATGTCTTGAATTAAGTATCCGTATTCGAGCGCGTATTCCACAGCCTCTAATGCTTCTTAAGAAGGCTACCTAGCATACCATCCCTCCCATACATAAATCTACATCCAGTAACGCCATCAAATGCAATCCAACGTGCCATGATCATGCTCATTTCTTCCCACACCCTCCCCTCCATGACTCTCTCTCAAAGACCCTTCCTCAAACCCTCCGTAACCTCCAACAACATCCTCAACCCATAAAACTTGGCCACACTCCAATACACACCCAACCGCCTCACAATATCCGCCCTCTTGACACTCTCAACCCACGTCCCGCTACACGTGCAATGCTCCATAAACTCATTCATCCGTAACGCACCACACTTGCCGCACTTGAGATCCTGCGTAGTCCACTCCACCACAAACGCCTCCACGCTCGCCAGCAGCGTCTCCTCGATCGCATTCCGATCATACTCGGCCTCGCAAAACGTACACCGCCAAGGCCGCGTCTCCGGTCCCAGCCGCCGTCCATCGGGTCCCAGTTCCGGCAACAAATCCTCGTCGCGGCAGAAATCAAGGTCCCGCGCCATGGTGCAGCTATCACAACTCAGCTGGATCACCTTCAAACTCTCGCTCGGGTTCTGGAAGGCGCCTTCCTTGCTGAACTCGCGCACGTCGAACATGGCGAGGAGCTCTTTGCGCAGGAGGCGCGCTTCGAGGGTGATGTTCTTGTCGAGGGAGAGGACCTGCATCAAAGACTTGACGAGCTCGAGAACGGCGTTGCGCGAGGAGAGGTGGGCAAGGTGCGAGCCGGGGAGCTTGGGGAAGGAGTAATCCTCTGCGAGTTCCGGGTGAAGAAGCTCGCGCTTCTGGAGGTTGACAAGGTTCGCAATGTCCTTCTTCAGGGGCTTTTCAAAGGCTTTACCTAGGATGATTTGTCCCTGGGCTCCCTCCGCGAGGGCCTCTTGGGGTAGCTGCGTGAGACGTGGCGTCGAGGAGAAGTCCCCGTCTTGAGGACGCTTGAGGTTATGCATAAGTTGGATGAACTCAATGACCCAGTCCTGGAAGTTTGGCTGTAGGCGGATAGGGAGGAATGTCGCCATCTGCCAGTGCATGACGGTGTCGAGGGTCTGTTGCTCTGCCTCCACCACCTCCTGGCAGGCCTTGCCGCCATAGTTGAACTCATCGTACCATACCAGGTAGTCCCAGTATTCCTTGATCTCAAGGTCGATGAAGTGGAAGAGGGGCTTGCTCTTGATCGACTTGATGATGTACTGACTGTACGCATAGGCAGTCCCGACCTCGGCCTTGGTTGTCTGGAGCAAAAGGCGGTTCGAGTTGGCAAAGATAACCTGGGAGCCGACTCGGCGGAAGTCGGCCATGAGCTGTTGGAAGGCCTTCTTGGACATCATCTGCACGTAGTAGTGCAGAGCACGATCATAGAGGAAGGAGTCGGGATTCTCGACCCAACGCACCAGGTGCTGAACCATGACATCAGCCATGGTATTGCCCTTGCAGGCCTCCTGCCACCAACTCTTTACCATCTCTCGGAGCACGAGTACACCAGCATTGGCGAACGTGCCTTCTGAGGAGATCACTTCATCGCCGGCCGCGTTACCATCTCCGGCGGGATTGAAAGAAATAGACTCGGAACCTTCCAGCTCATTGATCAGAGAGGATGTAAGTATGGTATTGATGGCCAAGTTCCTGACCTCCAAGTCAATGCAGACCGAGGAGAACGTGCCAGGGTTGTTGATCGAGGGCATCTGGACAGTTTCGAGAGGGCCGATGATGTCATCCTTCTCGTGACCGGCGTGGTCAGGACGAGGGCTTGCGGACCACCATAGAACGACATTGTTGTTCTGCAATCTTCTGGCATATGCGATATCGATGAGGAAGCGTGGATCTTCTCGCTCCAGGTTGCAAAGAGGAACTTCTCCGTACCGTGCGAGCGTCGTAAGATGCAGGATCCAGGAGCCAAGACCAAGATAGTGCCCAACAAGCCGTCTAGCAACGACTGCTTGCCAGCCGAGTGGCGGCAGAGAACTGTCCGCAGCGTCGTACTTGAGCGGCAGCACAGGGAAATCGCCGAGGATCGGGACGTCGTTGATGAGCATGTTGCGCTGGGACGATTGGATAACCATCATGAGTGGTCGCAGCTCGTCCTTTCTCATCTTCTTCACGACGTCGCTGAGTTCCAAGTGTGCCTTTCGCCTCGTTGTGACCTGGGTGATTTTGAAGTTCAGCTTCTCCTGGTACGTGAAGCAATCCTGCCAGTTTGTGCCCTCGGCCTCTTCTCCTCGTCGAGCAAGCAGCTCGGTGTAGATTCGGGAGATGTTGGGGAGGTCCTGGCCCGAATCTCTGCCCTTTTGCAGGATAATGACATGCGCCTCATCCTTCAGTGTGGAGAAGACTCCGAAAATCTGCTTGTCGCCAGCGGTGACGTGAGAGACGTAGATGTATGCCAAGGGTGACGTGTCAAGATAGGTTTTGGCCTTGACGGGACGCTTGAGACCATGCAAATCGAAGCCTTGCTCCAACCCCCTTCCGAGAACTGCATGTTGCTGTTCGTCAATGGTGCAGAGATTACCCAACTGAAGCACAGCCCTGATGTTTAGAGGCAAATGCTTCTCGTACACGCCTTCGACACTGGGGTGGTTGAACAGCAGCGAGAACTTGTCCGCCTCATTGAAGTAGACGTCTTCAGGAACAGTCAGCTTGAAGAGGTGAACGGAAGAGTGCCCATTAGGAAGCGTGTGGTTGACCTGCTCGACCTCACATCCAGGGATATCCACATCGGGCATCTCGCCGCTTCTCAAATTCAAGAATACCTGTCGCGGCACCTTGACCTTGAGCGAGTGGATCTTGGCATCAATGAGGACGTGAGCGTTGACGATACCCGGAGTCTCCGTCGGCTTGAGGTGCAACAGCTGCCAGGTGCTCATGTAGGTCATGTGGGCTTGCTTCATGAACGTGTTTTGAATATTGTTCTGGTTGTTGCCGCGTCGGTCTCCAAACAGCTGTCGTCTCCGGATGCGGGCCTGCTTTTGAATCTTCCACTTTTGCTTCTGGTACTGCAGGAAACCGATGTAGTCGTCTGAAGGTGAGGGCATGACCTTGGGCAGTGCGGCAAAGGGATCGGCGGTCTCAGCAGCCTCGGGAGACTTTCTCTTCTGGGCAGTGGGCTGTGAGGCGGCTACCACAGACGTGACCGGCTTTGGCTTGAGCAGCTGCGTGCCAAAATCCTCCATGTCGGTTGCGGACCGACCGTTGCGGTTGGTGATGTCTTCCAAGGGCCCCTTGGTGAAGAGATCGGTGAGCTTCTTCTGCTTCATCTTGTCGTCCTTGATGTTAATCCTGCGCTGAAGCCAGTCGGGATGAGCTACGCGAGGAACCGGGTTCCTGACTTTCTGGAGCGCAGCAGGGATGGTGATGAGCTTCTGGATGACGGATCCCAGACGCTCCAAGTAGTAGTCCCAGTCCAAAAGAGCTCTCGGGTCGGTATCGGCAGGCTCCTCCTTGAGCCACTTCTTGAGGTAAAAACGCTTCGTGGTCTCCTCGGCAGAGAAGATGGCAACCGGGACGGCTCGCTCGGTGACGGGCGCATGCTTGGGTCTGGCGCAGATAATGAACTTGCAGTTCAAGCCCTTGTCCTTGACCATCTGCTCACCCAAGAAGTCTGCCAGCCGCTTCGCCGTGGTGATGGATGTTGACTTTTGCGAACCATACTCCTCCAAGGTCTTGGACATGCTCCTGTTCTCCGAAATGAGCTCCATGAGTTCCTCGTCCGCCAGTGTTGCACCTTGGCTGTGCAATACATCCAACCATTGGTTGGCAACCTTGGCGACGGCAGCGTAGCACTCGGCGAGAGTTTCACCTTCCAGGAAGAACTTGAAGATTTGCTGCTGGAAGATCTTGATGAGCTTCAGCTCACCTCTTCGCTTCACCTCAAAACCCTTCAACTCGGCCAAGCTGCCATCGTCGTTGAAGACTGCATAACGCTTCTTCAAGTTCTTATCCTCTTCCTTGGACGTGGGCAAGACCATAGCCTTGTAAGGGCCGTCGACTTCGAAGAAGATGGAGTTGTCGCTGTGCGTCTCGTACTTCAGAGTCTTGGGGTCTGTGAGCGTCTGGTACTGGTGGTTGGTGAACTTGGCGTGGACCAGATGGTTCAACATGGTACATGGGTACGAAATAGTGACCTTTTTGCCGCCCTTGGTCTTGAAGGCAAAGTTTTCCGGGAACGTAGCGGGAAGCATACACCAGATACCATCCGTATCCAATTCCAAGGGACGACCCAATCGCTCAACGAGTGATCTGGCCAGCTGAATAATCGTCGCTCCCGTCAGACACGTAACGCCAGCCATTTCCATGGAATACCATCTGGATCCCTTTCTCATGACGTAGCCGTAGAAGGAGTTCAAAATGACCTTGTGAGCAAGCTGCAGCGAATCGAAGAGAATGATCATCTTCTTCGCCGCATCGACTTCAGTGGATGTTGCGCCAGAAGACTTCAGGGCTTCCGTCTTGCCCTTCCAGACCTTGGCCTTGCCCTTGTAATCGTATCGACGATCACGGAAGTCTCGTACGGTGTTGATGTAGAACGGATTCTCTCGTTGGCAGATGATGGCCTCTTTGACAGTCGTCGTCGAGTCGTGGATCTTGTGGTAGACCTTTTGCGAGAAGATCTGCAACCGCTTCCGCAGGAGAGCCGTCTGCTCGTCGGGCGACAAATCCTGGAATGTCCGTTGCGGCGAATTGGGCCACTTCCCGGGGAACTTTTCGTTCTCCAGGGCGTTCCTGATCATATTGTACTCGTCGCGTTTTGCCGGCAGGTACTCTCCTCTCCATGCCCACGGCATACGTCTATCGCAGGTCTTGCCGGGGCGGTTGAAGTCGCACGCCGCACAGTCCGACTCTTGGATCATGGAGTCTGGCTGCAGACGATTCGTGGTCATGATGTTGGGGTACATGGACGCAACGTCGAGATGGTAGATCAAGGGTCGCTCGCTCCGGTTCGGCGTCTCTTTCAGTGCGCGTAACCGTGAAGCGATTTGCTCCCTAATCTCGTCGTAATTTTCAATGTCGTCCATGGACTTTTGTTCCTCCACTGTGATACTGAATTTCAGCGCGGCGTCCAAGTCCTTCAACAGCTCATCGACTGCACCCGTGTCGACTGCAAAGTTGACGGGGATATCGGCGCGGAAGACACCTGCTTCGATACTTTCGACGTGGCCACCAACATACGTCTCTGAGTCGAGCAAGTGTCCTTCGTAGAATGCTTCTCTTGGCGATACATGCTTGTTTGGTAACACAATCTCTTGCTGGTAGGCCTGCACCATCAACAACATCTCGCAAAGTGTACCGGTACCCTTTCGTAACGTGTCGTCACCGCCAAGAGGTAGAATCGTGCAGAGAGAGAAGATGAAGGGGTGGACGTATTTCATGTACAGGTAGTACGTCGCCACGGCATCGGACACTGAGTACTCGGCCAGGGTCTGGGGACGTTCCTGGGCGTAGGGCGTCATGAGTTCGGGGTCGAGCTCGTCGGGGTCGTATCCAAGCTTGGCGACGGTGACAGCTTTCAGACCTCGGGATCCCTGAGGCAAGTAGGAGTCACGATTCACCCAGTGGAAACAATCCATGTGCACGCTGTAGCTGCATTTGTACTGGTCCTCGCTGTCTTTCTTCCAGCCGATCTCCTGGTACATGTCGATGCCGTTGATGCTAGCTCGGGCGTCGACAAAGGGCCAATCGAAAAAGTCACCGTTGTACGTCGCAATGACTGTCGGTCTCGCCTCCTTGATGTGCAGGAAGAACCTCTCCAGTACGGCCTTCTCGTCCGGTTCGTTGAAAATCATAAAGGGTCCTGGGTATTCTGGTTTGGGGGTGTAGTCAAAGTCGCCAATGTCCTCGGAGATGATTTCCCTGTTTGTGATCAGGAAACCCTGCCCGTCAATCATGTACGAAATCATCATGACCTGGTCGATGGCGGCGTCGGGGAATTTGAGGGGCAATTTCGTCGTCTCGATATCGTAGGCCATGACTACCGGGTCTGCCATGGCCAGTCGGTCCTCGTTGGTTGTGACTTTCGTGACGCCGTGCTTGACGTCGATGAAGTACCATTTTCCCACCCGGATATCTGCAAAGGGGTCAGTCGTGAACGGTCCGGGAGCGCCGAGGACCCAACCTACCCAAATCGATCATCACTCTTACATGGTACGGTACATCGTACTCTCTAATATCGACAATGAAGTCGCTGGCGTCGGCAAAAGAAGCATTCGTTCGTCTATCGTCATCTCGTGAATCGTCAAAAAGGTCAAAGTCGCCATTCATTCTGTAGTGTGTCAGTCAGCCATCTCATAAACCGTACCGCCAAATAGTGCAAAGGCTTACGTTGAAACCTCGGCATATGCGTCCAAAGCATCCACATTCTTCCTGTTCTTCGCCGCAATGGGCATAATATCCTTCCTCGCCGCCATCAAGTCGGCCACATTGGCAAACCTCAGCTCCAGAAACGTGCGGCGGTAGCCCAGCAGGTGATTCGGCATCTTCAAATCCTCCTTGTCCACCCTCTTGATCGTCTTGACGACGCCGCCGCCCGGCACCCGCTTCAACCACTCCTCAACCTCGCTCTCGCGGCCCTTTTTGACGGCGATCAAAAAGTACGGGTCGTACTCGACCGTCGCCTTGAAGTGCGCGCCGTCGTCCTCGATAAAGTAGCAGTCGAGCGCCGCCCGGCCGTTGGGATTCCGGTCGTCCTCGACCGAGGTGGGCTGCACGTTGACGAGCCAGCCTTCCTTGCGCTTGCCGCCCTCGTAGCGCGCGAAGCCCATGTTCTCGTCAATCTGGTGCGTGAGCCGGGTGCGCTCCCACTTCTCGTCGGCTGAGGTGGCTTCGTTGCGGTTCGAGGCGGCGAATGTGCGTGGTCCTCGTGACGGGCCGTGGTATGCTTGCTTGCCGCCGCGGCGGTAGCCCTTTTGCGGGCGCCGCAGGCTCGTGTTGGGCATTGTGATGGTTGTGTGGTCGAGGTTTGTTGGGAGAGAAGGATTCGAGGTTGTTGTTGATCAATGTAGATCTCCGTCGAGGGACTCTAGGCAAAGGATGTCTCTCGAGGAAATCGCAGCCTCTAGAGAATCATGAGACGGGATGAGAGAGACAAACGTCTAGGTTCGTAATAGAGGGGGTTCCGAGAATGAGAGAGTGGTGGTGGGTATCAAGAAGCTTGTCTCTCCGTCTCTGTCAAGTGCCAACAAAAAAAAACAAAAAAAAAAAAAAGGCAAGTCTTGGTGACGAGAAACAAGAACAACCGGGAGAAAATGGGGTATTGAAGATCCTAGGAATTGGACGAGTGGGAGAGTGGGATTTGTCACTGTTGTGTTCGAGAACGAGAGCATTGAGCTTTTGCGCATTGGGAGAGTGGAGGGCCACTATCCAATTACTCGTTGTCCAGGGCAAAAAAGATACCAAGACGCGTCTCCCCCGTCGCGACTTTACGCGAAATCTGCACGTTCAGGAGACCGGGGGACCCACTTCAATTAAGCCAGCAGCGTCCCGCGCGACAGATGCGCTGCAGGGGAAGTTCAACGCACGGACCAAAGACACCGGCCCAGCAACGAACCGTCGACCGGGGGGGAGGCCCAAATTCGGTGGACGTCATCTCAGGCCACGGGCAGACTTTGAGAGAGAGAGAGAGCTTTACCGGGGGACCCAAAGTCGAGAGTCGGGATTCACGAGACCTATCACCGGATGCGCACGATCTCACTCACACATATAAACTAGACTCATCACATAATGGCAGACTCCCCAGACAACATCCCGGGACCAAAGAAGGAGGGGCAAAAGCTATACCTCTGGTCCCGTTCAAACCAAGGTCCAGTCGGAGAGGGAGCTCCGGGTACTACTACGCCTACATCGACGACGGCATCACCAACATCACCGGAGCAATCGGCGGCCGACCCTAAGCTCAACCCAACCGAGTTCCAGAAAAACTTCCCGACGCAAGATGGCGCCAATGGCCCCGGGTACCCGTCGATAGGCGAGGCCGTCAAGTCCATCAAGTCGGACGACTTCCTCTCCGTCACGCAGACGCCGTGCGCACGGGACGGGTTCCTGACGGGCATTGCCAGCGGTGCTGGTGTGGGAGGATTCAGATATGTCTTTGGAGGTAACCTCCCCTCTTGATTTCTATTCTGCCTCGATATGAGATTTCCTCTCAGATGACCTCACCTTCACATTCACACCTCTCCCCCTTCTCTCACACTCACTCATCTTCATCCTCATCCCCACCACCTTTACTAAGAGCACCACACTAAATCCTCGCGCAGGCTCACCCATCAAGGCGGCAAACTGGGCCGTAGGCAGCTTCCTCGTCGGTTGCATCGGCTCCTACGAGTACTGCCAGATGAAGCGGCGACAGGAGCGCGTCAAGATGAAGAGGACCGTCGAGGTCTACCAGGAGACCATGGTCGACAAGCGCCGCCGCGAAATTGAGCAGCTCAAGCAGCAGGCAGAGCAGAGGAAGGCAGACGAGGAGGCAAAGGCCGCCAGCCAAAAGTCTTGGTACAAGTTTTGGTAAAGAACTTTTGAGGGGGGGGAAGACTTTGGTCTCTCAAAGAAGAGCGCCCATGAGGCGAATCTTTTCTTCCTCTTTGTATGAATAATTTCACACAAAGTCCAAAAGAAGCATCTGCGAGTGGCTTCATAAACGCCCCCATTTCCCTAACACCATATGACATATGACGCCTTCCGTAGCCATTTCCTCAGCCGGGCCATACCCAAGCCAAACCACAGAGCTCAATGATGCCATGTCCAATCGCAAAATTCACTGCTCGCACCCATCATGTGACCATCCTTAGAAGTTCGTCACAACTGTGCTCGCTTCTGATTCCGTGAAGCGCACCTTTCGCACGCCTCCGCTGCCGCCAGCAGAAGGCTTGGAAGCAAGACCAGCACCGCTCCCTCGTCTCCGCTGGCTGCGTCGGGCCCTGGCCTCGCTCTCTTCCCGCTTCTTATACTCGGCCAGTTGCAGACGGCGCTTCTGTGTCCGCGCATAGGCCATTGCGGCAGTGGGCATGAATCCGACACCGTTAATGCCTGTGCCGTCATCGTCGTCGTCTTCTGGGTCGTAAATCGTAATCTCTTCCTCCTTCCAGGTGAGTGCAGCCCTGACTGGGTCCACAATCGTCTTCATCTCCTGGTCTTCTTGTTGTTGCTGCGGTTCAGCGGCCGTGGCTGCAGCAGGGGCATTGGTCTTGTTGGTGCCCTTGCGACCCTTGAGCGGTGGTGTGCCGGCGCGTCTCCGTCCTCGAGATTTGGGATCTTGTAGTTTGTCGAGCGAAGGATAGGGAAGCTGTTGTTGTGAGCTCGTGGCCACCGTTGTGCCGGCAGCAGTGGCAGCGTCTTCTTCCGCAGGCTTTGATTTCGGGGTAGGCACCGGATCGCTCTTGACGTCGGGGTCCGGAATGACAACTGGTATGTCTGCGGCAGCGGAAGCGGTAGCGACAGCGGTGTTGTTGCCCTCAACGTCCGTCATCTCCAGCTCAGGAACTTTGAGTCTCTTGCGGCTCGCAAATGGGTCGTCGTCAGAGTATCCGTACCCCCTGCCTTTCTTATGCTCGTCGCGCGTTGGGTCGTATGCGGCGTCGTGTGCATATAGGCCCTGGGGGGCAGCAGCAGCAGCGGCTCGGTTCTGTTGCTGGGCTACCCCGCCCCCACCACTATTCCCACTCAGTGCCAGACCACGAAACTTGTGAACGACCTTGCTGTGTGGGCTTGCGCTCCCGTCCTCCGCGTCGCTGCTCTTAGGAGTATGGTCGGCAGGCAGCGGGAAGGAGAATTTGGAGGTTGTGTATATCGGTGACAGCGGCGGGTCGTCTTCGTCTCGCTTGCGCTTCGGGGTCGTCGTCGGGGTTGGGAAGGAGTCGGCCATGGTTTTGTGTGGTATAGGTACGGATAGCGCCGCACCTCTGCGGTGATGGTGGGCTGATTTAGGTACCGGTAGGTTATCTGACTCGTCCGGGATATTGTTGGCAAATGGGAATGGGTCGACGATGCAATAAGGCGACGGGCGTGATTATCGGTTGGAAGTATGTTGTCGTCGTTAAGTGAAAGTTGTAAGTTTAACTTCTCGAGGAATCCAGGTATCGTGAATCAGTGGCGGTCAAGAAGAGGAAGTAATTAAGATGGTTGTTGAAGAAAAGGCTCTAACTTGGTCAAGTGATTGAATTACCTTGGTCTTGAAGGCAGGTCCGGCAGTTACCCTTTGGATCTGGGCTGGTCCTTCCTTCCCTCAGTGCAAACTTGTACCAAACCTGGAAAGAGCCTGGCCCATCTGCCTCGCTCTTGCTGTTACCTTACGTTGGCACGATAAGCTAAACACACCACGCTAAAATAAAGCTAGAGCCCCCCCTCGGTGAGCTGCGTACGCCGTAAGGAACCTCTCACACCTCTCTCGTTTTCATCTCATCTTTTCATCACCTCCAGCTTCGTCAGAAGAATCAGTTAAATCGGCTCGTTTCCAAGTTGCACGGACGCTGCCGGCTGACATATAATCCCCAGACGCTCGAAGCTTGAAGCACCTCTCAAAGGTCTGAGGGATGTCTACCGTAGTCTCAAGACTGGAATTATGTTTTGTCGGAAGAACACACAAAACTTGTCAGGTATACGTACATTGCGGCAATAACACAAAAAGCTGTTCTCTTTGGGTTTCGGATCATTGAGCTACAATGTGGTAGGTTTAAGACTCTGAAATAGGGGCATGTCAGAGGTTATTCAGAGGTGTACAGCTGGTTGTGAAGACGAGGGAGAGGTGAACTACTCACTGACTTGCAAAGTCAAAAATCAAACCAAATCACTTCTTAACAACAGATTCCAATTACGAAGGGATTCACTATCCATTCTACTCATCGTCTTCGTATCCACCCTCATAACCAACCTCACCAAGTCCCTCTTACTCGCTCCAAGCCTTATACACAATCCTCGTCCCATACGTCTCCCCCTTCTTCAACAACATCTGCCCCTTCCACTCATCCACATTAATCGCATTCACCCACCGACTCGGCTCAACGCAGAACCCGCTCCTCTTGCCCCTCGCCGCGGCGCCCTCCACAGCAGGAACATCAATCCCCTCGCCCGTGTAAAACTGGAACGCCGGCTCCGTGCTGAGAACCTCGAGGTTCACCCCGTTCTTGGGGTGCTTGGCATGCACATGCAGCTTCAGCGGCTTGCCGCGGGTATCAATCGGCACCGCGCCCGCCTCCTTCTCCTCGATGACAACAAAACAGTCGTCCACCGCGGGAGCCTCGACACCGAGCTCAAACGGCTTGCCGCCCTCGATGCCGGGGAAGGGAGCGGGCCCACCGGTAGGGATACCGTCCTCGCGGGGAAGGTACGCGTTCGTCGCCAGCGTCGCGACGGTGCCGGCAAAAGTATCGTCGCCTGTGAGGTTAAAGTACGAGTGATTCGTCATGTTAATAGCCGTCTCCTCAGCGCCGTCGACAAGCTGCGCCTCGTACTCCATACCCAGCACCGAGACCTCCTTGCCATCCACCTTTTGCGTGCCGGCCGTGTAGATGACCTTCACCTGGACTTTACCAGGGAATCCTTCGTCGCCGTCCTCGCTAGTCAACGAAAACTCGACGGTCTCTCCGCCCTGAAGGCCCTCGACACCCGGGATCTTACGAACGCCGACGGGCTTGGGACCCTCCCAGACCTTGGAGCTCCAGGGCTTGCTGCCGCCGTGGAGGTTGTTGTTACCGTCGTTGGCGGCGAGCTTGTACGTCTTCCCCCCGTTGAGGGACTTGATCTGCGCCGAGGCGAGGCGGTTTGCGACGCGGCCGACGGTGACGCCAAAGTAGGGTGAGTTGTGCTTCTCGTAGAGGTCCTGGGTCGGGAAGCCCTGGACAATGTTGACGCCCTTGACCTTGAAGGACTGCAGGATGGCGCCCAGGGGCAGGAACTCGAAGGTTGCGTCGGACATTGTGTGAAAGGTTGTGGCCTCTTTTGGGAACGGGCTTTGGTGATGGGGATAATCGATCGAAGTTTTGAATCACGGAATTCTCAGTCCAAGATGAGAGCTACGACAGAACCTGAAATCACGCAGGCTGTAAGTATGTTGGGCAAGGGGAAGGCGACCATTTATGGAGCGCGACAAGAGTCCCGTCACTGGTTGACATGGCGAAACAAGCAATTCAGGCTATTATTGCTTGTATCTGCGCTTGTTGGCCGATGTAGTGGGGTGTTTGGACGAGGATGGAGGGGGGAAACAGTGCAAGAGAAATGACGGCGTCTGCGGGGGGACGCACGCCCGCGGCGGGGTAAATTGGAGACACAAGAGACGTAGCTGGTGCGTGACATGGGGAGCTTTCACCCTTATCCCCTCTGTTTGGCCGGTGCCCTCACTCCTCAACACCGAACCACGAGGTTCCTAGCCCCATTTCGAGCGGCCATGCTGTTGTCTTACTGGCGCGTCTAAACAACACGAGCAGCTCTGCGCCTTTGTCTTCGCGTCTCCGGCTTTTTGGGGAAACGATGGATCCAAGTTGCCAAGTTCCCAGAGGACCAGAGGGTGTTGGCGCATGGCGGATAGAGACAACAGTCAACTTGAGAGGCCCGCTTCAGCTGGGTAATAGACTAAGACTGAAGTAAGAATCTGCTTCCAACCGCGAGCTGTGACTGGGTGAACAAGTTGTCAATTGTCCCGAATCAGTGAGGAACCCGCCGCGGTCCAAAAATCAGTGCATTAAGATCGTGTACAGCCTTTTGGTGACCCCTTGTCCTCTTCGGGCGACACTCCGCGATGTAAAAGCGCCACAAAAATAAAGTGTCCTCACTCTCCCATGGTATGTATGATACAACCTGCAACAGGTACAATCATTCGAATAATGACCCGCCAACACATGATACACTGTCCCAATATTTGTTACATCAGTCCGATTCTTCGTCGTCGTCCCCGAGGAACGCCAGGTCCGCTCGCGCCTTGCCTCGTGCCCGCGACGGGATATGTGACTCTTGATCCTCATCATCATCGTCGTCGTCTTTGGCGTTCTCATCTTCAGAAGCATCATCCTTCACAGCCTTCTTGGGGGCTGGCTGTCCGCGCGCCTTGCTTCGAGATGATCTGCCTTCTACGCCCCAGTTGGCATTCATCTCCTGAACTGCTTCCAAGTCCGCCTCCAGTTCTCTTCGCTCCTTGATCTCTTTTGCCTTCGCTTCTGAAAAGCGACCATCCATGCCAATGTCTTTGAGCATGCCTCTGAGGTGCCTCATCTTGGCCTTGGTATCGTCTCCGTATTGCTTCAACTCGAAGCCCCAGATCTTGCGAATACCGCATTTGACCAAGTGGGACTGTAGCTTTTTAATCTCTGCATCGTCGGGGTTCTCTGGGGCTGCCGGTGCCTTCTTCGGCTTGGTTGCCTTGGCCTTGGTCTTGCTGCCAGCTCCGGCTTCCTTCTTCTTGCGTTTGGGCTTGGGTGGCTCGTCTATCACGTCTGATAGCTCGCTAGTCGTGTCATCAGCTGGAACCTCGGCCTTCTTGTCGTCGGAAGCTTCAGGCTGCTTCTCGGTTGACTCGTCATCCTTCTTTGCCTCAACCTTCTCTTCTTGTGGCTTTTCCTCCTTATTCTCAGCCTTCTCGTCCTCGCTGTCAGGCGGGGAGCTTAACGCGTCTGAACCACTATCTTCAACCTTGCTCGCACGTCCGTTGGTGGGTTTAGACGCCTTCGGCTTGGCAGGGCTCGCTTCGTCAGATTCGGAGTCGATCACAGGAGCGTCCTCCTTCTTCTTCCGCGGTGCTGCCTTTTTCCTCGGTTTCGGCTTAGGTTTTGGCTTCTCCTCCTCAGAAGCACTCGCATCGGATTCTTTTACTTTGGCAGAGGCGCGCTTTCTGCGCTTCGCAGGTGATGACTTTTCGGCAGCTTGACGCTTGCCAGCTTTCTTCGGCTTCGCATCTTCCTCGTCTTTCTCAGGTTCGGCTTCATCATCGGGGTCGGCATTGCCCTCCACGAGGTTGGTCTGATGTGATGTCAGGAAGTCGGCCTTCACTAATACTGGCGATAACCGTGCCAGTGCCAGGGAGGGGTTGGGTAATTACAGCGAGCTCCTTGATCATCTTTTTGCTCTTATCCTTCCATTTTCCTGAAGAGAGCACTTCATCTTCGAGTCCGAGGTCAGATTCGACGCGCCTTCGAACGGAGTTCACGTTGAGGCTGTCGATATCCGTCTTGAAGACCTCGCGGACTTTTGCGAGGATCGTCGCCTCGATCTCCTTGTCAGAGGGAGCCATGCTTGTAAGATTCGCCGGTTTGAAGGGATTCAATGGTGCAATTGAGCGTTGACGTCGTCGTGTAATTGATTCACAAATCCATTTGGCGCGAAATGGGGCAGGATGCAAAGAGCTTTGGCTCTGTCGCGCAGGAAGTCGCGTCGAGGAACAGTGTCTGAGCGCAGACGGCGACGCGGGCAGGCGCAGATCAAGCGCAACCGGGGTAAGCTGCGACTGCCAACTGGGCTGACCGGAGTGGGGCGGCAGTCACCCGACGTCAATGTCGGACCTGGTCCGAGCTTTCTACCCAGAATTTAGCCCGAAGGCAGGATGCAACGGCGCCGGAAGTTGGAAGCAAGGAAAGATAGAAGCATCGGTGCGAACAGTCGAATCAGCCCTTCATTGCTGCAGTGAAACGATGAGTCTTCTGCTAATAAGCTGCTCCAGTTTCGAATCCTCTTGGATACACCAAGCTGGTTAGCAAGAACGACGGGTTGACGAAAATGCCCGGGCTCACTCAACTCGATTTGTGACGATGAGTGCGATTGTGTAAACAGCGACGAGGAGTTTTTTTCTCAAAAGCAGCTGCATCAATTATAGCCCGAAGAAGCTGCATAAAACTATTTCACACACTTGAGAATACACTGTGAATTCGGATCCGAAATGGTATGAAACTGGCTCAAGTCGGGCCGGGGACTATTACAGCCAGTCAACCTCGCAGATTTGCGAGGGGTAGGACATTTTGATCCGGAAGTTATGGGGCCGTCGATGTCAGTCTTTGGTAGCCAAACGGGGAGCCTGGTCAACCTTGTGGGTTGGATGATTGGGCTGGATCGTTCTCTGAATATCTAGCGTATGTCATTGGTTATGCGACGGTCGAAACGTCCAGTAGTCGGGGCTGGAGCTCCTTTTCGATTGTCGGGACAGACAGTGAGCTTGCTAGCAGTAATGCTGGTTCGTGTAAGGTAGCTCACCCAATGGCCTAATTGCATGCAGTGCAGGTCATATCCGATCCTGGGATGGTGACGGCACATTTACGTTGTGGGATCGATCACCACTTACTCACCTGTAAATGCGAGGCTCCACTAGCTTCAAGATTCTCGGGATTTGGCATCAGAGCATCAATCCATTAGCGGAGAGATGCAAGGTACTCTTCTCTCCAAAGAGTAAAGAGGCAGCTGGAGAAACAAGGCTGAAGGGGGAAAGAGGGCATTGGTGGGTGTGAGCGGACATTGGCGCCGGGAAGCCACCCGAAACCTGGAGGCTCGATTTGAAGGAAGGACCAGGTGCCATTAAGATGGGTGGTGGATGGAGGGAAATTTTCAAGAGACATCGTGAACATTCTCTCCTCTACCGCCGATGAAGTACCCACATCTCGGCGCCGGAATCCCCACCCTCTGGCGGATGATGCCCAGGTCTCCCATGTACATCTACTTGGCACCTCATGCTCTGGAAGTCTTTTTGCCTAGTCCTACAAGACAAATGCAAGGTAGGAAACGCGGCGGAGGGAGCTTCGGCTTGACGGGCCTATTGAAAATATATCGCTCACCGTACCTCTCGGTCAGATTGTCTATTTGTCCGGGCAAGGCAAGCAGTAGTAGATGTGAGGGATGCCAAAAGGACGGGCTGCAGAGGTTGGAGGGGGGCAGAGAGAAGAGTGACAGGGCCGGGAATTCCTCGTAATGACATGACATGGATATGTACCTAAATTACGTCGATGGCACCGCAGTAAGTATCCGTACCAGCAGCGCCCAAGGTCCAACATGATCTTGCCTTGCAAGTACCTCATGCCCCAAATGTTGCCTCGCCTCAGTCTAAGAGACGCTTAGGAACGTAGCCACGCTTCGTCTGCTGCGTTTGGTGCTCTTTTCTTATCTTGAGGTGTTACCATTCGAACAACACCAAACATTCAGACTAAGAGCGTCACGTCCGTTAAGGTACTCTGCCCCATTGCCTTACCCAAACTGCCCCACAAACCAAGTACCTCTACTTCTGGGGAAACGCAAGCTCTGGTGTGCCAGTGTCGCATCAGGTCGAGCTTTCTCCGTTGTGCAGCTGCTGCCCGTCAAGTTTGGATTGCACTGAGCCGGATTGGCCTTTTCCTGCTTCTTCTCAACACCCTCTCGTTTCTTCCTCGCTCAGTCAACAAACGCAACCTGGCAAGCCAACCACCGACTAGCCGCCGTCTTCCGTCTCTTTCCACCTCACCCTACTCCTTCACGCACCAAGGTTCTCTCCTCCCTCCATTCACCCAGACGAAGCTTGTCCTACATTGCACTGCTTGCTTTCGTGCATTACTTTCCCACGTAGCTTGCGTCCGACAGCCCGGCTTCTTCCAATACCACTGCATACCTTCTGTCCCGTCTACATATCTTATACATACACTAGTCGCCCTCGCCCTTATTCGAAGCTTTCTCTGTAAACCGCGATTCCCTCCCACCTCTCTCGGCAACCCAAGAAGCTTACGACTTTGGCAACCAAGCTCTATCCAGCACCAACCTGCCCATTTGGTTCTCCCTCAGAAAATCATACAAGCAGCAGCCCACCCCTGCGTGCCTTTTACGTCGCCGTTACTTGAGCTTTAGGTACTTGATCTTCCTGGCATTTACCCCTCCATCATCCCCCGCAAGCTCATCCCAGCCAGTCTCAGCTAACACCTTACCCTCCCGCCACAGTATACCCCAGCATACCTAGCTACTGCTGTTCCCCCAATTACCTACCACCCATCGAACGAACCCTCCACGAAATATTTCGCACCACCATCCTCCACCCAACACCTCCAGCACCACGCAAATCGCCCAAGATGCCTTCGCTCGCCCCCGACGAAGACACTGCGCCCGGCCGCCTCCTCCTGCTCTCCAACCGACTGCCCATCACCATCAAGCGTTCTGACGATGGCAGCTACTCCTTCTCCATGTCCTCTGGCGGTCTCGTCACCGGCCTCAGTGGTCTGTCAAAAACCACGAGCTTTCAATGGTACGGCTGGCCAGGCCTCGAAGTCCCCGACAACGAAATCGCCGGCATGAAGCAGCGCCTGAAGGACGAATACGATGCTCACCCTGTCTTCATTGACGACGAGCTCGCTGACAAGCACTACAATGGCTTCTCTAGTATGGACGAACCTCCCTTGCCTCTATGTCTTCTACCAGCTCGACTAACAACTAAACTTTTTCCGCAGACTCTATTCTCTGGCCGCTTTTCCACTACCACCCCGGTGAAATCACATTCGACGAGAGCGCATGGGCCGCTTACCGCGAAGTCAACCGTCTGTTTGCCAAGGCTGTCGTCCAGGACGTTCAGGATGGCGATCTAATTTGGGTTCACGACTACCATCTGATGTTGCTGCCCGAGATGCTTCGCGAGGAAATCGGCGACTCCAAGAAGAATGTCAAAATTGGCTTCTTCCTGCACACGCCTTTCCCTTCTTCCGAAATCTACCGTATCCTTCCTGTCCGCGAAGCCCTCCTGACGGGTGTCCTCGACTGCGATCTCATCGGCTTCCACACCTATGACTATGCTCGTCACTTCTTGAGCAGTTGCTCTCGCATTCTGTAAGTCGGAGTCAAAAGGCGAAGACTCGTTTTCTCTCAAACTCATACTGACGTCACATGCAGTGGAACTCCTACGACCCCGAATGGTGTTGATTACAATGGCAAATTCGTCACCGTTGGCGCATTCCCTATCGGTATTGACCCTGAGAAGTTCGTCGAGGGCCTCAAGAAGCCCAAGGTTCAGGAGCGCATTGACGCTCTTACGCGCAAGTTCAACGGGGTCAAACTCATTGTCGGTGTCGACCGCCTCGACTACATCAAGGGCGTCCCTCAGAAGCTCCATGCATTGGAGGTCTTTTTGACAGAACACCCCGAGTGGATTGGCAAGATTGTGCTGGTTCAGGTCGCCGTGCCTTCAAGGCAGGACGTCGAGGAGTACCAGAATCTGCGCGCCGTGGTAAACGAGCTTGTCGGCCGTATCAACGGCAAGTTTGGCACCATCGAATTCATGCCCATTCACTTCCTCCACCAGAGTGTCTCCTTCGATGAGCTCACGGCACTGTACGCCGTTTCCGACGCCTGCCTCGTTTCCTCCACGCGCGATGGCATGAACCTAGTCTCGTACGAGTATATCGCTACTCAGCGCGAGCGTCACGGTGTCATGATCCTGTCCGAGTTCACCGGCGCCGCCCAGTCCCTCAACGGCTCTCTCATTGTCAACCCATGGAACACTGAAGAGCTGGCAAACGCCATCCACGATGCCGTGACCATGTCCCCCGAGCAGCGCGAGACCAATTACAAGAAGCTCGAGCGCTACGTTTTCAAGTATACGTCGTCTTGGTGGGGTCAGTCCTTTGTCGCCGAGATGACCCGTCTCTCCCACGAGGCAACGCAGTCCAAGACGTTGAAGAATATTGGCGGCAACGTGGTTGGTCAGGTCACCAAGGCGATCCAGGGCGTAGTCGACAGCGTCACCGGGAACAAGGACAGCGCAGAAGATGCAAAGGAGACGAAGGCAGAGAAGCAAGAAGCATAACGGCCACTTGTAAATCCAAAAACTTGCATACCAAGTTATTCACTTTTTTACTGGGCAAGAGTCGTCGTCTCTGACGGCTGATTAACGAAAGCATGATTGAAAGAGAGAAAAGAAGAAGATTTTGCTCTCCTCGGGCAAAAGTTAGTGGGCGCGAAGCATACATGATCGGAAACAATGGCATCGAGCCGAGCGGAGTTTTTGGGGGAGCTTTTTACCATGTTCTTTTGTTTCAATTTCTGATGCTGGCAGGAGGGATATGGACGGGTCGCATGAGAGAAGATGTGTCGTACATGACGTCTATCCAATGCATTTGTCTCAATTTAGTTTATTTTCTTCTAGGGGGCATCCCCGTATTAGACTATCTACCAACTCTACGAGAGTTATGGAACATTACAAGTGACTCGTACACGATATATCAAGTGCATATTAGGGGCAGTTTAGAGTTAATGCGAATTGAAAAATAAACGCTAATCTCGCATTTGCTAAAACTAGAAGGGAGGTGGGAACAAACTACCATAGCTTGCTCACTTTCGGAAGATCTCAAAAGGTATCTAGAAAAGTACCCACTCTCCTTGTCGGGATGTCAAGAGAGAGAAGAGGGTGACGAAGCGAAAAGCAGACTCTTGAGAGTATTTGGCGGCACAGAGCAGAAGGAAAAATAGTAAGGTAAACGTGTTGTGCTGTCAGTCCCCCTCCGTCTCACGCCCATCCTCACTCAACCTGGAAAACGCCATCCCGGGAGTCAAAATAGTCCAACATGAACGCATCACACATAATACACAAAAGGAAAATCCCCTCGCCTAACTCAGTACGGCGACGCGACAATGTCCTCCTTGCCCAGCTTGTATCGGCCGCTCTTGGGCGTCGTGATCCGTCCCGAGTCTCTACGGCCCATGCTGAGCTGGGCAAAGTTGCCGGCGATGCTCTCGCGGGTAGGGCGCTTGAGACCCTGCTTGCCGACCATGTTGACCTCGTTTGGCAAGGCGACGATGACGTTCTTGTCCGTTCCGAACTTGAAGTCGTCGGCCTTGACCTCCTCGACGTAGCGCTTGATGCGGTAGGCGGCCTTTGCTCCGCGGAGGACCTTCTTCAAGCTCCACTCGACAATGTACGGGCCGGTAGCGGTGATGATGCTCGTCTCTTCCGCGCCCTCGCCAGCGTTGAAGCGCGCCGGTGTGAATGAGACGGGCTTGCCGGTCTCGTGGGCAAACTGGGCAACGTGCTCGGGCGTCAGGGCCAGACGGCGGGGCTGAGGCTTGTCGGAGGCAGCGAACGACTTCTCGAAACCAAGCTTGCCCTCGTTCTTGCCAGACTTTTGCATCGCGTCAATGAGCAGGATGTATGTTCGGCAGGTAGCGAGGACCCAGCGACCATCAGCAGAGGTGTCAAGACCGAGGATGGCTTCACCGAGAGCGGGAATGTGCGTCTTGGCGTTGATTCCGAGACGGTCGAAGAGGCGGACATCACCCTTGTTGGAAGCGACGGCGATGTATCCCTTCTCCGTAGTGGAGATAGCCGAGAAGTCATTCTTGGAAACGTACTGCTTCAGTTGAGAATCAACCAGCTTGGTGCCGGACAAACGGGGGTCGACACGGTAGAGGGCGTTCTTTGAGATACCAAGGAAAGTCGGCTCATGGGTCATCTGAGCGAACTTGTTCTCGGGTGCAAAGTTGAGAACGGGAATGTCCTCGTGAACGTTCCACTCGTCGACAACCTTGCCGTACTCAAGATCCATACGGTACAGCTTGTTGGGATCCGACTCATTTTGGAGAATCATGTTGCGATCCTCGTTATGAAGCATGACCTTCTTGGGGCTGAACAGTGTGCCCTTGGGAGTCTCGACCTTGGAAATGTTGGTGGAGAACTCAAGGTTGTTGTTCGGCGTGTGCTTGAAGACGCCAATCTTGGATCCGCGAACAACGAAGGAACGGTCATGCTTGTAACCAACGGCAAGCTGGGAGTTGACGTTGCCATCCTCTTCCTTGGTCTCGACGTCGTCATCCTCTTCGTCGCTGTCGTAATGCTCGCTACGCTGCGCATCGTCCTCTGCATCTTCGTACTCCTCTTCCTCTTCCTCTTCCTCCTGCTCTTCAGGGGTATCTTCCATAACCAAATCATTAAAGGCGGACGTGATGTACTCCTGCTCTCTGTCCGTCTTCTTCTCCCACTTGACCTCGTTCAGCTGCTCCCACAAAGCGCGAAGAAGAGCTTCTTGGAAGCGTTCCAAGGTCGGCTGGTCTTTGAAACGAAGTAGCCAGGAGTATGCCGATCCATCAGCTGCGAAATGGTTGAAGATGAAAGACAAGAACTCGAAGTTGAAGACGGGGTTGATGTCGGCGATAATCGGGATGCCTAAGAAGGCTCGGTCCTCGCTTTCAATTTGCAGCCAGTACTCCCACTTTCCAACCTCGGTGACGGTTGCGGTGACAGCGGCAGCTTGCTGGATGAAAGAGCCGGAGGGGTGGTCGTAGAAGTGAAGCTCACAGCTCTCTGCAGCGTAAGTATCGAGAGCCTTTGGAGCCTCGACTGACTTCGGGGGGCCGGTCGGCTTGGACTTCTTCTCCGGTGTGACAGGCATCTTGGCAGGTGTCTTCGTAGGGGTCTGGACAAGTGATTGCTCTTCCTTCTTTGTAGGTGTACCGATTGGATCTTGCGGCACAAACAGGCTGTCGGCAGATTCGATCGATCTGACAAGAGTAGGGCTGTGGATGGGACTCGCGGGAGGAATAGGCTGCTCGTCTTCGAATTCGAACTGCTTGAGATCGACTTCGGATGCAGTTGTGTGCGGCTTGCGGTACTTGCGCTCGTATTGGCACTCCTTGGCGACACGCTCGAATTGCGCAACTTGACCGGGAGACACAACGTTGTCGCAAACGAACTCGTAGACGTCACCGGTATCACCACTCAGGTCTCTCCAGGCCAAAATCTTCTCCTTGCCTTCCCGGATCTCGATGCGGAAGTGAAGAGCCTCGTCGAGCAAGAAGGTCTTCTCGTCTCTTTCGGCAGCAGCAAGCGCGTCGATCTCGGCGTCCTCTCCTTCCTCCTCAGCTAGAAGCTCGGCCTCACCTTCCTCGTAAACTCTCTGGACCACGAGCTGGTATTGGAAATCCTGCGCCGTTCGTCGGATGCGGGCGGCGGCGTCCTTGAAGATGAGTTCGGAGTAGCCCTTCGGCGAGAGAGGTCGAACAAGGTAGAGTTGTCCTTGGGGGAGCTCGATGAGAGATTCTTGGTTGCTAGATCCAAAGATGAGTTTGCCAACTACAGTAGAGAAAGGGTTGTTAGTATTTATTTAGAGGTTTCGAGATATCGCAAACGGGCGCGGTAGTCAGACATCGAAAAGGCGTTGATCGCGAAATGGTGACGACGAATGAAGCCTAACGAATGATTCACATGCGCCTCGCCGTCGTTGGCGGGATAAGGCAAAGCGGCGAACGCTCCTGGTGACGGATGAGTAGCGGGGTAAAATTACCGTTTCTGAGGACAAACATCTTGAAGTTTGGGGCTTGTTTGGAAAGCTGGGTTGATCGTGGGCAGAGAGCTATTGCGACGTGGTTTTGTATCTCTGCGAAGCTAGCCCGGCCGCTGGGTTGATCAAAGGACAAAGAGACGGAAAGTCCCAGACCTTGGCCACGAAACGAAAGTGATCAGGCACTAGGGAAGAAAATGCGTCATAAGAGGCAGCTTTTGAGTTGGGGTTCAGATGATCGAGGGGTGAAATGGTCTGTGGCTGTGCACGTCCCTTTTCTCTCCCAATTTTTTTTTTTTTGCCACGGCAACACACAAGGTCCCTGAGCCTCTGAGGAAGGTGAGCCACGGGACCGGGGTATCACGTGGGGCTCCGGCAGCGGCGGGTCCAGACCCACCCCGGACCCGTCCCTTCTACCCTTCCAGGTTCTTTCCACAGCTTCACGGGCATGTCGCCACCGCTAGTCGGGAGTATCAAGCTGTTAGAGGCCTCAGCTTCATCTTCAACAACGACAATCCGCCTTATGTCATTTCCAGACCTTTCCATCTGTAAACGACAACTAAGCAGCCCACCGTTTGTAGGCACGTCTGACATGTGTCACTAGTTTACACGTATGCAGATGCCGGCATCCGGAGGAAGAGATGTGATGAGCACCGTTTGACAAAATTCCAATTCTTCATTTTATCTGCAGTGCATATCAGGTCCGTGTTTGTAATGAAACTCCTTAGACTTCTTAGATATCATAAGACGCCATTTTATTTTTCAAGGTTTGAGCATAATTTCAAAAGACATGAGGCTTGGATCATTGTCAAAATCTAAGCCATCTACGAGACAGCTGTTACAGCATGTCAAATTTTCGAGACAAACTTGAATGGGGGAACACATCTTGGCGAGAGATTCCTGAGACGAGCTATCATTCTGTACAGTTTTTAAAAATGACTGTGTCCTGCGCATACTTCCAATAGCGAACAGAATGCAGTACAGATAGAGACAAGTAGAACGGATGAAAGGAAACACAAGTCCTCAAATCCAGAGTGATTACAACTCCTCAGCCACCGGCGCCTCCTCAACTCGCCCCAGCACCTCTTGCGCGCCATCGACATCGATCTTCTCGAGCGTCTCCTTGGCCTCTGAGAAATCATCTGCAATTAACTTGGCAATATTCATCCCCATCAATGCACTGGTCTCCATACACGAGATGAAGCTTTCGATACCGGAAAGATAGTAAAGCCCGTCCCTGAGGATGGGGTCCTGGAAGGTAACTCGCGGGTATTCGATGGGGTACGAGTTGAACACGTGCGGGTGGTACCAAGAGATGGGTTCAACAGTGCGCTGGCCGCTTTCTCCAGACTTGTCTCCCGCAATGATGGAAGCCGGCACTTCGACGCCAAGCAGCTTTGACAGAAACTCTGCGGTGACCTTCTTGGGAGAGAAGATCTTGTAGAGAAACTCGTCCTTGAGAGTGTCGGGATTCGTGACGGTTCTAAGGGTGCTGACGGAGTAGAAGCCAGCCTTGCCAGCACCTTCAGATCCTGCCTTTGCCTCGTCGTCGGGGCCGAGAGTCGTCAGGACCGAGTCGGGGGCCTTGGAACCAGGTTCCAGGCCGAAGAATTCCGGCGAGAGGTGGAACGGCGAGGCGAACAGGGTGACGTGAAGCTTAGTGTAAGGAACTTCGTCAATCTTGTGCTGGAAAAGATCATCCGAGACGCTGATACCTCCATACTGCCACGGCGTCGCAATAACGACGTTATCGAAAGCAATCGGGTACTGGTCCGCCTCTGTCTCGGCTTCGGCGTGGGCACTTTTGGTCGAAAGAAGATACTTGGAGTTGGAAGGACCAGATTTCACCGCGATGGATGTCACCGAAGTGTTGCGATGCAAGGTGGCATTACTCCTTTGAAGCATTGTCTGGAAGACCTGCCAGTTGCCCCCAATGACTTGCCGGGCACCTTCAGGTGCAAGAGAGACCATGGTCTCAAGGCCATGGATGTACTTCAGGTTAGATGCATAGTTGACTCTGGTGGCTGCCTGGATGATGTCGTGGGAGAAGAGCTCACTGATCTATCACAAGACAATTAGTGTATGAAACATCAGGGAGAATCATGCCCTACTTACATCGTTGTTTGCGAGAAACTCCTCCCCTGTGACGGAAGTTGCCTTCAAAAGATCCAGCTCGAAGACTCTTTGCGTGAGTGATCGGAAAGGAAAGTGAGGTTTCTCATAGAGCTGCAAAAAGGTCGCAACGGTCGACTGCACGAGCTTCTGCGCCTTGTATGGGGCTGTGCCGTACTTCCAGAAGAGCTTGGCCAAGTTCCACCAGTTCCAGGAGCTATCGTCTTGGGAAAAGACAAACTTCTCCCCGTCCCAGATGCCCAGGAAGCCATCACTGCCAGACTCAGGCTCCTTCAGGGGAAGACCAAAGTTGATGCTGGCATTGTAGATGATATGATTGGCCTCGATGAAGATGGAGGCGCCCAATTCAACGGGCTCGAGCGGGTTGCCGTAAGCATCTACGGTCAACGTTCGGCCTCCTACACGATCGGTCTTTTCAAATACTGTGATGTTTATCGGAAGACCTTCGGCCTCAGCGAACCTTTGGAGGTAGTAGGCCGCGGAGGAACCACCAGCACCAGCTCCTAGATATCGTGTTAGTACAGGGTCAAGTGGCGAGGCGGCTGATGTTATGGGACAAGCATCGGATCTTCAAAGGCTCATACGAAGCAGCGTTCACGTACCAATGATGGCCACCTGCTTTACATGGCTTTCGACGACAACCTGCTCAAGCTCAGTCGCAGGAACGGATTGTGTCAAGCTGAGCGCGGACAGCACAGCTGAGAGCTTGGACCCCCACATCATGCCGCGTAGATTGAGGGTTACAGATACGAAATCCTAGAACTAGATGAAGACGATGAAAGGGAGAGATGGAAATGACTGGTCAAAAGGAGCTGGGTGAGACAGAAGTACTAGTAACTACGCTTGGAAGATGAACAGGATGAAAGGAGAGCATGAAATAGATTCGTCATATGTGAGGTGTCTCCGGCATGTCTCCGGGAGGTCCCCAAATGAATTAAACTCAGGGTGAGTAAACAAACCGCCGCTTTACGCTGGCTGCCGTCGTACTTAGTTAGTATGGTTGAAGCTGGCCTTCTGCATAAGCTTAGGTTCCTTCATTAGTCAACGGAGATACTGGGACCAGAAAGCGATGTTGTAGCAAATGAACTGACCGTAAATAATTCTTTTAACTGATTTTCCGCATCACGTTCGTTCGAGAAAATGTTTTCTGGGTACATTTCTATTATCTTGATACCTATCAAGGGGATTGGTCTTCACGACTACCTGTGGAAGGAATGAATGTCACTGGCATAAGCTCCAGGTAAAGCAGCGGCGTATTCTTGGGATGAAGGTTTCATTGCAGTGGTCCTTTAGGGGACCCTCAAGTCCCCACGTCCCGAGCTCCCGCTCTCAGCTTGCAGTCGCCCCATCGAGAGGCGCTAACGACGCACGGATCATGGTGCAGTTATGCAATGGACGCTCGCGCCTCACTAATCACATAGTGTGATATGCTCCTATACATATATGCATATAGAGGAAATTAGTCAAGAATGGAGCACAGCAGCACCAAGCGCCAGGCATCCACCACCACCAAGCTGGGAATTAGCGAGCCAGCACCTTCTACCAGTGCCTGACCGCCTGCCACCTCGAGGCAGAAAAAAAGTCACCAGCAGAGTCCCGCATCTGAAGCTCCCGGGGCCAGGTCAATCTCGAGAACACTCCACGTCAGGTCGCTAATCCAATAACCTTACCGACCGATACCCCCTCACGAATCCCTCGACGACCTCAAGCCAACATGTCTGCGGCGCAACTGCTCAACCCCAAGGCCGAATCGAGGGTGCGCAACCCTTTCCCTGTCGATATTGTTTGTAATGCTAACGGCTAGTGCAGCGGCGGGGTGAAGCCCTGAAGGTCAACATCAGCGCTGGTGAAGGCCTCCAGGATGTCCTCAAGTCCAACCTCGGCCCTCTGGGCACCATCAAAATGTTAGTTTGTCGCTGTTCATGTCTTCAACATAGATGCTAATATTAGTAGGCTTGTCGATGGCTCCGGTCAAGTGCGAATCACTACCCCTCTTCCCCTGAATCCCCACCGCTAATGCGCCGCCGAACAGATCAAGTTGACAAAAGACGGAAACGTTCTCCTCCGCGAGATGCAAATACAAAACCCTACTGCCGTCATGATCGCCCGAGCTGCGACTGCACAAGATGATATCTGCGGAGACGGCACGACATCAGCTGTCCTGTTGATCGGAGAGCTCCTGAAGCAGGCGGATCGTTATATCTCGGAGGGACTGCACCCTAGAATTATTACGGATGGTTTCGAGATCGCCAAGAACGAGGCGTTGAAGGTGGGAATCTTATGGGCACGGATACTTAGATGATGATGCTGACGGGTGAATAGTTCCTCGACGGCTTCAAGCTCGAGAAGGAGGTCGACCGCGAGCTGCTTCTGTCCGTGGCCCGCACGTCGCTTTCCACCAAGCTCAACTCCAACCTTGCGGCCAAGCTCACCCCCGATATTGTCGATGCTGTTCTCGCTATCTACCAGGTCCCTGCCAAGCCCGATTTGCACATGGTTGAGATCATGAAGATGCAGCACCGGACCGCCTCCGACACCCAGTTGATCAAGGGTCTTGCCCTCGACCACGGCGCCCGCCACCCCGACATGCCTAAGCGCCTTGAGAACGCCTACATCTTGACGATGAACGTCAGCTTGGAGTACGAGAAGTCTGAGATCAACTCTGGATTCTTCTACTCTAGCGCAGAGCAGAGAGACAAGCTGGTGGAGAGCGAGCGCCGTTTCGTCGACGCCAAGCTGAAGAAGATTGTCGAGCTGAAGAAGGAGGTTTGCGGAAACGACCCCACCAAGAACTTCGTCATCATCAACCAGAAGGGCATTGACCCTCTGTCTCTCGACGTCCTGGCGAAGAACGGTATTCTCGCCCTGCGTCGTGCCAAGAGAAGAAACATGGAGAGACTGCAGCTCATCTGCGGCGGTGTTGCACAGAACAGTGTTGACGACCTGTCACCCGAGTCCCTGGGATGGGCTGGTCTCGTCTACGAGCAGACTCTTGGCGAGGAGAAGTACACCTTCATCGAGGAGGTCAAGGAGCCCAAGTCCGTCACCCTTCTGATCAAGGGCCCCAACGCGCACACCATCACCCAAGTTACGGACGCTGTCCGTGACGGTCTGCGCAGTGTCTACAACATGATTGTGGACAAGAGCGTCGTCCCCGGTGCTGGTGCTTTCCAGGTTGCTTGCGCGGCACACCTCAAGAGCGACGCCTTCTCCAAGACGGTGAAGGGTAAGGCCAAGTGGGGTGTCGAGGCTTTCGCCGATGCTCTTCTCATTATTCCCAAGACTCTCGCTGCCAACGCCGGTCTTGACATCCAGGATGCTCGTAAGTTTAAATCACCCTCCGTCTGTCGTAATGGTTTACTGACGTATCACAGTCGCCGCTATGCAGGATGAGCACGCTGATGGCAACATCGTGGGCTTGGACCTGGCAACGGGTGAGCCTATGGACGCAGAGCTCGAGGGTATCTTCGACTCCTTCAGAGTACTCAGAAACTGCATCGCCTCGAGTTCAAGCATTGCATCCAACCTGCTCCTGTGCGACGAATTGCTGAAGGCGAGACAGATGGGCAGAGCGGGAGGTCCTGGCCCTGGCATGGACGGTCCTGAGGAGTAAAGTGTTTGATGGATTCCAATGTAAAAAGTGTTGGCACGGTAGACAAAAGGCGTTGATCTTAGACCTGTCAAAGCTGAGAGCCGGAATGATATCCAAACATGAAGACAAAATATCGCATTCCATTTCCTGAACTATATTAACTTGACGTATTTAAGGCAGTTCAGTCAGGGGCAGCAGCATGAGCTTCCATTGTTTTGCTACCCCTCGCTGGAGGAGGGCGGGCAAGGTGCGATAAGATAAGCCCCGCATCGAAATATTTCGAGTGCCAAAAAATCTTGACCCCACGTACCCAGCCCAACCCGTCAGTCTCGCATTTCATACCAATATACAAAACCATGGCAGATTACGACAGTGATTCCTCCGAGCAGGAGTTCACCGAGACCAACGTGCTCCTCGGTTACGCCAGCAAAGATGCCGACGATGACACCATCAGTCGTCTCGGCGGTCAACCAGTGAGTCCCCTTGTTACGCATCGAGGAACATGGACGACGGGCCCTGCAGATTGACTGACACGCGGATTCTGCTCCCAGGACTGGTTGAACCCCGAACAACCAGCCTCAGCAGCCCTCGCGCGCTGTAAAGTGTGCAACGAAATCATGGTCCAGCTCCTCCAACTCAACGGCGAGCTCCCCGAAAACTTCCCCGGCCACGAGCGCCGCCTGTACGTCTTCGCCTGCCGCAAAACGAGCTGCCGGCGCAAGCAGGGCAGCATCCGCGCCGTCAGAGGTGTCAAGGTATACAAGGAGGCCCAGGCCGCGGCAGCGAAGAAGGCGGAAGCGAAGCCTCTGAAGAAAGTGGAGGAGAAGGAAGAGCCCAAGAAGGATATTAGCTCGGGACTCGGAAACGCGCTCTTTGGCGGCGGGTCCGGTACGGCGAACCCCTTCGGAGGCAACGCGAACCCCTTCAGCACGAGCGCTTCTTCGAGTAGCAGCCCCTTTGGCACCGCCGCCCCCTCGAACCCGTTCTCGAAGCCCGCCGAGCCTGTAGAGAAGAAGGAGGAGGCAGCAGAGGACCCGGCCGCGTCCCTTCCCAAGACTTTCGCCGAGACCCTAAACCTCAATAACCCGCAACCGCCCTCCGGACCGCCCCCGCCGCCGGAGCCGTGGCCCGCGGCCGACGCCCTGCCCAAGCCGTACCCGATTTCCTACCTCGCGGACGCCGAGTTCGAGACACTCGACCCGGAACCCATGCCCGTGCCGCAGAACGCGCGGATGGAGGTGGATACCGAGGGCGGCAGCGGAGGCGGAGGCGACATGAAGGACGTCTTCGAGTCATCCATGGACGCGGTGTTTCAAAAGTTTGCGGACCGCATGGAGCAGAACCCGGAACAGTGTATTCGTTACGAGTTCAACGGTGCGCCGCTGTTGTATTCCAAGGCCGACGCCGTGGGCGCGAAGCTGGGCGCTGCTGCTGGTGGGGGAATGACGCGGTGTGGAAACTGTGGTGCTAAGCGGGTGTTTGAGGTGCAGATGACGCCGCATGCCATTACGGAGCTGGAGGCGGAGGAGCTTTCGCTTGAGGGTATGGATTGGGGCACCATTATTGTTGGTGTCTGCGAGGCGGATTGTCAGGCAAGGGGTGTCGAGGTTGGCGAGGCTGGGTATCTTGAGGAATGGTGTGGTGTTCAGTGGGAGGAGCTTTCGAAGCGATGAGATGATGTCTTACACGATGATCAAAAAAGGGGCGGGCAGGGACGAAAGTTATGCAGCACATAAGATAATGAGAAAGAAGCGTTTTACACGACATTTCAAATATTGTGGCATGTCTCATATTCAGGGATATACTCTATGGCCCCCGATTCCAAAGTCAAAAGTGAACGCCGGTAATTTTTGCCGCCATGCTCTCTTCCAGCCCTAACTCCATGTACGGAGGGAGCTATTAGCAGCCAAGGGTCGTGATATCAACCCTTGCGTCCCCTTTGTCTGTTCATCCTCATACCGAAGCCCTGCGAATCGTCTTTTTCCTATTTCAAAAAGCCTTCTTTTACGCAGTCTCCTCCCATGATCTCCGGAGAATCCTCGAGAACATGTCAACGTTGACGTCCTCCCTGATCTCAGACTTCTTGGCCTCGTTCTCAGCGTTCTTGGGGATGGTGACGACGCCGTTGTCGCCGACGGTCCAGCCGGCGACCTCGGTGACGAACTTTGCGGTAGCGTCGCCGTCGAGGCCGAGCCACGACTCGAGCTGGGACAGGCTGACCTCGCGGAAGGCCTGGGCGACCGAGTTGGCAATGTTGCTGCGGATGAGGTCCTCGAAGCCCGAGATGTCGGCGATCAGGTCGGCGCAGAGGTCGTCGCCGTCAATGGTGTTCCAGAAGCGGGCGTACTGGGAGCCCTCGAGCTGGCTGTTGAGGGTGCGCAGCTTGGCGACGGCCTCGTGGAGCTCGCCCTGGGCGATGACGGAGGGATTGATGAGGTGCAGGGCGAGGGTGAACTGCGGCGAGGGGAACTGGGTCATGGCCTTGACGAGGATGTTGGTGACGACCTCATCCTTGAGACGGTCGGGGTTGAGCTGGTACCTAGAAGGGGAGAGAAAGAAGACGATTGGTCAGCTGTCTAGTTCCATGATGATGCAAGCTTCGTATGCAAGTTTGTCTCAATATTGATATCCGGTATCGTTCAGTTAACACCATGTGCTGACTTCACTTGCGACTGAGGGGTTCATGACGGAACAACCAGTGCATGTCAGGTAATAGGAAACGTTTACACGATCATCATATAAACCGGCGCAAGCCCAAGCAAGGGGGGTCTACTACCACCAACGTATATAAAGGACGCGTGGCGGGTAGGTATTTCGAGGTTGCGACTCACAGCTTCAGGAGTGTCCGGTTCGCATTACAGTCGCAGTACTTCTGCTCGCACTGCTCCTGCATGTAGGACTCGAGGTTGACGACAGCCTCGGGGTTGTACCGCTCGAGGCCATTGATGATGTTGACAATGTAGTCGGGCCGCTCGGGCGGATCTTCGCCGTTCAACATGATTGCTGGTTTTATGTGCGGCGTGGGGGGGTGTGAGAGGGTGGTTTTCGAGGTTCGGCGGGTTAGGAGAGGTATCGTGGAGGGGAAGGAAGAAATCGGTGCCGCTGGTGGGGCTTGGGCCGCCCTGGCGAAAGATTTCCAAAAGTTCGAGTGTGTTGTTGTGTGGAAGTCGCTTGGGTCGTCGAATGAGGTTTAGCGCCGGAAAAAGGGGAAAGGTGTGGCCGCTTCCTCACCTTGATGGTCCCAGGTTCACCTTACCTAAGGACTTCTGCTGACTAAGGGTAAGATCTCCAGGGGTAAGGTAGCTGGGACGTGCTGGGAAGGTGCACGTACCCTCTTGTTTGGATCGCAGGCAGCGGCGTCATTGACTGAGACGGTTACAGGGGTGAGCTAAGGTACCGCAGCGGACAGCTCGGTGATGAACTAACAACATCGTGAAGAGAATGAAGCAAAATTCGACTGGGCAATTTTGATGATAGCACGAAGCTTCATTTGCATCTGTTCTCACCAGAATAATCACCCAATGTTTTTAACTCAATAAGCTTTTGCATTGAAATCCATCGCCATGCCCAGCCCAAATAAGAAGAGGAAACTGAACGATCAATCATCAACTGCCGTGCCCTCCAGGGGTTTGGAATACTTCTTTTCTAAGCAGAAGCAGAACGGCACATCGTCACCAAAACCCACCACGGAGCCTTCTCAGGAAGCTATCCCAAATGGCACGGAATCCGGCGATCTACAGCAGGAGTTGACGGATGAGGAGCTTGCCAGGAAACTGCAAGCGGAATGGGATGCTGAAGTGCAGAACTCAAGAGCAGAATCTACGCCCTGTCCTGAACCAGCAAAGGACCCAAGTCCAAGGTTGAATGAGACCAATGGAGGGGAAGCTACCGAGACAAAGTCTGGACCGAATGGGTCGCTGATATCCTCGGTTTTGCCAACTGTCACGCCGAAGACGAACACGCTTTCACTGTCCTCTGTGGCAAATGCCGAAGACACAGTTTCAGCAACCATACCACTGGATCAAAGTCCACTGACGTTCGACCCTTCAGAATATGTCCCCCAGCTAAAGGAGTCATGGGCAGCAGAGAGAGGACACGCTTCCTACGCATTCCTCACCCGATGCTTCATCTTGGTGTCTGCTACACAAAGCCGCATCAAAATCGTGGATACTCTGGTCAATTGTATAAGAGTACTGATAGAAGCTGATCCGGAGAGCCTGCTGCCCGCTGTCTGGCTTGCAACTAATTCCATTTCTCCCCCGTACATCTCCTTGGAGCTCGGTTTGGGAGGGTCAGCAATTTCCAAGGCGCTGAAGCAAGTGTGTGGACTAGACAGTCGGTCTCTGAAAACGCTTTACGACAAGCATGGTGATGCCGGGGACGTTGCATTTGAGGCAAAGAAGAAACAAAGCTTTACTCTGCGGAAACCGAAACCCTTGATCATCAAGGCTGTCTACCAGTCTCTGGTCAAGATTGCCAATAGTCAAGGCCAAGGAAGCGGCGAAGCAAAGCAGAGAATTGTCGATCGACTGTTACAAGATGCCCGCGGTGGTGAAGAGAGCAGGTTCATTGTCCGAACGCTGTGTCAACATGTAAGTTCTGCTTCCCTCATGGCTTCTCCTAGTGTGTGCCTAACATCAGTAGCTGCGTATTGGTGCTGTCAAGACCACCATGTTGATTGCTCTTTCAAGGGCTTTCCTCCTTTCCCGGCCTCCGGGGGCCGAGTTTCCACTACGATCAGTCAAAGACCTTCAAAAACTAAAGAAGGAAGAGCTCGCTGAAGTATGGAGCAGGCCAGAGGAAATCCTAAAGGCCTGCTTTGCGCGACGTCCCAACTACAACGACCTTGTACCCGTCTTGTTGGAGATTGGCGTCTGCGATGAACTAGTAGTTCGCTGTGATTTGACGCTACACATACCACTCCGGCCCATGTTGGGAAGTATTACAAGAGATCTTTCTGAGATGCTCACGAAGCTCCAGGGCAGAGACTTTGCCTGCGAGTTCAAGTACGACGGCCAACGAGCACAGATTCACTGCGATGAACAGGGCAAAATTTCCATCTTCTCGAGACACCTCGAACTCATGACGGATAAGTACCCCGACTTGGTCGCATTGATGCCCAAGGTTCGGGGCGAAGGCGTCAATAGCTTCATCATGGAAGGCGAAGTGGTAGCCGTGGATAGCGAGACGGGAGATTTGAAGAATTTCCAGACGCTGAGCAACCGAGCGCGGAAGGATGTCGCTATCGGCAGCGTGCAAGTCAACGTTTGCATGTTCGCCTTTGACCTCATGTTTCTCAACGGACAACCCCTATTGAACCGGCCTTTTCGAGAAAGGAGAGAGCTTTTGCGGTCCATGTTTATCGAAGTTCCTCGTCAATTCACCTGGGTGAAGAGCCTGGACGCCACGTCACAAGACTCTGATGCTGTACTGGAGTTTTTCAAGGCGGCAACCGATATCAAGTGCGAAGGCATCATGGTCAAAATCTTGGACAACTTGACCGACGTCCCCTACCAAGGTGACGGCGCAGTGGACGCTGACGGCGAGGTTGCCGAAGAACCCAGAACGCCCTCAAAGTCAAAATCACGAAGCAAAGGCACCAAGGACGAAGAAGGCGCTCCGAAGAAGAAGGGCAGACGCAAGCCTCTCCTCGCCACATACGAGCCCGATAAACGTTTAGACTCGTGGTTAAAGGTCAAGAAGGACTACAACGCAAGCTTCGAGACATTAGACATGATTCCGGTAGCCGCCTGGCACGGATCAGGCCGCAAGTCCAAGTGGTGGTCTCCGATCCTCATGGCCGTCCGCAACGAGGACAGCGGCGCCCTCGAGGTCGTGTGCAAGTGCATGTCTGGCTTCACCGACGCCTTCTACAAGGCGAACAGGGAACACTACGACGACGGCGAGCTGGTCGAGAGGCAGAACACGCGCACGCAGAAGCCGGCGTTTGTCGAATACTCTGGTCCTGAGCCCGACGTGTGGTTCGAGCCCCAGGAGGTGTGGGAGATGGCGTTTGCGGACATCACGCTGAGCCCGACGTACACCGCCGCCATTGGGCTCGTCAGCGACGAGCGCGGTCTGAGTCTACGGTTCCCTCGATTTTTGAAGAAGCGCGAGGACAAGAGCATGGACGAGGCGAGTACGAATGAGTTTCTTGCTGGGTTGTGGAGGAAGCAGGAGGCGAAGGCGCCGACAAAGGAAGGGCAGGGCGATGTTGTGGAGGAATTTGAGGAGTAGGATCAGACCAATATTCAAGAGATTGGCTGGCAAGCTCGCGATTATGCTACGATAGAGTTGAGATTATCAATATGTCTTATTGATCATGGGATTGGCGGGAAATCATATAATGGAGGGGTCCTCGGAGCCGATGTATTCTCCTGATGACGTTCGGAGATAAACCCGGTGACTTGCTTCATAGGCTCTTCGCTCTTCTGGCTGCTCGGCGTCCTCAAATGACCCAAAGAATCCGGGGTTCGAAGAGCACCTTCCAAGTAGTTGTTGACGTTGATAAGAAGCCTAGATATAAACGAAGGTACCACGATCGTTGTTTCTCAAGATACACAACAACTCTTGGCCATACTCGGGCGCTTAAATACCGTAAAACATCGGAACATCTAATCGAGTTTTCCGAATTCATCCAACATAGGCCGGCAAGATAATGTCCTCCTATGAGAAGATCACACAGCCTGAGGCATATCCGTTGAAGAGAACTGCCCATTGTCCGAATAATGGCCTTCCAGTCCTCGTATATCGGGGCGTCCTCCAACCACTCAACGAGGACAGTGCGTCGGAAAGACTTCAGCGTCACGGCTGGGAGAAGAAGGTAAGACTACACCGACTTACGATGCCTTCGTATCTAAAACCGACTGCATTGCTGAAATATCCTCTTACTCACAGGGAACCTGGGGCACCATCAGTCTGAAGCACTTTCATCCAAACACACACACGAGTGTTACGGTAAGTTTTACCTATTCTGTTTACAACTTCGACTCGACTGACTTATAAAACCAGGCGTGTTTCAAGGCAGCTCTGAACTAGTTTTTGGTGAAGGAGTTTCGGATGATTCCGGCAGCGGAGTGAGGTGTCTAGTCCGAGCTGGCGATGTCGTCGTTGTCCCAGCAGGCGTAGGACACGCGTCTGTATCAAATGCTGAGGGAGCAGCGGACCCTATTGAGGGGGAGGCCGAGTATCGATATGTTGGAGTGTATCCCAAAGGTTCGCCTGATTACAAATACGAAATTGGCAAGAAGACATTGGAAGAGAAGAGCGGGCTGATAGAAGAGGTTTCCGCCGTTCCTGAACCGCCCAATGATCCTTTATACGGGCTTGATGGGCCATTGGTGAGAATCTGGAACAACTCCAGAGGGGTACTTGTTGAAGGTATGGGGTCATAGATAATGAGTTTTGGAGTTTGAAGCCCTCTCGGTTGACTTGATACTAATTAGGTCATGTCTATTGGTGAAACACTTGAGGGGAGGGACTCATGATGATAGATTATTGTCACTATTTAAGATGGACGTGAAGAAGGAGTATTCCAAATCACTCCTTTACACGATCACTTGGCCAGGAACACTACCCCAAAAATCCGAGGACCAGATAATGTTCATTGATATCAGTGACTGTGCCACAGAGCCTGGCGCGGTGCATTTTCGCATCGCGTTGCCCACGACTAGGGTTTCACAGCAGCACCTGCATATCTTCCGCATCTTCCTTGTGCCTTCAGGAGGATCCTATATCTGAGGCCATGCTCTTACCCTCGTTCGAACAACGAAGTTAAGTCCCCGTAGGTCATAACCGCCCATGCCAGGGTCAGATCCTGTCCTCAACGAGCATCACGTTCCCAGCTGTCTAAGAATGGAGTTTAGGTCGCCCGCAGACCTTTAACTTCGTTCTTGCAAGTACAAATTCCCTGTCATCCTGCGGGGTACGTCTCGCACTGACTCTCCGCTTGATTCCCTGAGATCTTGTCGCGGATGACCTTGTTGCTGAGAGCGGCATCCTAGACCGCAGAGCTCTGAGCAGGCTTCGTAAACCTCTTGGTTTCAATAGTAGCATGCAGTCATCGGGAACTGCGATTCGATTGGATCATAATTGCTGGCTAAGTGCGTTGACTCATTTAATGGCATTCATCCTCTGAGCAATCAAGCTAAAAATGGTCACAGAGCTCATGAAGAGGACTGCGTTGTAGAACTGCACGACTGGTAAATTTAGGGATCTCATGGAGCTGTTTGACATGGACTCACTGCTTTCCTAGACACTTCCCGCTCTTCATCATCCGTTCTTGCCTCAATGAACAAACGGCGCAGGTTGGGCAATGTGGCCTAAGGAAGACTTGTTAGATGACTGTCATTCACTAGATGAATGGGGATGGCTTACCATGATGATTTCGTGGTTGTTATTGGTAGTGTTTCAAATCGCAGGCCTGGGCCAGATATCTCAGTGTCTTTTGTCTTCTCAAGGGTCTAGTCGCTTCGAAACGCCGCGGAGGAGCTGAAGAGATACAACAAAATGTGAGGCCAAGGGCAGCAGATGGAAACGGCGAGGTTGCGATGAGCTCATCTATGTTTACTTGTCTTAGAGCTCGGTACCTTGTACCTCTATAAAGGATTATCCGATATAGCGACAATCCCGCTAGTTGCATGAGCGTCGCTGTGGAGTCGCCAAGGGGGGTAGAGCGACATTCATTTAGCGAATCGGAGCACTCCAGCGCCCAGCACTGCCAGGCTGGCCAGGCTGGGATTAAGGTTAGGGGTGCATTCCACTGACAGGTACTTCTTCGACCACCTCATCCTCTTGGCGAATAACGACGAGGTGCATTTACTGCATCCCCCGGACACCTACAACGAGCAAAAGCAAGCGGACAGCTGTCGTCGACTTCCGAGACTTTACTTTGGATGAGCTTGTCCAGGTCCTGATCGGACTGGCTATCTCTCTCATCCGCCAGATCGCCTTTAGCTCCCTCCGACAACCCATCAGACCTCCTTCCACCTCGAGCATCTTCCAACACCATGGCGGTCAATCGGATTCGTGGGGCCTTTGCTGTCCCGAGGAAGGGAGAGACCTTTGAGCTGCGGGCAGGCCTTGTCTCTCAATATGCCTACGAGCGCAAGGAGTCAATCCAGAAAACGATTATGGCGATGACGTTGGGCAAGGACGTGTCTGCTTTGTTTCCCGACGTCCTGAAGAACATCGCGACAGGCGACCTGGACCAGAAGAAGCTGGTTTATTTATACTTGATGTTAGTCTGCAGCCGAAGCCAATTATTTCCCCTCGACGCGGTGTCTAGAGCGACTGCTAACAGTAGGTATCAGGAACTACGCGAAATCGCATCCAGATCTCTGTATTCTTGCCGTCAACACTTTCGTACAAGATTCCGAAGACCCAAATCCCCTCATCCGTGCGCTAGCGATCCGAACGATGGGCTGTATTAGAGTCGACAAGATGGTGGATTACATGGAAGAGCCGCTGCGGAAGACACTACGAGACGAGTCGCCATACGTTCGCAAGACGGCCGCTATTTGTGTTGCCAAGCTCTTTGATCTCAACCCCTCGATGTGCATAGAGAACGGCTTCCTGGAGTCGCTGCAGGAGTTGATCGGAGACCCGAATCCTATGGTCGTCGCGAACTCGGTCCAGGCGCTTTCAGAGATCACCGAAACAGCACCAGAGACTCGAGCACTTGTAGTGACACCAGCCACACTGAAGAAGCTGTTGATGGCTCTCAACGAGTGCACAGAATGGGGTCGCGTCACTATCCTCACCACACTGGCCGACTACCCTGCTGCGGACACCAAGGAGGCTGAGCACATTTGTGAAAGAGTTGCGCCGCAGTTCCAACACGTCAACCCCAGTGTCGTCTTGGCTGCTGTGAAGGTGGTCTTCATCCACATGAAGGCAGTCAGCCCGGAGCTTGTGCGATCATACCTCAAGAAGATGGCGCCGCCGCTTGTCACGCTTGTGGCTTCCGCCCCTGAGGTGCAATACGTTGCTCTTCGCAACATTGACCTCCTCCTGCAGGCCAAGCCCGATATTCTTAGCAAAGAACTGCGTGTCTTCTTCTGCAAATACAACGATCCTCCCTACGTCAAACTCCAGAAGCTCGAGATCATGGTTCGGATAGCCAACGAGAAGAACTTTGACCAGCTCCTTGCAGAATTGAAAGAATCCGCTTTGGAGGTTGATATGGACTTTGTTAAGCGCGCCGTCAAGGCCATCGGCCAGGTTGCGATCAAGCTAGAGAGCGCCAGTCAAAAGTGCGTCAACGCATTGTTGGACTTGATCGCTACCAAGGTCAACTACGTTGTGCAGGAGGTTGTGGTGGTTATCAAGGATATTCTCCGCAAATACCCTGGTTATGAGGGCGTCATCCCCACGCTCTGCAAGTATATCGACGAACTGGACGAGCCAACGGCAAGAGGATCATTGATTTGGATTGTAGGAGAGTACGCTGAGAAGATCAATAACGCCGATGACATCCTGGAAAGTTTCGTGGAGGGTTTCATGGAGGAATTTACACAGGTTTGTTGACTCATTCCGCATATTCAAGTACTCGGCTAACTTTTAGCAGACTCAACTCCAAATCCTGACTGCTGTGGTCAAGCTTTTCCTCAAGAAGCCCGGCAGCAACCAAGGACTGGTCCAAAAAGTGCTTCAACAGGCTACGACAGATAACGACAACCCGGATATCAGAGATAGAGCTTACGTCTACTGGCGTCTATTGTCAGGCGATTTGGATGTCGCCAAGAACATTGTTCTCTCTCAGAAGCCCGCCATTACCACAACAATGACCAGTCTACCCCCCGCTCTGCTCGAGCAACTGCTTGCAGAGCTTTCTACTCTCGCATCAGTCTACCACAAGCCACCAGAATCATTCGTTGGCAAGGGTCGCTACGGAGCAGACGAAATCCAGCGCGCGGCCATCCGCGAACAACGGCAAGAGGCGGCCGAAAATCCCATTGCTGCGTCAGTGGCAGCCGTGGCCAACGGCAACACCAACTCACAAAACAACATCGAGAACCTTCTCGATATCGACTTTGACGGTGCTGCTCCCGCATCAGCCGAGCAGCAGAGCAACATCAACACCCCGGACAGAGTTGCCAGCCCCGCAGGAGGTGGTAACTCGAGTGCCATGGCTGACATGATGGGTTTGTTTGACGCTCCTCCGCCGCAGCAACAACAGCAGGCGGCCAACCCGATGAGCCCCGGAGCAGGCGGTGGCGGCATGAATGACATGATGAATGGCTTCGCTGGGCTCGACTTTGGCAACACGGGCTCCGGGCAACCGTTGCCGGCGGGTATGCAATTACACCAGCCTGCGCAGGGTCAAGCTGGCCAAGGAAACGGGAAGAAGACGAACGAGGACTTGCTTGGGTTGTTCTAGATCTCTGAATAAGGGGAGCTGGTTCATTGGGGAGTCCAGGCATGCTGTTAGGAGTAGGTTGATAGATGACAAAGAACGAAGCCAACGAAAAGCCTGCTTCTGCTTTTCTGCTTTCCGCGAAAAACTCATGTATATACTCGAAAAGGGGGGTGTCTAGACCAAACACCTATCGCGCCGTCCTCCCAAGATGCCTCCATGTCTTCTTCTGATATCATGCATGGCGTCCTTTTCCCGGCTTGTATGGGGGACGTATTATGCCCTTTATGTGTGTCCATGTTCCCCAAGCCCCGAGTCATCTCTGTGATCGGCGTGGAAGTGACACTGATGATGCATAATGCTTTTCTCTCAAACCGGGCGGTCCAGTCCAATCTAGTCCATTTCAGTCCAGTCCGATTCTGGTGCGGTGTTCCTCTCTCCCTTTCACTGCGCAACACCCTCGACCCTGCCGCCGACAGTCCCGTCCATCGGCGGGCCCTCGCTGCTCCCGCCGGCGGCGGCCCTATCGCGCTCCCACTCGGCTGGGGTCTGGCACTTTGCGCTCCAGGCGTGGATCTGGGCGATCTCGTCCTTGAGGGCGGCGTTGACGAGGCGGTGGCGCTTGAGAGAGGTTTGTTTCTCGAAGGCGGGGGAGACGATTGTCGAGGTGAAGGCTTGACCGCAGCCGCCTGGTAGGGAAAAAGGTCAAGGGTTAGTCTGGAGGGAAGCTTGAGAAATTGTATAACGGTGGTTCGTATGGGGAGGTGTGCTGGGCGGCGATGGCGATGCGCCCGGCGACTTTTTGATTTCCAACATGGCGGGGCATGACGTGGGGGGTTTTTCGAAGGAGTGCTACGGATAGAGCGTACCTGACATATCCGAGATCTCGACGTGAATTGCCTGCAGACGCTCAGTGAGGGCCTGCTTTAGCGAGGCCTCTGTTATTTGGTTTGCCATTTCTTCTCTCGCTTCTGTGTGAGGGTATCTAATGGCTTTCGGGGAAAAGCGACGATCGGGTTCCGGGGGGGTGGCAGCTTTTGGGTTGGGAGATTGTCGAAAATCGGAGGTGCTTGGTTCTGCGGTGGGTTTCCTGTGGTGGGCGGCGGGCTTGGGTCGGCGATTAGATTGATTAGATGGTGGGGTTCTTTTTTGAGGTGTCAGGCGGAGTGGTTCCGTCATTGAGGGGCTTCTATTTCTTTTGGGGACCTTGTTAGAGATGCAGTCCTTTCTTATGGATTGCTTCACTCTCAATGTGAGTGCGACAAGCATGGCTTGCGTTTCTTATTTGTGCCGATCTCAGCGTTCCCTTTGCAACCTTGTTGTATAAACCTGAAGTCAAGCATCGTCTAACGTTCACTACTGTACTAAGCATTTGGATCATTGAAGTTCCAATGGAGGCAAAGACCCCTGTTGGCACTAGACTCTTCACCGCAACGACCTCTACTGCGAGCTTATAACCTCGCGCACTGACTAGATACTTGTGTCCATGTTCAGTGGCCATCTCATCGGCAGCGGGGGTCACGTCCTCTTCCGGCTTGTACTTAAAGGCCTAACCTCGCACCGCAAGGGGTTTCTTGGGGCCAGGGCAACTTCACCGCGGTGTCATCTTGAGATACATGGACTACTCACCCGATCTCACACGTCTGGAACGCTTTCAGAAATATTCGTTCCCAAATACGAGCAGCGTGCAGCGACTGTATTGGCCCCAGGTCATACATAGTCCTGTGTTTGCAGTCTTTAGACGTTCTTTGATATAGAAGAGTAAGGATAAAGCAGTTAGTATTGACTGCCACCATCGCAGTTGTGGCCTCTCATGGAGTGAGTACCTCAGGCTTGGCCCAAAGTGCGCTTCCACACTGTGTCTGTTACAAAGACTTATATATATATATTGGGAAGAAAAATTAACAAGGCGAGCTTGTGTCCGAGCCTTCAGCAAGCTCAGAACATATGAGAAGATATCATGTCTGAGAGTACCTCTTCGAGTGCTGACCTGAAAACTGCCTTCCTCTCTAAAGCTGGTTGAAATGTTTGTTTACAAGATTGAACATTCAGCGAGGGCCATCGGCTGCTTTACAACTTCAATAATTTTTAATATGGATTCAGGAGCTAGCGCCAGTCACAAAGGCCTCTGCATATAGACGTTCAATGCCACACACTCTGGAGAAAGAAGGTGCTAAAACCAATAATATATACCTCACTCAAATGCGTCGTGGACGTGCAAAAATATCAAAAGAATTAATCGTTTCCGAAACCGAGAATCGAACTCGGGGCTATGCCTAACCTCTCACTGGAGATGAGAGGGCATCATGTTGGCCACTACACCATATCGGATTGGTTGATGGAGGACTTGAGAAGATTTTGCAGGAAGTAGCGTAGGTGGGCTAACAGTCTCCGCTTTCTGTCACTTACCCGCTCGTCCATCTACAATGCGGATGCCTTCCCAAACCAGTCAACCGTTGCATGCGAGCCTGCGGTAAATATGGAATCTCGCCCGGAAACTAAAGCTTGAGCGTGAGACGTTGGTTGGATTGATGATGGAAAATGGCTCTCTCTGAATGTTGATTGAAGAAAGAGACAGGTCGGAGAGGATTAGTTGATGACACGAAAGTCAACAGTGAAGTGGCCAGGAATGCACGACTGTGTCATTGCGGGGCTTATGTCATTCAACCAATGCACCAATGATGGAAGATATCTCAATATGCATTTAATGGATATTTGAAGGAAGCTCGGGCTCTGCAACCCCTCTACAACATTGCCTCATACCACGACAACCAAATTTCAAGCTTGGAATCTAGATATTCAAAGCACGTCAATTGATTTCGAAAGGAACAAGAGTCTGTTTGATCCTTCTGTGTCTGGATTTTACAAGAGAAGCTATGCTCACTGGTTTAAGGACATCCATCCCGTCAATGAGCTATAAGCTTGTTAGGACATCAGCGCATATAAGTCGACGGTCTTGCGGGTCTACAGCTTCACTTCGGCTTCCACCATTTCAAGTCTCTGCAAAAGCACAAACTTGTAAACCTTGTTTTTCAACAGTCACTCGCCTTCACCAGACACAGCCTGCAACACCAACTCTCAAAATGGCGGCCAGCAACAAGTATTCCTCTCCAAACTTCACCGCCCAAGTGGTGGCTGCCATGCGCAAGCAGTAGGTCTCACACACATCTCACAGTCTAATGCAAATCACTACAACTGAATCCCTTCGCACAGCTACCCTGAAGAGATCGCTGATAGAAGATGGGACAACGTCGGTCTCCTCCTGGATAACATCGCGACCACGGCAACCGCCACGCCCAAAAACCCAGTCGTCCTGCTCACCAACGACCTCACCTACGCCGTCGCCGAAGAGGCAGTCCAGAAGAAAGTAAGCGTCATCGTGAGCTATCGTGAGTTCCTCCTGACTCGTTCTCCATCCCCTACACCATCTTACAACTCCCCTAGACCCCTTCATCTTTTCCGGCCTTAAGTCCATCACAACAAAGGACCCCCAGCAAGCAACCCTCCTGCTCCTTGCCTCCAACGGCATCGCAGTCTACTGCCCCCACACAGCCGTTGACGCCGCCCCCAACGGCCTAAACACCTGGCTCGGCGACATCGTCTCCGGCGGGCCCGCCTCCTCTTCCTCCACCGCAGCACCCTCCGACCGCACGGTGATCACCCCTCACTCCTCGCCCCCAGCCGGCTTCGAGGGCTCAGGCTACGGCCTCCTATGCACCTTCCGCCAGCCCGAGTCTCTCGCCGACATTATCCGCCGCGTGGCCTCCCGCGTAGGCATGCGCCGCGTCATGGTCGCCTCGCCAAATCCCGCAGGCATCTCGACGGCGCGCGTCGGTGCCGTGGCCGTCTGCGCGGGCAGCGGTTGGGACGTTGTCAAGAGCGCGGCGGCGGACGTGGTTGTCACGGGCGAGATGAGCCATCATAATGCGCTCAAGGCCGTGCAGGAGGGCAAGACGGTTGTTACTGTGTTCCACAGCAACTCGGAGAGGGGGTACCTTACCGAAGTGATGAAGCCCTTGCTCGAGGGAGAGCTGAAGAAGGAGGAGCCTGGTATGCTGGTTCTCGTCAGCACGGCTGATCGGGATCCGTTTGAGATTTTGGACATTTCCGAGCTGTAAGTTCATGGAGGCCTGAACGTTGAAGGGGAAAAGCGATGTCTTAAGAAACTGAGGAGAGAGTTGAGCTCACCATTGGGGCTAAAGCCAAGCTCGAAGCAGTCATCTATAGATGGCTGACGACGTTGCCTTCCTTTCGAACGTTTCGAGTCCTAAAGTCGACAACATTACCACGGCCAGAATTTCCCTGAGCGTTCTGAAAGCTGAGAGTGGGTTTGCTGTATCTGTGCAAATGATGGTTCGTTCATCCGCTGAAGCTGTTATGTGTACTGGAATGAACGTGTGAAACCCGTAAATTTTGTCCAGTTCTAATCGACGAATCTGTCTCTTTTGCTCCAAACCAAAAAAGTTGCGCCAAGCCCAAACACCAGAAAACTCCATCGCTATGCCCGCAACCCCCCTTAAAAAGCACAACATCAAAACAAGAAGACTCAAGATCTCCCGCTATCCTTCGATGCCCTCACACTGCTTTCCCCAGAGCTAACCCTCAGCGCCGCCTCCCCCTCTTCCAGACACTCGGCAACATCCTTCCCGCCGATACCCTTCTCCTTCCAAACCTCCAGCAGCCGCCGCGGCATCTCCCAAGCCCGCCTCGCCTCCTCGACCTTGCCCTCCTTGACCAGTCTCCGCAGCTTCTCAGGCGTCCCCAGCACCTCCCTCGCAAGCTCCCGCGTCCTCCGCCGCCGCGCCGCCGCCGCCTCGTCTTCGCGCTCCTTGGACGCTGGCGGCGCGACCGTCTTGCGCAGCGCTTCGCGGATCGAGCTCGCCTGGGCGTAGATGCCCGCGATCGCAGGGTCGAGGGTCGAGGCCATGGGGTTCAGGGGGTCCATGTTTGCGCGCATCTGTTTTCAAACGTTTCGAGGGTTTTCTTTAGCTTTCATCGTTCTTTCTCTGATCATTCTTTGTCTGTATGTCGCCTGGGGGATTTGCTCTTCTCTGCAATTCCTGAAATAGCCAAAGATTAAAAGGGGATTCTGTTTCTCTTGCTTACCTTGCGAATCGTCTCCGTCGCGGATATGAGCTTCGAGTAATTATCATACACCAACGCCTTCTTCTCCGCGTCCAGCGCCCGGATCTCGCCTAGTACGCGGGTATACACCCGCAGCAGGTCGTCGAGCGTGTTCTCCGCCAGCGCCTTGCGTACGTACGCCTCGGCGTCAAAGGACGGGCTGTCGAGCTCGCTGGGCGGGACCTCGGAGTGCTCCGCGTGGCGTTCGTGGTCTTCTGTGATTTCTAGTGAAGGGGGCGTACCATTCCCGCCGGCCGCGGCGGCCTTTTTGAGGTTGTAGTACTCGCGGAGGGCGGCTCGGTTCGCGCGCTTTGATGGTCCTCCTACTGGCGCCGGGCCTCCGGGACCGGTCCCGTTGCCGAAGGTTGCGGAGGAGCCTGGATTCGGGGAGCTTGTGAGGGAGCGAGGGGTGTCGAGGGAGGGTCTGGTCGAGGATGTCGGGGTGTGTGGTTGTGCTGAGACGCGGCGGGTGAGGGCTGGTGGTTCGCGGGGGGATGCGATGGTAGACATCTTGGTGGGAGTAGACGGCTTAGCCGGGGGTTCCTTCAATTGTTGCAGAATGAGAAGCACAGGAAAAGGTAATTGAGGGCTGGTCGGAGGTGTTCTAGGTGTTTTGTTAAAGTTGGCTTGGAGTGACAGATCGAAGGAAGCGAGGCTGACTCTGGGACGACGACGGGGATGCAGGTGATAGGTCGGCGGCAGAGCTCCTGTGGGGAGCGCCCCTGAACTTCAGCTGCACAGCGAGGCTGCGCTAATTGATACATGCTAACGGCCAGGATCTGCAGTGGGGGGCGCCCCCAGGGTTTAGAGATTTTGGGGTAGCTTACCCCACTGAAGCTCTTATTCTTCTCCATCTCCAAACTCACGCGAAGGAATCTACAAAACTTCTCTCTTCAACTCAGGATGTAGACACCCACCGAAACCCTGAACCGTCTTACGAAAATGGATTATACCACCAAAATCCGCTCCGCCCTCCAAACCCAATCCTTCCCGACCCCATCCCTCCCCTGGACAACAAGCCTGACCTCGCGCGTCCCAACCCCTCCACTCCCCTCGCTTATCGCGACCGCCAAAGCCCGCCTCCTCGCCTCGGACCTCACGACGCCGGGCCTCCTCGACCCCTCCGCCACCGCGATCTTACCCACCTCAAACCCCGAGCTGCCTGAGTCGATCCTGCAGCGCGACGTCCCCTGCCAGGTTCTCGATGTCGAAAACCTGAGCCTCTCGCGCTGGGAGCAGGTCGAGGAGCTGGAAGCCGTCGCAAGGGGGGAGCAGACGACGGGGCGGAGGGTCGTGAGGCTCGCTGCGGCTGAGGAGCCCGAGTATGATAATATCGACGAGGGCAGCGGCGGCGGCAGTGGTGCTGTTGGAGCGGGGAGAGCTCCGCAACAGCAACAGCAGCAACGACGGAACGCTACGCATCGGATGGTATTGCAAGACTTCAAGGGCAACAAGATATATGCGCTGGAGCTTAGACGGATAGACAAGATTGGGATCGGCAGCACGAATATTGGCGAAAAGATTATGCTTAAGAAGGGGACGGTCGTTGCGAGGGGCACGGTGTTGCTGGAGCCGGAGAAGTGCGTTATACTTGGGGGCAAGGTTGATGCGTGGCAGAAGGCGTGGGTAGAGGGGCGGATGGCGAGGTTGAAGGAGGCTGTCGAAGGGGAAAGGTGACATGACTAGAGGAGAGCGATTCTAGTGTGGCATCACTTGGAGTTTGGCATTGATACCCCTTGCTTTATTTGCTCATGAGAAACTGGGCAGCACATGTTTGTTTTTATTCTTTATGTTATCCGTGATATGGATTGCAGCAAGCCTTCATAGGTCTCATGAAGAGCTGATTTTCTCATTCATGTCTGGCCAACATTGACCCTACACGTGAACCCCCCTATTCCCCTCCACAGCAACTACAACATCAGTCCAACATATCTCTAATTGCCGTACACAGCCTCTCGCAGTGAGTTCCAGCCATCAGGCTTCCAAGGAGCCAAGAAAATGGCCGTCTGGGCATCCGCCGCAACTCCCGTCCCAGCATATGCCTTTGCCAAACTCTCCGCCTCAAGGGTACCTCTAGGCGGCGCTCCCTTCTTGGCCACCGTCAACGCCATCGCAGAAGCATGCTGCTCCCCGCTAAACTCAGCCAGATTCGACCAGCCGTGAGGCAGGTGAGGATAAAGCATGATATCCGTCTGGATCTGGGTCATAACGTCCTCCTCTATGCTTGTGTCCCCGAGCTTCGCGATAGCGTTCAGGACCTCGCCGATCTGCGACTGTTCCGCGTCCCCGACGTTGTGGCTGGTCCGAAGACCCTGCAGCTCGGACACGACGGCCTCGACCGACTCCTCGTCGTTGTCGAGGATGGCGATGACACCGAGCAGGAGGACGGACTGGACGTGGTCGGGCTGCTTCTCAATGACCTCGAAGAGCGCGCCGCGGGCCTTTTCGCGGGACTCTTCGGCGCCCGTGGCCCAGAGCACCTGCGCGAGAAGGCAGACGGCGTCGGGGTTGTCGGACTCTTCAAGGGCAGATTCGAAGCACAGGAGCGCCTCGTTGACGTCCTCACTGTAGTACTGCGCCAATCCGACGGTCAAGTGCGCCGAGAGGCGCGCCTTCTTGCGCTCTTCCTTGCTCAGCTCGTTGTCGGACTCGTCGGCGCTCAGCTGGATGGCCATCTCGCCGCACTCGATCGCCTGCTCGAACGCGCCCGAGGCGAGGTAAGACCGCGCCAGGTCGGTCTTGGCCAGCGCGAAGTGCGCGAGGGCCTGCGGGGACTCGGTGTCTTCGTAGTCGGACTCCAGGATGCCGCAGATCTTCTCGAGCATCTCCACTGCTTTGCCGGTATCGTGGGTCCGCTCCAGGAACATGCTCGACAGGTGTCCGTAGGCGAGGTCTTGGGGCTTCAGACTGTTTAGCTGACCAAGAGCAAAGATTGGCTGAATCAGGGAGGCGACGTTCGCGGATGTCGTGCCCAGGATGAAGTCGAACACCGCCACCGAGTACTGGCGTCTGGTGAGGACTGAAGACGCCTCGGCGATCTCCATGGCGTGCGTGAACAAGCCCCTGGCCTCCTTGACCTTTCCGTACAAAAGTGCCACGAAGCCCTGGCCGAGCCACGCGTGCGCGTAGTCGGGATCAGTCGATTGCGCCCTGTTAAAGGCTTCATTCGCGAGCTGCACGTCGTTCTGGAGAAGAGCCAGGGTACCGAGGTTGGTCCAGGTTGCCGGGCTTCTCTCGTTCAAGTGTAAGCTGCGGACGAACGAGTGCTGCGAGACGGCCGGGCTGACCTCGCTCGTCACGACACCCAGAGAGTTCCAGAAATCCGAGTTGCCGGCTTCCAGCTCAATGGCGCGCTTGAAGCACTTCATAGCCGTCTTCAAGTAAACGCTCGACTTCTTCCGGATGCTCGAGGGTAGGCAAATGTGAGCTCGGTGCTCGGCCCAGCCAAGGTTGTAGTATGCCACTGCTTGGGCATGCAAATCGTTTGCGGAAACGTGGATTGCCCGCTTGTGACACAAGAGTGTTGCGTGGATGCATCTTGTCAGGGTAACACCGAGTCTCTCGTCTTCAGAGAACAAGCCCTTTGCAGAGATGACCCCAGTTCCGACGTTATCCACGTCAGCAAAGAGATCATATGCCTCCTTGTCGCCGCTGTCGATGAGTGTCATGATGACATCTGCTGGGAAGTCGACTGCTCGGCTTTGCACTGCGGAGAAGACGGAACAAGCACCAGCGAGCGACTTCCAGAAGTTGAAGGTCTCGGTGACGCTAGCAGCGGCCTTTGAGGCAAAGTCTATCGTGTCGATGGCGAGGTGCACCGCCTTGCCAAACAGGCCCTTTTCTACGCTGTCAAGAGCACTGTCGACCATGGTCTGTATCAGGGCAATGGCAACTCCGTCCTCATCAGGGCGGCCGTCGATGACATCCTGGTAGAGAGCGATGGCCTCATCGAACTCAGCCAGCTCACGCTTCACATTAGCAAGCATGTACTTGGTGAACCAAGTGTCGCCCAGAGTCTCCGCAGGCGCAGTCTCCTCTAATTTCTGCGCGTTGAGAATCGCCTTGGTAGCTGCGATGTACCGGCCGGAGGAGTAGTAGCTTTCGCCCAGGCCAACCCACGAGTGGTAATCCTCTGGGTGGATTCTCAGTGCAGATTGGAAGGACACAATAGACTTGTGAAAGTCCTGCTTGTTCAGCTCTGCCACACCGAGGGCGGATAAAGGCCAGCTGATACCCTTCCTCTTGGAGCCCGGGGGCGGCTTAACCTTTCCAGAATCAACCACACGTTGAGCCACGAGCTCGACTCTGTCCCAGTCGCCTTCGTCGGCAAAGGACTCGGCAAGACGCTTGGCGGCTTCGACTTCGGAGGCAGAGAGTTCCACAGCCTTCTGGAAGCAGCGTCTGGCTCTCTTCTTGTCCTTGGCGTAGTCGGCGTAGTAAACACCGAGACTCGTGTAGGCGGGCGCAAAGTTGAGATTGTTCTTCAAGGCGTCCAAGAAGTACAAGTAAGCGCCGTTGCGGCTCTTGCGGGCTGCCTTGGATGTATCAATGTTCCAAATGCAAGAGCCCAGACGGTACTGTGTTTGTGCGAGAAGTTCCTTAGAAGGCGTTGGCAACTCCTCAATTAGGGGCAGCGACTCCTCCAGCTCTGCCTTTGCGGTGTCATAGTCTCCCTTGAGCGCCTGAACCCAGGCAGATTCGGTCTTAACCCGCAGGTTGGACGGATCTCTCTTCAGAGCACGTCCAAAGAAATCGATAGCGTCGTCGTAGTCCTCCTCCTCTTCGTAGATGAGACCGACACCAATCAATGCTGGAGTTGACGACGGATCATGTGATAGAACCCCTTCAAACAGCGTCTTTGCCTCAGTGTGGTGTCTAGGCGACTGAAAGAACACCAAGCCTGTTGCCAAGTACAAAGAGAAGGCATCATTGGTATTCTGGAACGTCATGCCAGTCTTGTTTCTCTCCGTCTTGATGTGTCCCATCGACTTGCGCATCAGCTCCACCGTCGTTTCGTGTTCCTCCAAATGCTGGTAGTACTCTCCCATCAAACGATGAGCGAACAGTGAGTTGGACGTAGTGATGCCCTCCGTCATCATCAGGATTCTATCCTGTTCCGTGAGCGGCACCATAGATACGCCACCACCCTCATCGTCCTCGCTCTCTTCCTCAGTTTCCTCTGCTTCGAGAGCTGCGGGTGTTGGCTTGGGGAAGGGAGAGATGCTACTTGTCAGAAAGCCGGTGATGACTTTGTAGAGATCGGTCTCTGGGAAGAATGAGCAATAGTCTCTCAGCATATTGACGTCCCATTCCTTGATCTCTTTTGCGTCCTTGTAGTCAATGGCAATCTCCCAGGCAAGCCGGAAGGGGTGCTTGATGATGACCATGTCAAGCGCCAGTTTCAGGACAGCTTGAAGAGCCTGACCCTTTTCCGGGCCATGTGGTGCAACCAGCAGACGGTCATAGCAGTATTGAAGAAGCTTTTCTTCATACTTTCGCCGGAGGTCGTCATCATTTGTCCAGTTGATCAGCTGGTGGTAGACGAACTCCAGCTTGCTCTGAGCCATGACTTCACGCTTGACCTCAAGAGTGACCTCGGCCACGCGTGCGCCAATCCTTGTCCGTCGTTCGCCAATGAGGGTGTTTATCCGCTTCTTCTCGTCGACCTCGATTATTTGTGCCATGGTCTCGTAGGTTTTGGCCGGGTGCGGGACGCGACCTTCGAGAGCAGGGTAAATTGGACTTCCGGGAAGGATGACACTGAGAGCTTCGACGTATTGCGACGTATCCCCTTGAGACCTCGCAAAGTCAATGAACTTATCAATGACATCTTGGCACTTGTACATGTCTTCTGCATCTCGGTAAATCTCAGCTAAGCTGATGGCGGCCTGCTGGTAGGCGGTTAAGCGTTTGCGGTCCTGCTTCTCGTAGAGCTTGATGAGACCTTGCCACGCCTGGCTGTCCTTCGGTCGTAGCGAAGCCGCAGACTTGTAAGCCTTCTCTGAGTCATCGACGCGGTTCTTCTTGTCGAGGGCAAAAGCAAGGAAGATGGTCCTGTGAGCGGTGTCAGCAGCAGCCTTGGTTGTGGAGGCGCGGGAAATCCCATGAGCCCGTACGCTTGGTAGTTCTTTGGCTCTCGCTCAAGAAACTCAGTCGCCTTCTGGATAGCATCATCCCATTTTTGCTGCTTCACAGAGTCGCCAATGGCCTTGAGTACGGCCTTGGCCCCAGACATCGTGGCTAGTGACAGATATCGTGAATCATGAACGTGAGGTATTCTTCCAAAGGTGGGGCATCACCGTGGCGCTGGAAGGCCGAGGGTGGCAGGGAGAAAGAAGGCAAGGAAAAGAAGAGAACGAGAACAGGAATGTAAGAATTACGATCGTCTCGTAAATTGATCCTGGCCCGTTGCGTGTCGGTGAATGAAGTGAGATTTTCGTTGGGACCTTTTCTTGCAGTAAACCCTCGTATGAGAGGCTCAGTGAGGCATGAGCTGGTGGTGAGCGCTACAGAGGGCAGTGCCCCACCATCAACACCTCCCTTATTACATCATGCCCCGCTTTGAGCATAGCAGCTATGACTTCCCGATAAGATAAGGGATCCAGTCCACCTCATCTGAGCTGGAAGGCTCTCAGATCACGACTTTTCTACATTAGGTAGCTTGAGTTATCCCAAGCGTCCACCAATAGCTTCACCATGTTCTCCTTCACATTCATTGATTTAATTTTCACTTCTCAACTTTGGGACTCCAATAAAATCGCCATGAAACATTCGAATCTACATCTTTAAAGAAGGGGTATCTCGACGAGAACATAACTTACACTACATATACACGCGACTATTCCCCTTCCGGAACTGAACCAATACCTGAGTGGGTTGACTCTGACTTGCTCCACAACCTCATGAGAGTGCTCCTCCTGCCTGATCCATAGGATGCGTGTTCACTCGAAGTCGATGACCTGGTGAAGATGGTGGACGTAGATGCATCGCTAGACTTTCGCGAGGACGTTTGCGAATACTGTTGAAGAAGTCGCTTAATCTCCGACCCAGCCAACCCGGAATTGGAAGCCGCCTGAAAAGCGTTTCTGCCATTGGCATCAGTCAGACGAGGATCGGCTCCGTGAGAAAGCAGCACGTCGATCATTCCGATCTTGCGGGAACTTCTTGTTGCGACAACCTGGATCGCGGCAATCAATGGAGTGCACACGTTATTGTTGCTCAAATAGGGAGAGTATTTCTGGGCTCTCCTCGTCTGGTGGCAAATATTGGGGTCGGCTCCTTCGCCTAGCAAGAACCGGACCATCACCTCGTTTCCCATCTCGCAGGCCATATACAGCGCCGTCTTTCCCGAATTATCAACGAGATCCAACAGGCTGGGCGTATCCTTGAGGAGAAGTCGGGCAACGTTGACACCGCCGGATTTGTTCTGGCATCGGTGCAGGGGACTCAGACCTGCACTATCACGAACGTCGGCCCGCGCGCCCGTCTGCAACAACAGCCCAACGCTGTCACGGTTTCTGGTCGACGCGGCAAGCAGCAAGGGCGTCGGCAGACCGACGTTGCCCCCGTTCTCGAGACTGACCACGTGTCCCACCATTTGCCTCAATACCTCGAGGTTTTCGTCTTGGATGGCCTTGTGGAGCGGCGAGGTTCGTGTCATAAAGTCGCAAGTATCGAAGCGGAAGCCAGTTGGGATATCGATATCGAAACCGTTCTCGCGACACCATTGAAAGGCTTGAGAAAGCTCGCCCATGGAAGATGGTCTCCTGGCGTCTGGCATAGAGTCTGAATCCGGGGCCGACGCCGGACGACTTGTCAACGGAATGATGACGTTGTTGACCCAGACCTCCACACCCCGCGCTTCGTCAAACGCTCCATCAAGTTGCAGAGCCTTGATGTACAAGTCTGCTGTTTCTTGTACCAAGTCAACCGGAATGGGTTCTTGATTCTTTCGGCCCTCGAGAGCCCGACTAAGAAACGTCTTCGCCTGCTTCAAATTACCTAGTCTGATGTAGAGGCTCCCGAGATCGTGGTATAGCCGACTTCGCCGTTCGTCATCCCGAAATTCTTCGGGCTGCTTTACCTCCTCTTGAAGCAAGTCCTGCAAGATTCCTTTGGCCTCGGACACTTCCTCTTCTGTTTCGCTTCTCAAAAGGATATCGGCAAGTCGTTCTTTCATAACAGCTTGTTGAGCAAAGCTAAATTCGACATCATATCCCGGCTGGCTGAGTTGCTCTCGTATTTCGATGCCCCTCTTCTGATACAACGAAGCCCGGAGAAATATGCCGCAGTCCACCAAACGATCGACTATCTCTTGATTCGCGTCGTACTGGTGGCTGAGGATGTCTTTGCTTGGCCCGTCTGGATGTTCGGGCTCTGGGTCCCAGTCGTCCGAGTCAACGTCGCCTGACGCTTGCTTAGAATCTTGGTCCTTTCCTGATGCCAACTTGGTGAACGACGAGTTAAATGACAAGAACGAGTGGTGTTGGTCTGCATTCTGCAGAGTGACTGCGGCCGCCACCTCGTCGGCCGACATTCGCCATGCTTGGATCTCTTTCGTTACAGAGAGAGATTCATCCAACCTCGTATCAGTTTCGTCGTCCCATTCAGTGGACGGTCGCCTCTGACCCGTGCTCGTACGCGAGATGAGGTTCGCAGCCCGGATTTCGTCGGTCAAGTTTCGGATTGCAACATGCACCTGGTCTTGAGACTTCTGCTGAGTCCATAAGGAGCCGCTGCTAGAGTCAGTCATCGGATCCACCAAAACGTTATACTCGAAAGGGCTCACACACAGTGACAAGGTTATCAGACTGAGTTGAAGAACTTGTGTATACGAGGTAATATGAGAAACCAGATCGCGAATTACAACCGACTTCAACGTCATGGTAAAGCTCGCCCTAGCTTTGTCGATCGGACCCGGCTTTTCGTCTAGTTCTGGCAGCTCTTTCTGCAGTCTGTCGAGCGATGAGCGGCATGATTTTAGAATCTGGTAAATATCTTGATGGTGCTCTCTCTCAAAAGAAAGTTGTTGCGGATGCTGTTTAAGAATTCGAGCTACGTTGCGCAATGCGGCATGTAGGTTTCGAATGGTCTCGTGGAATTCGCAGATGCTCGATGAGATAGCTTTGCTCTCTTGGACGAATTTGCCGGTGCCTTCTACGATCTTGCCGGCTATTCCAACCATCTGCAGAGCGAAGGCGGCAATCGAAAGGGGATCCATCTTGATTCAGGTTTACAGCGCTGTGCCCGACTTCCTGGTTATTCAATCACCTAAGCGGCAGCCGCGTCCATTGACTTCGCGGTAATCGATACAGAGGGGCCTTGGGCGTTGAATGATGAACATGTTATGGGGTCGTGGGACGGGCTCGTTGTGCAAAACGACAAGCGTTCAGGTGAAGAAGACGCAGTACCTAGACGACCGAGTAGTGGAGGGTAGGCATTGAACACCCTCTTCCATCCGTCGATGAGGTAAGTCTGCCTGTGTTCCCCGCGATCGACAAATGATACCCCCGAAATGAGTCTTACTCGCTGAGACACACATCGCTGTCGACAATCTGGGGGGCATAGCCACGAAGAGACATATCACGAGCGTAGGGCAGACTGCTGCCGCAGTCGGTGTAACCCAGATTTCAGCTGGTCCTGCCAGGCTGGCTCCTCCAGAATTACTTCTTAGATGCTGTGCCCCTCCCACAAGTCGATGGTCTCACTTCGCACTCAACCCGGGATTGAAGTTTCTTTCTGCCCACTCGAATGGCACGCAGCGACTCTATACAACGGGCCCCCGCGGGGAACCTCGCATGACCGGGGTCTACCCCGTAGCGTGGGAGCTGATGAAGTAGGCTTATTCCACTTCAATCCCGGTTGCCAAGCTTCACCCCGACGTTGTACCCCGAGCCTGTGGCGCAGCGGAATACCAGGCGATGAACAAGATGTGTTCTGTTACCACGCAACACACTGTGATGACAACTGGATGCTCGGTGATCTGCACCTTGCAGCCCCAAACTTGCGTTGTGGACGTCGATTGGCTTGAGCAAAGCCACAGGGTAAGTGCTGCCTGCTGCCAAACATCTGCAGCCTCCTCCCGTATTCGGGTTTTGGTGTACAAGAAACGCAGCGTCTGCGGGTGAGATCAGTTGCGGGTGCCCCAAACGAGGCTTCTCCAGGGCTTCACGACTTCTAGAATGGCACATTGAAATCCCAAGAGTCCATCTCGTTGGTCAACGTCGTCCTCGATATTTCAATAGTCTAGGACGTTCCTCCGTGGTCCGAACAGTGCCACCCGCCATCAGGCTGAAGTCAGTTCCTCGAAGCTTCTTCCATTGCCTTGTACCTAGGAGGGTGGATGGCAGGGAGGTAGAAAGGATTGACTCCGCCTCCACACTCACAGCCCTACATGGGGGACCAGATACCCCCTCGCTTCCCTCTACTCCGCATCTGGTATGTACGAGTAGACAAGTAAACGTTACGACGATCGCTCACCCGAAGGATGGAGATGACGGACCCGTGCATGGCTGCCATCTGATTGTGCGACGCCAGCCGAGGAAAGCCTGCGAGACAGGTCTCAGTGAGACGCGGGACGCGGAACGCTGTTACTTGATCCTATTGGGGGCCATGAGGTCTTAGATGTTGGGCCATGGTTCGTGCCGTTTCGCTCGCACGACCATAATGACGGTGCCTTATATGACTAGAGAGCCTTGCTTCTGTTGACTTAATACCCGGGATGGGCCTGGCTCACAACTGATCTCAGTCCTATGCTGGCTACTCGTGATGCTACCTATCGTGCTATTATTGATGAATGCCAATTAAGCCCGCAATTTCTCGGTACGATCATATTGACAACTTTATGTCTGATATCGACACTCTCGGCCAGGCCGAGTCTCATTCTGGTCATGACGGGGTGGACAAACAACGAACCCGCCACCGACAAATCAGCAACCGGGCGGTAATCGAAAACCCTCTCTGTAAGATCCATCTACAAGAGTTCCAGACCTTGAATTACACTACACGGAAGCCCCTAGCCTTCTAAAGACTACTCCTCTTGCTGACCTAAATATCTCCTCTAGCTCACTATACCGACGAACAGCTCGAGGCAGATGTCACCTCTTTCGCGGAGAGGCATCTGAACGTCGACAAGGGGCGTTTGATACGGGCTGCACGCGTAGCAAAGGACATCAAACTCTACGACGAAGTTGCGAGAAACCCAAGCGATGCAGCAGGAAAGGAGCTTCCGGTCCAGCTGACGCCAGAGGAAAACCGGGCACTTGTTCGGGAACGCGATGTCCCCTTCAGCGAAAAGGGGATGTGGACCATCATCATCACAGTATCACTCGCAGCATTTTTACAAGGTAGGTAGGCGAACGCGTCTTGTCTTTTTTGGCGTGATATCGGTCATGGGCTGATGATGACTCTCTAGGCCATGTGCAGGCGTCATTCAACGGCTCGTCTCTTTATGACACGGAGTTCGGACTGAACACGACGGCCAAGGGAAACGACAACAGCGTGACGGGAAGCCACGCTGAATTAGGCATCGACGACTGGAAACTGGGGGCTGCAAATGCGTCTCCTTTCTTGTTCGCCGCGGTGCTGGGCTGCCCTCTTGCGCTGCCGGTAAACCATTATCTCGGTCGTAAGGGGGGTATGGTGGTGGCTGCCTTTCTTATCTTGGTCAGCTCTATTGCTTCGGCCTTTGCGACGAACTGGGTGCATCTATTTTGTATTCGACTGGTGAATGGGATAGGTTAGTGTACACACCTCCTCTTCAAGATATTACAAAGCTAACATAGGGGAACAGGTATGGGTCTCAAGGCCGTCAGTACTCCTATCCTCGCCAGTGAGACCGCGGTCGGTTTCTGGCGTGGCACCTCCATTCTTGCATGGCAACTATGGGTAGCCGCAGGCTTAATGGTCGGATTTGCCTTCAATTTGATATTCGATACAGCGGCCAACAAGCGGCTTACCTTCCAACTCATGGTGGGCGCGCCAATGGTCCCCGCACTTGCGCTGCTCGTTCTGGTCATTTGTTTCTGTGAAGAGAGCCCGCGGTATCTGATGCGCGTGTCGAGTCCGCGGTACGACCCCCAGCGGGCCTACGAGATTCTCAAGAAGCTGAGGAATACTGAGCTGCAGGCTCTCCGGGATATATACCTCGTACACAAGTCCATTGAGCAAGAGGAAGTGCCGGGCGGCGTCGCGAACCTCAAGTACATACCGGGATTCTTCTCGACTGTAGTGGGATTCTTGCGGCAGTGGAGGCAACTGTTTCTTGAGAGGCGGCTGAGGAACGCATTGATTAGTAGCTCGACTGTGGCGCTTGCCCAGCAACTGTGTGGTAAGATGAGAAGCCCCTCAAGTGTGGTCAGGTGTAGATGAGAGCCGCGCTGACCGGATAAAACAGGAATCAATGTGCTGGCTTTCTACTCGGGCACGCTCTTTAGTCGTGCCGGCGCGGTGAAGCGGGATGCCATGTTCTTCAGCTTGGGTTACGGAGCCGTCAACTTCATCTTCGGCCTACCGGCCATCCGAACGATCGACACATTAGGCAGACGGAAATGGCTGATTCTGACTCTGCCCGTAATGGCACTCTTCATGCTTCTCGCAGGCGTCTCCTTCAACATACACAACCCGGATGCGAAGGTCCCGGTGGTGGCCCTGTTCATCCTGCTGTTCGCGGCCGCGTACTCACCCGGTCTGGGACCTATCCCGTTCACCTACGCGTCAGAGAGCTTCCCGCTATCGCACCGCGAAGCCGGCGCCGCGGTCGCTATCGCGGTGAACCTAGGCTTCGCGGGTCTGCTCTCCGTCTTCTTCCCGCGGATCAATTCCAGGCTGGGCGATGGCGGCTCGCTGTATCTATTTGCGGGGCTGAACATCCTAGCTCTGGTCATGGTGTTTTTGCTGTTGGAGGAGACCAAGAGGCGCAACCTGGAGGATCTGGACCTAGTATTCGCTGTTTCCAAGCGGCAGTTCGTCAAGCATCAGGTCGTTGAGTACCTGCCGTGGTTCTATCGGCGTTATGTCCTGCGGAGGCGCGAGTACAAGCCGAGTCTGTACCTTGATCTGATTTGGGGGACTGGAGGCGATGAACATGAGCGGACGCGAGTGAGAGATCCGGGACGGATGAACGGGGAGAGGGATGATTCCGAGTCGGACGCAGATAGCAACCACGCCTAAGGTACGGCTGAAGAGTGTGTGAATGGATGGACGATGAATTTTGGGGATTGCAACAGGGTTGTGGCTGAGTTTACGAAAGCGAGGAAGCGAAGTGGTGGTTTTCTTATTAGCTCTTTGGCGTGAAACTGGCCCACAAATCCTCATCAACTTTACGCGTATACGAGTCAAAGTGTGTTGGACTTATTTCGTGGCAATGATACCTGCTTTTGGTACAATTTGTAGAAATATCAGAATCGAATACGCATAGGCTAAACTTATACGAGTGATGCAGTTGGATTGTTGAATGGTGGTGTCGTATAAGGTATCCTACTTGAATCGTAGTGCGTACCTTATTGCGTGTAAGTGAGGTGCTCGGGGAAGAAGCTGGACCTTACTCCGGAGCCAGCGGGCCGTCTAGACCCACCTCCATCTCGTCAAACCCCCGACTATTTGGCGGCGTCAGCCCGGAGTTCAAGCGAGAGCCGACGCCGCGGTGCCTCCGCCTGACCCCCGCTAGAATCCCTTGGGAAGGGCTCCCATTGGCTCCGGGGGTCACAGGTGGAACACGAAAACGAGCGAGGGTGGCAGGTGCAGTCACGCAGACGCTGTTTCCCACCTCACAGGCTCATGCTGCATTGTCCGGGACTCTGCAGGGCGTTCAGATGAAGGCTGCGGCGTTGCGCTATGGTAGGCGTGACGTTTGTGACTTTCTCTTAAAAGCCCACGACGGTCTGCTTTTCGTAGTTGTCGAGCCTAGTGGGTACATGTTTTCTCCCTCTGCTCTTCTTTGACTTGCTTGCTTTGTCCTCTAACTCAACTCGTAGCTACGGAAACAAAAACAGTTCCATTGTTCAACGGGCAGCTCCAAGTAATTACTGCTCGGCAGGGGGAGGCATTTGTACTCGCTGAAGGCAAAGGCCCCCGAAGGATTTAGCGCTTGGCGGTCGCTAAAGCCGTACGCTGGGCCCGATAAGGTACCTCCACCCGTCGACTGACATTGCGCATCCCGCTAATCAGGGCACCCCGTCGGGACGTCATCGAACCGTCCCAATTATTCCAATCTCGGACCTTTAGTGACCCGTTCAGTCCGCCGTCGTCGCTCGCTCGCTGCGTGTGCGTGTCCTGGTGCTCTCCTATCTCGAAACCCCAAAGCTGCTTTCTCTCTTCCCCCTCCAAGCTCCAGGACATCGTCATTGCATCTTGGCGGCAGAGCGAACGAGAAGCACCGCTAGATCTCGAGAAAAGCAGCCCTCGTCATGTCCACATTCCGATTGACAATCGAAGACGGCCAGTTCCGCGACGGCTACGGTAGACAAGTCGTGCTTCGAGGCCTCAACGTCGCCGCCGACGCCAAGCTTCCCAGCGAGCCCGACCAGCCCTCGCACATCGGCGATGACTTCTTCGATGGCGACAATGTCAAGTTCCACAACCGTCCTTTTCCCAAGGACGAAGCCCACGTTAATTTCTCGAGGATAAAGCGCTATGGATACAACACCATCCGCTACGTCTTCACCTGGGAGGCCATCGAAGCCGCTGGCCCGGGACGCTATGATGAAGAATGGATCCAGCACACGATTGAGATTCTGAGGATAGCCAAGGAATATGGGTTCTACATCTTCATGGACCCTCACCAGGATGTGGTATGTTCGACCGTTCTCTCCCCCATCATGTGGGTTCCGAAAGCTAACAAACCCTACAGTGGTCGAGATACTGCGGTGGTTCTGGCGCCCCCATGTGGACTATCTACGCCTGCGGCCTCAACCCGCAGAGCTTCTCCGCCACCGAGGCCGCGATCGTGCACAACACATACCCGAAGCCCGAAGAGTTCCCCAAGATGATCTGGTCGACAAACTACTGGCGTCTCGCGGCCGCGACAATCTTCACCATGTACTTTGGCGGCAGGGATTTTGCGCCAAAGTGCATCATCAACGGCATCAACATCCAGGACTTTTTGCAGGGCCACTTCGTCGCCGCCTGCGCACACCTCGCGAAGCGCATACACGAGGCCGGTGACCTCGAGAACGAGGTCGTCATTGGATGGGAGAGCATGAACGAGCCGGGCTGCGGTCTGGTTGGTTACCAGGATATCGGCATCATCCCCAACGCGCAGAAGTTGAAGAAGGGCTCGTGCCCGACGATCTGGCAGACGCTCCTCACTGGATCTGGCCGCGCCTGCGAGGTGGAAGTGTGGGACATGGGCGGCATGGGCCCGTACAAGGTCGGCCGTTCGCTGATTGACCCCCACGGCGAGATGGCTTGGCTGCCCGCCGACTACGATGACTCGAGATATGGCTGGAAGCGAGACGAGGGTTGGAAGCTTGGGGAGTGCATCTGGGCCCAGCATGGTATCTGGGACACTAACACAGACACCCTGGTCAAGAAGGACTACTTCTCCAAGAACCCTAGGACCGGGAAGACGATTGACCACCCGGAGTTTACTAATACGTATTTCATGGACTCGTACCGGTTATACAGAGACGCTATCCGGCCTATTCACAAGAACTGCATTATGCTGATGCAATACCCGACACTTGAGCTGCCACCACAGATCAAGGGCACCGCCGACGACGATCCGATGATGGCGTTTTCGCCGCATTGGTACGATGGTATTACTCTCATGACAAAACGATGGAACAGAGTGTGGAACGTGGACGTTGTAGGCGTGTTGCGTGGGCGATACTGGCATGAGGCGCTTTCTGTCAAGGTCGGGGAAACTGCTATTAGAAATTGCTTCAAGGACCAGCTTGCGTCCTTGCGGCAGGAAGGCTTAGACAGGATGGGCAACCACCCATGTGTTATGACAGAGTTCGGTATCCCATACGACATGAGCAACAAGAAGGCGTATAAGACTGGAGATTATTCGGACCAGTCAGCTGCCTTGGATGCCAACTACTTTGGTGCCGAAGGCTCGGGTATGGAGGGCCACTGCCTGTGGGTTTACGTTGCAAAGGTAAGCTGGCCATCTTTCACACGCGATGTCACCCTAGCTAACATGAATCGAAGAACACACACGAGCACGGCGATCTTTGGAACGGCGAGGATCTGTCAGTCTTTTCACTGGACGACAAGACACTACCCATGTCGCCTCTCCCCCGCAGCCCATCACCCAACCCGTCCTCAGACCTCAAGCGCAACTCCATGAGCAGAGACGTCCCCGATGAGTCGACCGTCACGCCGGAAAACCTACAGAGCACAATTACGAACCCGTCGATATCATCCGCCCCCTCCAAGGACCCAGAGCTGACCAACGCGCCGGGCCTCCGCGCCGCCGAGGCATTTGTGCGGCCGTCCCCCTTCGTCGTGGCGGGCGACGTGCTGGAGTATGGCTTCGACCTGCGCAGCTGCACGTTTACGCTCAAGCTCAAGGCCGCGGCGCCGCCATCCGAGGAAGCGCCGACAGTGGTGTTCTTGCCCGAGTTCCACTACCCGCAGGATAACTGCACGGTCGAGGTGTCGTCGGGCAAGTGGGCGATCAGCATGGACGACGACGAGGGCCCGCTTGTGCAGAAGCTCAAGTGGTGGCACGCGGATGGGGAGCAGACGCTTCGGGTCACGGGGTTGGTGAGGCAGCATAACATTGTCGAAGGGTCCGAGGAGGATATGGGATACCTGGAGCAGTGCCAGCAGAATTACGCTAGGTGCAGCGTTATGTGAAGAGTGGGTTACGGCTGGGATGGGATGGAACGAGTTGTAAGGCGAGGATTATCCAAAGACACGAATAGGGTCCCCCACGCGGCCCGCCTATGATGTGATGGTCAAGAGGTGGTTATTGCAAGCATATTTTTTCTTACGTTTAAAGCAATGAGGAAGAGGAGGTATTTCTTGGGGCTTTCAAGGCACACCTCTGGCTACCAGGGAGTTGATAAAGAGTATTACCTTTTTTTGAGATGTAATACCACTTCGTAGTTGCTCGTGACACGTTGAAATGATGGTGAACGGAGCGTGGCCTCACCCACTACCTCTTCCGACATCAAAAGATTATCCAGATCTGGCAAGCGAGGCAAGACAAGCCGAAAGACAGTGCAGAATCCGACCGATATTTCCCCACCACCTTAGTAAGACTACCCGTACATTAGTCTTTGATGACACGCATGTCGTTTATGAGCTAACTTTTGCGCTTAGCTGACTTGGCTACCTTACCGACCTAATCTTAGTAGTAGGTATTCACTCCCCCATGACAACGGTTATTCGGATAGGAACAGTAAAGCGGCAGATCTTTTTGCATTGAAACTTTCCTCGCCCTTGGTGGTCCACCAGGAAACTTGTCTCATGCTTGACTGATGCAGCGATGACGTGCGTTTGTGTCGGCTGCTCGGGGGTTGGGTGGTTCATGCACTCCCGGCTCCCGGCGGCACGGGCTGTAACATGGCATACCGTGGGGGAAAGGGGATGCAGACAGTTTGGTCTCCAACCTGGGTGAAAGAGAGATGAATAGCTACACGTTTACCTGGTCGGCTAAAAAAAAAACAAAAAAAACATACAACACCAGGTATTCGCTGATCGTCACCGACTCAACTACTGATCTGGCCCTCATCGGCTTGTCTATGGGAGAGCGGACGGGATCCCGAATTTTCCGATGGGTGTGGTCGTATGTGCTTGTGTAGACAACACAGTTCCATTATATTGGGAAGGGGGAGGGTAGAGAGGAGGTTGTACGTAGCGATGAAGTGTTGTAGGGCTGGGTGGCTGGGTGGCCTGGGTTCTGAAGTTCTTTCCTTGGGACTTTGCGAGTGAAGCTTCGGGTGAGTATTTGAGGGAAAGTCGTGGACAATAACGGAATGATTGGTGTTGAGATGGTTGTGGGCGGTGGTGGTAGTGACTGGTATTGTCTCATCGTGGAGGTAGACTGTCCTGATCGCATCACAAATGTTCATCGTCGATGACTTGGACAGTTGTGGATATTGGTTTCAGTGGTGGGGGATGACGTCGGCCAGCTGGGCCGTTTGGCCGGCGATGAACGAACTGTTGCCGAGAAGGGGATGGTAATAGTAATTGTTATAAGTGTGTTTGCTATATGTGGTGAGTATGCAATACGGGGGTATTTGGGCCTTGAGAGGGAGGGATGAGCTCTGCTGAGCGATTCCGTTGGAGGTTAAGTACAGTATATGAGAAGTTATTTTGGTCGAGACACAGATATTTCTAGTACGGAGTGTGCTTTTTTGGAAAGTGAAGTTTGAGTGAAGATCATGGGTTGAGGGCTTGTGGCTACTTTTTTGAGGTTGAGGCTGAGAAATGTTCAAGGTGAATAGGTCCTGCGGGACCGGGGGGCGGGGATTTAGGTCGGCGGCCGGTCTGGGGTGGACCGCATTGCGGTACGGGTACTTTGCACGGTTGAAACTTGAAATCACTCTGGGCGTTGAATCTGTTCTCACAAAGACAAAAAAGGACAGCAGACGCTGGTAAGCCGAAGGTGGGAGGACGAGGTGAGCCGGAGACATTGAAGCTGGCGCTTGTCGGATTCTGGCGAATGGGACGTCGAGAGCGATGCGGCCGGTTGGCTGCATTTTGCGAGAATCGCGGCTCACCGGTTCGTCGGTCTGGCGGCGGGGAGGTTGAAGGAGCGCTTGTGTGTCTTGCTGCTTTAAGTGCTGTAGACTTGGCTCTGGCTGTTTGTTGGTGATCATTTAGATAGAGCTCGGCCGGGAACATTGCTGGTATTTCGAGTGCATTCAGTACTCCGTAGAGTCCGTACAGTCTTCATACCGTTGATACTTGGGCAGATTGTACTTAGTCGCTCATGCGAAAACGACGAGTATGTACGGATATGTTGCATCTATTAGTTGTGCATCTGAACAGCAAGCCCCTTACTTTGTGACCTGCAAATGACTCTTCATCTCCATCGATAACAGCAACCGGGAGTTGAATTTGTTGATATCTCGTTCAATTTGGAAAATCTCGTCCAAAGGCCCAAACGGGGCCAAGTTGAAATGAGTTGTTCGTGTTAGAGCGGCAGGTTAATAAGGTAGCGCGAGGTGGGCACCCGCTACCCGGCCCCATGCAAACCTGGGAGGCCCAAATGAAACAGACGGGGCCCTGCGTCGGGTCGCGGGTGGATTCATTGATCTGGGTCTAGCTGCTTTCTCGCGGAGTGGGTGTGTCTTACTCTTGAATCTTGCGATGAGGCTGGAATTGGGTTTAGCTGACTTGGAGAAGACCATCCTGGTGTATCTGTGCAGTCAGTACCTACGGAGTACTACAGACGACGGGAGAAAGAATGAATTCCATCTCTTCCAGCTGAGTAAGCCGGTGTAGTTGTGATGAGAACGTACCTTTCGGATGTCGTGTGCTTGAGGAAGGAATCAGTCAAGCAGGCAGGTAGGTCCCTTCCATCTCGACCAATGGTCTGCGGGGTACTTCCCAACTTCCTTTAGGTGGTTGCACTGCGCGCCGAGAACAAGACGCAACTTCTTGGACTTGGACAAAACACCACGAACACAGAAACACCACGAACACAGAAACACCACGAACACAGAAACACCACGAACACAGAAACACCACGACACATGAGCATTGTCTTTGATCACACTACTTGTACAAGCTGTTTCCGACGACTCATACGATTGACTCCCCTCAACGCCTTGCTGACCCTCGTCGAGTCCTCACATCTCTACAAAGTAACCGTAATTGCCTCTTTGTCTCATCTGCGCCGAAGCCCACACCCAGCATCTCACGAGTCGTACTCTTCCATCCTGCGACCTGCGCAAAGGTCGTTGTCGTAGGCTGTACGAATAGCCCCTCGTCACACACTCACAGTGCCTTCATTGGCCCGGAGATCTGCACGGTACATCCGCCCCCGCCAAAACTCCTGCGTGGGATAACGCACGCCAGAGCCGAAGCCAACGTCCACTTCCCACGCCAGTTTCGACTAGTCTCATCCCATCTGCGAATCCTCTGCCGCCACTCGCTGCAGTCAACAGATACCCTGCCAACACTAGCCCAAAGAGTTAGACGCACCTCGTCGCGGCCCAGCCTCCAGCTTCCAGCATTCACACACATCCACGGCAGCTCCCTGGGCCTTTCTCTAAGCGCGCTACCAAGTACCTACTCACGGCACTACCTACTCGAGGTACTCGGCCGTCCTCTCTCTGTGGGTTTGTCTGCTGTTCTGTCTCTATCTGCCCGCCTTTGCACAACATACCGGTACCCTGCCAGCCTGCCTATCCACATCCGTAAGCTGAAAGACATTGAACGGCTGCTACCTTACATTCACATACCACCCACCCCTCTTCAAAATCCCCCATTTGGTCGTCGTCTTCTTCTTTTCAACATTCCTCCAACCTGACGAATTCCTCCAGAAATACCTAGCGCGCCCGCGAGAGTCAAACCCCAAGCAGCTGCTCGCCAAGACGACCAACACGATCTACGATATTAGGCATAACGCCCTGGTGCCAATACAGCGACGGTCGCCGCCTTACCGCAACATGACTACGGTCTGAAGGCCCGCTCGCGCCCACCAGCCCACACCACCACCCCTGCCATGTGCCGCGTACCCATACCATCCATACCTGGCATACCATGAGCACCAGCTCGCGCCAACGCTCTGCGACCAGATCTGATACCCACGACCGAAATTCGAGCCCATTCCCATCTGTGCCTCGATCCAGAGACGAGATACACAATCTCGACGGCTTCGTCTTCAACGTCAACGATTTGCCCACCCATACCTCGTCCACCTCGACAACACCAAAGATCCTGTCCTTAAACCTCAACGGTAACGGCGCTCTCTCGCCGTATCCTCAGCCGAGGAACTCCAACTTTCTCTCCGCCGGCGGTCTTCGCCCAAGGGCCTCGACTGCGAGCTCCGTTCCGACCACTCCTCTACTCGGACTCGATCCCGCGAGGCCAGCTACCAGAGCTGGCCCGCATCCCCCGCCGGCAATGTATCAAAACACCCAACGACATGCCTCGTCGGCCGATCCTTCGAGACCCTTCCAGGTCCCTCCTCCACCGCCGCCCATGTCGCCGCCCGTGCAAGGCCAGATGAGCAACATGATGTCGATACCTCCTCCGCCTCCGAGGTTCCCTTCTGCTCCTGGCGCAACAGGAGGCAGCGGGATGATGCTCCCACCGCCTCCAGGACCACCGCCTGGAAGCGCAATGGCCGGCCAGGCACCATGGCACGGCGCCTTTGGGCGCATGTACGATGGCCGCGGCGGCTTCAATATGCCACCTCCCCCGCCGGGACAACACCAGGCCTACAACCCAAAGTTACACGCGCAGGTTGCGACGGGAACGACACTATCAATACCGCCCCCACCTCCACCGAACGAACATGTCATGTCGGCAACCTACATCCCACAAGGCGACACGTACGGCGAAGGGGTTGGAATACCTGGTCTGGGCGGCTTTGACGAGAATGCGACATTCTCGGCAACCTCCCAGAGCTCATGGCCTACCAACAGTCAGACTAGCGGCGATACGGCAATGACCACGCCGCAAGACGATGTGTCAGGAGGGAGGGACAGATTGTACGCTCAAGCCATGCACAGCCGTGGGATGTCAACGACCTCGAACGCTACGACGATCACGTCAAGCATCCACCCAGAGCTGGCGGCGCAATGGCCGTTGGATAAGGTGCTGTTGTGGTTGGCTACAAACCAGTTCTCCAAGGACTGGCAGGAGACTTTCAAGGGACTTAATCTACAAGGTGCTCACTTCCTTGAGCTCGGCAGTATGCACGGCGGTCGGGGGAACTTTGGCATGATGCACCAGCAAGTGTACCCAAGATTGGCCGTCGAGTGCACAAACAGCGGGACGGGCTGGGATCAGCCGCGGGAGCGAGAAGAAGGCAAAAGAATGCGACGTCTCATAAGAAGCATCGTAACCGGCCGGCCGGCTGACCCCTCCAAAGTCTCGTCGCATGGCCGGAAAGAGTCAATTAGCCACGGCAATAACTTACCTAGCGCTGGGACGGATATGGCAGAGTCTCCCAACGTGAGTATGATTACCCGTGTGGGTGAACACCCAAAGACTGATGGACGGCAGACGCCTATCAAAGCGCCGGGGCCTGGTTTTGGCGGCCGTCGATTTTCGCAAACGAGATCGACGACCATGCCGACTCTGAACAGCACCATGAGTTCAGATTCAAGTCACAGGAACATCATGAAGCAAATTGATGTGGACGGAATCCGACGGCAAAGTCCAAATGCCAGCGAGTCCGGCGAGGGCACATTCCGTCCACCCCCCGTACGAACCGACAGCCCAAACGGCAGCCCACATCCTCAAAGTGCTTCGCTGTTTCCCTCATCCGCTGGCAACCTGTCAGCTTCTCCTCATTCAACCAAGTTTGGACACAGGTCGAGGAATAGCACAGATTCGGTGTCTTCTAACGCCGCTATTTACGGGTCAGGTATCCCACCTGAGGCTACCCAAATGCTGCGTAGTGGAATGAACATCGCAGACATTATTCAAGCCACTAGAAACGGCGAGCCTCGGCGGCTCGGACAAGACGGAGGGCGTCCGTCGCCGCAGGATTCTACCGGCGACCGGTCAGCCGGCACTGAGCCTCCGTCCTCTGCTAAGGATTCTAAGAGTTTCCTCAGTCTCAGCTTCTTGTCGAGGAAGAACAAGCAAAAGAAAGAAGACGGCTTCCCAAGCCCTGACGACATGGAATCGCCAACGTCTCCAGCACTCAGCTTCAAGCCTCATTCTTTTGGCTCTCGCTTTGGAAACAACAGCGAAACGTCTTTGGACATTCGACCTGGATCCAGCTTTGATGTTCACGAGAAGGATTCGGCCAAGTCTAGACGTCCTGGCCCTAACAGAGTGTTCGCACTGGCCACCATGGACGGATATAACTATCGCATGTGCGACATCACTGAGGCCGAGTCGGCCATGGACCTTCGCCTCATTATATGCAGCAATTTGGGTCTGATGGATGCCACGACATCTCAAATTTACCTCACCGAGCTTGGCAAATCCAACCATGACAACCCCCTGGACGACCAGAAACTTCTCAATAATCGCAAGCATAGGGCTGACGCAACAGGCACCCTCAAGTTCTTTATTCGTCAAGGCGGACATGCGTCTCAAGGCTCTAGCCACGCTAATGGAAACGCAACGCATACATCCCTTGACGAGGAGGCATACAATCGACTGAGCGGGCTGTCGCGGACAAGATCCAGCTCTTCTCCCCCGACGTCGAGGCAAAACAGCATGGCCGGCGAAAGGGTGGATGACAAGATGCTTGCCCAAGAGGCAAGCGAGTATCGTGCCGAGATGGAGCGTAAGCAGCGCGAGTACCTCGAAAAGAGGCGTAAAGCTGCTGGTTCCGGCAACACGCCAGAGAGTGCTACTACGCCTTATGGCATTCACGGCAGGACCGTCGACTTCGATCAGCCACGTCAATCGCCGTATGAGGACAAGAAGCCGGAAGTGCTGTTCCCTGTACGGAAGCCTCCGGCGCCGCCGAGTGACCCGTCAGCTACCTTACTCAAAGCCAACTCATTGAGTCGGAAGACGGGGCACGCAATGCGGTCTTCTGCTGATGGGGCTCCTACGCCGCGACGGCCCTCGACTCTGTTTGAGGACATGGAGCTCCCCGGCCAGAATGGAGACCGTAAGAAGAAGACTTCGAGCCAGCCTGGCGCCGGAATTGGTGCAGCACTCGTTGGCATGGGCCGAGGCCTTGGGGCAGTTGGTGCTAACGCCAACCGAAGATCAAAGTCGCCCAACCGAGTGTCATCGCAACCAGCTCTAGGCAACGAATACTCAGACCGAGGTAAGGGAGCTATTTCATCTGTTGACTTTGCAAAGTCGTTTTCGGGCCGAGACAGCCCTCAATCAGCGCTGTCGGGCTCGCCCGGCACTCTGACCTGGAGTCGCGGGAACATGCCCTTCTTTGTGCCGGACTACTCTCCCGAGGGTACTCCGATTCCGCGGCGGCAATCTAAGAAAGGAATGGCAGCTAAAACAAACCAAACAGTACACAGAGTTGCGTCGCGAGAGATCAGCCCCAGCTCCATGAACCCCCCACACTTCCCTCCGAGTGCACCACCCCAACCTCACCGTCGCAAGTCTCACGGGCCGGACTTTGATTTCCTTGAATCCGAGGTCAGCTTTGAGAAACCTGCTCCGCCACCCGCTCCAGAGCGAGGTGATGATTCAGGAGATGACTCGGATGATGGCCTGTTTGCGATTCCCATCGCTGCTGCCAAGCCCAAGCCGACAAAGATCACTCGCATCTTTGACGGCGACGATTCGCCGGATGAATCGACCGATAAGCGGCCAAACTTGACGGTGAATACGTCTAGATCTAAAGGAAAGCAGCTCTCGGTGTCTTTCACATCCCCCAAGTCTCTAGGCAGTGCCAGCAACAGAACTCCCGAAGGCGAGGAGGATGACGCTCTTATGAGTGCAAGGAGCGGTAAGAGTTCACGCAGAACTCCAAATACGCCCCAGTCGGAGTCGGAGGATAGCAAATTGGGCAGGAGGAAGTCTTTTGTCGAGAAGGATGTCTGGGCCAACCGTCCAACAACTGACGCCCTTATCAACAACCTCGACGACTTCTTCCCTAATTTGGATCTTGATATGCCCGTACTGGAAGAAGGCGAGGCAGAGGCCAACCCTCCCTCCCCAATTGCCGAGGGAGAGGAGAAGGAAGTTTCAAAGCGTCCCGCGCCACCTCCGTCACCACCGAGTCTTCGTGCGGCCATTTCCAACAACCGGTCGTTCTATAATGACAACGATACGCTTGGGTCGGATGAGTCTACTCTTAAGGCACTTGAGCGTCCTGCGTCGGTCGCGTCGGTTGCACAAAGGAGTGTTCGACGCTCGGGCGGTCTGGGCCGGATGAAGTCCATTCGTGAGGTTGCCCGCGGCGCTCATGAAGCTAACAAGCGGTTCACCACGACGACAACCACACAACCTGGCCAGGCTACCCAGAATACATCAGTACTTATGAGGAGAAAGAGCACAAAGATGTTCAACGCCAACATTGTGCAAATTCGGCCTGATCAGCGAGGCAGTATGGTCATGCCGCAGATTCCCCAGGACACCATTCCCAAGCGCCAGACCACGTTCCGGTGGTTCAAGGGTCAACTTATCGGCAAGGGTACATATGGTCGTGTCTATCTTGGTATGAATGCCACGACCGGAGAGTTCTTGGCCGTCAAGGAAGTCGAGGTCAACCCCAAAGCTGCGCAGGGCGACAAGGCCAAGATGCGTGAGCTGGTGGCAGCTCTCGACCAGGAAATCGAGACCATGCAGCATCTCGACCACGTAAACATTGTGCAATACCTTGGATGCGAGCGTAAGGAGACCTCCATCAGTATCTTCCTCGAGTATATTTCTGGTGGCAGTATCGGATCTTGCTTGCGCAAGCACGGCAAGTTTGAGGAGTCTGTCGTCTCATCCCTCACCCGGCAGATGCTTTCTGGTCTTGCATACCTTCACAGGGAAGGTATCTTGCATCGCGACCTGAAGGCCGACAACATCTTGTTAGATCTCGATGGTACTTGCAAGATTTCAGATTTTGGTATCTCAAAGAAGACGGACAACATTTACGGTAACGACAAGTCCAACTCGATGCAGGGCTCCGTCTTCTGGATGGCACCGGAAGTTATCCGCTCTGAGGGCAAGGGCTACAGTGCCAAAGTTGACATCTGGAGTTTGGGTTGCGTTGTCCTGGAGATGTTCGCTGGCCGACGGCCCTGGTCCAAGGAGGAGGCTGTGGGAGCCATCTACAAGATCGCCAATGGAGAGACACCGCCTATCCCCGACGAGGTTCGGGAGACAATCAGTCCGTTGGCCATCGCCTTCATGTTGGACTGTTTCACTGTGTAAGTCTCGTCCTAGCTGGTTACCGAACCATGACTAACCTCCGATTAGAAACCCGCTGGAGCGGCCTACAGCAGATGTCCTACTCTCGCAACATCCATTCTGCGAGCTGGACCCTAACTACAACTTCTTCGATACGGTGTTGTACTCCAAGATTCGTGGCAAAGACGTCTAGGGGAGAAAGGCTTTGAGGAGCTCCCGTTAGTGAGAAAGGAAAAAGGATACGTGAGTGGCAGTGACCGTATCACGGCGAGATTTCTTGGGCGGGATTCGTCGTATGAACACTTGCTTTTGGGACGCTCATTGGTCGTTGCAGCGATGGCGCAAGGAGGATCGCATTCGGTTCGCTGGTTTTTCTCGCAGAGCGTATGCTGTTCTTGGAATTCGTCTGCTTCTTGGATACTTGTTTTGAGTAGAACGCGCTTGCTGAGAAGCGCGGACTCCGCCTGGGACTCGGGGCTGGCGTGGTATATATCAACGAGGCCAGTAATTACACTGAACTGTGCGAGACAACTCAATCGCGACTGAGATATACATGTATTTTACATGACTGACCTTGTCAATGATGTTTCATGCCAGACTCCGCCAGGTAGCACGACCAGACACTCAAGCTCTTCAGTTACTCTTCGGTTTGGATAACGCCGATTTCATGTTGATTGCGGGGAGACTTGATGTGTCGTCGGGTAAAGCAAGGACCGAACATTGTCTCATGAAGACGTGAACTAATCTGGTGTACTCATCGTCTCTCCCCGATACTCAAGCCTTATTCAATAGTGTATATGTCTCTATAGAATAGTAATAATGTATAAGCGGTAGAGGAGGGACTCGATGCAGTGAGCGCACTGAAGGCCTGGACAAGCAGGATATTGGTATGCGTCGCCAAGGGCGGAGACTCTGACTCCCAGAGTCTCTAGTGATGATGACCTAGAAGTTGGAGTTACCATGCAAGGATCCGTCAACATAACCGGTTGAGTGGTATATGTTGGAAAGTCCACGAGGGTTGAAGGTACTTATAGCGTGGCGTTGAGACGTGAAGAGCCCCGTGGGTGTTGACTTCTCATCTATGTAGAGTCCACTTTCCAATGTCAGGTTCGTTCTAGCGGAAAAGCCTTGCCGCATGTTTCCTGTATAAGTTGCCTTAAGATGGTTCCGAGAGACCTCGAAAAGTAGGTGTTCACCTTGCGGCTTGTTCTCTAAAACAACTTGATGTTCGGAGACTCGCTCTCGAAGACGCCTCTTCAAGACTTTCTCAATTCCTCCAGGAGTCTAGCTACGAAGCTCACGAAGGGCAAAGCAAGGCTGGTACTGATGAGGGTCCGATAACAGAGCACTCCTTCTTTTCACAAAGTAGGCGTCACATTGGCATTGTCTTGGTAACAACGTCTGGACTCCCTCAAAGCAGTAAGACCTTGGAGTTTCTCCTATCTCATTGCTTTAATATGTAACTTCAACCCAGAGCATCTTCCACTACTAAGCTAAGGTATGGCTTATTCATAGCTTCCGTCCCGGTATGGAAATAAACCAATGGTGACTCAGGCAAGAGAGACTAAGTAAGCTCGCACCTTCCACATACTCCCGTGAGACAGGGAGGAAGACCTTCAAGGTACCTACCCACCTACCTTCCACACGTGACCCCCCTACCTTTCATCTGAACTCACGAGAAGGGTATATACCCCCCCTCAATCCCAATCCTGTCACCAGCACAGCAGGCGCCCTCTAGGTCGGGGGTCAGGTCAAACTGTGGCGTGGATGGTGGAATGGTTAATGGTCTAACAATCAATTATTCACACCAACCAGCCTACTCGACGACAGGCTCAGCGCATACGAGAGTACCCGAGTTCGAATCCCAAAATGAGCACCAAGAGATGTAGCCCCCATTCGCCACCGGGGGGGTGAACTCTTTTTTGGTTCATGGTGATAATTTGTGTAACTGCCGGTTATTGGTCTTTGCGATTAAAATGGAGGTCTTGTATAGAAAGTATAGGATCATTTCCTTGGGAAAGACCATGGCAAGCAACACTACTCGTAATGTTTTAAAAGATCAAGATCTTTATCTTATAGATATATACCATACACACATATGCGTGTGAAATACGGTAGTAAAAACACACCATTGCCCATCAATAGAAATCCTGCTCCCTTCGGCCTCTGCTCAGGAATGATCTGTGTTGGGTCAACTTACACAGTAGGCAGACTACGTACGACCTCGAATGGCAAGCTACCAATCAGCTGCTGAGGCTATGCATACTTGTTGCATGATTAGCCCGCCTGACCTCATCTGACATGCAGCCAAGATAGCGACTATTTACACTCCCTCACTCAAAGCTCACAACAATCTCATGATATTAACAAACACTTCAGAAACATCATTTCCATTAGGAATCTACCGGAATATCGAGGAGGAGCTATACCACAGCCATCATGGCAGATTGGCACGACCCATCATGCCGCCGCCTAGACGTCTTCACCAGCAGCGGCATCTCCAGCTGCCTCAGCTGCGGCTCCGTCCAACTCGACCTCGAACCAACAACGCCAGAAACACATGACGGAAACACAACAGACACCGCCGTCTACAAACCCCTAGAATCCCAAACAGACATCCGCCTCCTCACCCTGGGACCAGGCGACTTCGCCGACCCCATCAGATGCACCCTCGCCCTCAGCAGCACCTCCAGCATGACAGACTACGACGCAATCTCCTACACCTGGGCAAGTGAGGACGGCGCCATGGCCTGGACGCAGCGCATCACCCTCGACGGCCGCGCCTTCCCCGTCACAGCCAACTGCGAGACGGCGCTGCGGCGCGTCCGGAGCCGTGGCGCGCAGAGGGTCGTCTGGATCGACGCCGTCTGCATGAACCAGCAGGACGTCGAGGAGAGGGGCCACCAGGTGCGCCTGATGCCGCAGATCTACTCCCGCGCGCAGCGCGTCCTGGTCTATGTCGGGGAACCCGTTCCTGAAGAGGAGGCGCTCTTTCGCTTCTTGGATGATCCGGACTTGGTCCACGACTGGGAAGGGAGCCGGGCGTTGCCCCGGCTGGCGCTTCAGCAGGCGTTGGAGACGCTGCTCACACGGCGGTACTTCTCGCGGGCCTGGAACCTTCAAGAGGTGGTGCTGGCCAGGCGGGCGACGTTGATCTGCGGGAGGTACGAGTTGCCTTGGTCTCAGCTCCAGATCCCCTCGCTGGCGGATCGGGGCTTGCTCATCAACACCAAGGAGAAGCCGCGGCTGCTGAACGTACTGCAGCTGCCGTCGGTTCTCCAGTTTCGAGCGCCGGCGTACAGGGACTCGAGTGACCTGCTCCGACTCCTGGACCTGGCGCGTAATAGCCATGCGTCGGATCCCAGAGACAAGCTGTTTGCCGATAATGGGCTGATATCTTGCGCGCAGAGCGATGGCATCATGGCGGACTATACGATGTCTCCTAGGGAGGCGTATATGTAGATGGCCAAGTGGATTGCGCAAAAGTTTGGGATTCCGGCGTTACTGCTCAGGTCGTTCCACGTCGGCAAGGACAGCGATGAAGCCGATGAGATGGATGAAACGGTCGAGGAGAAACCCGAGAATTTCAAAATTCCTTCATAGACGCCAAATTGGATGCATAAACCCTACCCGACAGTGTTGCCATTGCTTACAGAGATGTACGACGAGTCGGCAGCGGGATTCAACCCAGTCGGCCTTCCGGTCAGTCTTAAGTTGGCCGACGACTCTTTGGGGTTCCCAGCATTCAAGCTGGGAAAGCTCTGCGATGTATTGAATGAGTACGACGCGCAGGCAAGAAGGACAAGTCCACCAGGAGCAATCATTGCAGCTAAGCCATGGCCGTATACGGAATTCAATGTGTCGCACCGGGGGAAAGATAAGTACTGTGAACAGGCAGCATTCGTTTTCTGGACACAGGATCCAACGAACTTCCAGGGGCATCTATCGAACTACTGGCAGCTCCAGCATCCCGACGTTGAACGACTATATGCAAACGTTCCGGGCCTCAAGGTCACAGCTTATGATGCGGGACAGTCAAAAGAGTACCAAGAGCTTCACATATATCTGGTCCCCCAGGCAGACGAATACGGAGAATTTTCATTCGAGTCGGGTGCCGTGTCGGTTTGCGTTGACAACTTATCATGCACGTGGATTCACGATGGTCCCCAGAGACGGGAGACTGTGGGCCGGTTTGGAAAGTACGCAATCTGTGCCAGAGATCTAGGTCGTGGGGACATCCGAATCGCCGGGTTATTGCACATGGACGGGCTCGTTCATGAAGGCGTTTGGAAGAGCGGCCATTTCGAAAATGTGAGCATCATCGGCGAAGACCTCGGTGCTTTCCCTGCCTTGAATGACGGGTCCAGGCGCGCAGCGTATTATTGGGAGCTTCACAATCTCTAAATCGAGGGATTCGTCAGAGGTACCGAGCAGACAGAAGCGTTCGATGCCGTATATGTGAGGTTCAAAGGACACCATCGTCATTTCTGTTGGAATGAATGTGACCCGACGGAAGTTATCGGGAGTTCGAAAGCCGCCAATTCGCAAAAGGGAGCAGCAATTGTCGCCGTAATAGGTCGAATCGGGAAAGGAGCTTGGGCCAGCCGCAAAGAGCTCTGGAGTCTGGACAAGTCGCGGTGACGCCAACCGAAATGACGGATTGAAAAAAATTTCCTCCTTTGTTGGACTGTTGAGCGCCTTGACAGCCTCGCTCGGACGGTTCTTTGGATCGGGGGCTGCAATGGCAAACGAGGTCGATGCAGTGATGCCTGGGGTTTCGATTCGGTGTTGGAGCAAAAGGGGCTCGCTCCTAGGGGGGGAACAAATGATTAATCGCCAAGTATTCGTATGCGCCTCGAGCTTCGTGTCTGGGTATGTTCCGAATGGCTGGTACGAAGTAGGGAAGCCTGGGTTTTGCGTGAGGAATGGAACGTCGTAGCGAATCTAGCGAATTACTAGAAGCCTTCCATATGCAACTCATTCCCGGCCGAAAGTCGAGCTCCTTCCTTCGGGCGAAAGCAATTCTTCGGGGTCGCCTGCAGTTTCCTCCTTGTCGCGCTCGGTGGTTATTTCCGCGGTTGCTCCCAGTGTCCAACTCAATCCAATCCCGGAAGGGACCCCCCGGTACTTGCAGATGCGCAGCGTGGCAGGTGTGCGTGCAACCTCTTGGGCATGTGGCGTCTCAAGTCGATCCCGTTCCTGCCCGTTCATCGATTCTCGGCGCGCTGGGCGGCATCGGGTGTTTCGGTTGATGATGCAGCCACCGCGGAATAAGCATGGAAGCATGAGCCTAAGGCGACGACATGCCGCCAGACGGCGCCTACCTAACTTAGGCCGGCAAGAGACATGGAAAGGGACGGGAAGGAAATAGCCATGGCAAAAACTGCCGGCAAGACAGGAAGGGGAGAAGGAAGAAAGAGCCTAGACTTCTAGGACAATGAAAAGGAAGGAATGACAGAACGAGTAGCCCTTAGCTACCTTCCTTATTGCTCTCGCAAGGGAAGGTAGGGTAAGAACCTATACGTATCTGTACTTGCCTGAGGTGAAGAACCTCTAGACTCTCGTGACCTTGAAGGGAAGAAAGGACTTTTTGAGTATTTTCTGGCTTCACGGACGGTCCCGTTATCGCACCACTGTCAGCTTCCATCATCCATCATCCCCGATACCACCCTCATTGAGCAATCAATTGACGCCACCTGGCCCAGTGGCTCAACAATCTTCCGCGTCTTATCAGTCCGCATCATCAAAGATGGTTGATACAAGCAAATATCATTGCTTTTTGGTCGAGACTTCCCAATTTCAGATACGATCGGAATGTCAGACTCGGACGTATGATTCAGAAGCACAAGCTCTAGCTCAACCACCACTGGCTTCCAGGCCCTGGACGACACCTTTGGCATTGACACACGAGACGCACACCCTGACAGAGACAGAGACAACAATGATGCGTCATTTTTGAGGCTCTGTAGCCTCAGGCATGCACCGAGAGACAATGGCAGCGAAGCGGAATGGTGAGCGCCAACGGTGCGTTTCGGCGTTTCTTCTCACTCAAAGCTTGCGCTTGCACTAGCAACAGCAGCTTGGCTAGGAGTGAAAATTTTCTCCCGGCGTCGGCCTCACCCCCAATGGTTGGACGGAGGGCGGTACCTCACAGGCTCATCCTGGACGCTTCACGGGTGAAGCTCAACCGTAAAAGGTATCTAGACCTCCGAGACATGGCGGACCCACGCATCATTTCGAGCGACCTGCGTATCGCGTACCGACAGCTGGGATTGATAAACGCTAGATTTACGTTTGACGCTGAATCAATCTCGCAGATACTCCTTTTGTGGATCCCGACATTACGGTTACGGCGTTGCGGTCGCACCCATCTCGGCCATCTCAGACACTGGAACCTCGGACGTCGGCTCAATGGAGCGACCCTACCTCCCATTGGCAGACGAATCGACACGTCCGTCGGTCATCGGTAGGGCCAAGCTGTCCAGCAACGAGAAAACTGCAGCGTCCCTCGGAGCGCTGCCAGTGGACGCCAGCACGCCAGCCAGGTTTCTGGGTGCTGCCGGGATCTCACGTAACACTTGTCTACTTGCAGTCGGGGGTGTAGGGGAAGGGGTGTGTGTGCAGTCAGGCAGCAAGCGTCCCTGACAGGAAACCGGGCTGGCCAAGGCATGCGTGCGTGCTTCGATTGACTTCATCCCATCTTCGCTGATGGTTGGCGGCGGCATCGACTCGAACGAAAAAACGAAAAGTTCGATAAGGAGATGGGAAGAACAGTGAGAGAAAGGAAAACGAAAAGCGGTTGGGAAGTGAAGGGAGGGGGCACGACATGAAATGCAAATCGACGCAAGCGACAAAACGGAGGGAGGCCTTGGACCAACTCGCTATCTCTCCTTCAAACCACGATCCGTCTCACCGCGTCCCTTTTTATCTCTGGGACCAAAGTTCCAACTCGGTCATCGTGTCCACTTTCTTTCTGGCGTTGACGCTTTTTTTTCTTGAGCTATTTTGTCGGGTCCACCCACGTGCGAGTGCAAGGCTGCGGCTGATTGGACCTGGGCGCCTCAGAGTGGGGGCTTTTGACGGTATCGGGTGGGGGTCACCGCAAGCCATGACCGGGCTGATATCAAAGCTGACATTTGGCGGTTTTTTTTTTTTCTCTCTCTTTGCGCTATGTGCCTGAGGGAATCTTTTTTGAGAGAGAAAATTTTCCTTCGCCATGGGAATCCCATCCACGCTCAGCCCGTGTGTTTCCGGCACCAATACCTTCTTATCTCGAAAGCTTCAGTGAGCTTGGTCTCCGTCAAGCCAAGGTGCTTGGAGCATAGACATTGCGTGTTTATGCCGTCTCAAAGACTGAGTTAGGTAGCAAACGCTGGACCTACATGTTGATTATCGATTAGCCGGCCGTAACGGACTCAACCTTGCGGATTCTCCTTAGCCTTGATACAGCAACCCACTTCTCATGATTCGTGTTCCTGGCCAAGGGGGCATTTCCAGCAAGTACCAACGCCTCAGGCACGGTCAAAGGCCCCAAGATCAACCATCTCTCAGACTCTCCCTCCCTCCGTCCAGGGATTCCCTACGCTGTCCAGCCTCCCGACAATGCCCGAGATCGGTGCGAGGGCGTGTGTTGGATCTCTTTGGTGGATGGAGGTCCACGATATGTCAATGACCGCTCATGTCTAAACCTGATTGGGACGCCTCATTCATTGCGAATCCGTCCCCAGCGCCGGGCCCACCGAGGAGGGAAGGACGGATAGGCGTGTCTAGTGAATACACAAACGGTACGGATGCTCACCAGTTTCTGCCGTCTCCTGTTTGATCCGATCCCACACATCCTGATGAAGCCTCAGGCTCATCATCTCCAGCGTGGAACCTGAGGCCTGGCTGGCGAGCCATCTGGATCAACTTCCGCCGTCCCGTTGCCCGGGCCCCTGCCCTCCTCTCTCTACCGAGCTTGCCCGTCACCTGAGCGAGAGCTTTTCCCTTCCGAACCTGCTTTTGAGCTTTTTCTCTCTCCTCCTTCTTCCTTCCACTTTACCTACCTCCATCCCAATCTGTCCTTGTTTCCTATCTTCTCTTCCTCCCAGTCCATCACCGTCTATCCCACAATCTCCCCTCACATCAGTCACAATGGCCTCCACTCGTGTCCTCGCCTCCAGACTCGCCACTCAGATGGCCACCAAGGCCGCCCGCCCTGCGGTGCGCGTCTCTGCCATGCCCAAGCGCACCATCACTGGTAAGTCTTGAAAAAAAATATTACTCGAACGGAGACGAAGGGAGGAAACGGGAAAGGCCTCGAACAAGAAAAAAAGACCGACGCCGACATCGAAGCCAATGAGCAATCACATCAATTGGCCTCGCGGCACCGATCCGATATCAACAATGTGTTCGATATCGTCGCCTTCCCATCTCCCCGTCGAGAAAACAATAGAGATATGAGAGAACCACGATTGTTCTGACATTCGATTTGCGAAATTTTCAGGCTTCTCCAGCCCCCTCCAGGCTGTCAAGCGCCAGCAGGCCACCACCATCAAGTCCTCCAAGGTCTTCACCCAGGTCCAGGCCAAGCGCGCCTACTCTTCTGAGATCGCCCAGGCCATGGTCGAGGTCTCCAAGAACTTGGGTATGGGTTCCGCCGCCATCGGTCTTACCGGTGCTGGTATCGGTATCGGTCTGGTCTTCGCCGCCCTCCTCAACGGTGTTGCCCGCAACCCTGCCCTCCGTGGCCAGCTCTTCTCCTACGCCATTCTTGGCTTCGCTTTCGTCGAGGCCATCGGTCTTTTCGACCTCATGGTTGCCCTCATGGCCAAGTTCGTACGTCACCACCAATTCATCCCCATCTCATTGAGACTCATCAAAACTAACAACTACGACAGACGTAAGCGATTTATTTCGCACTGGCGAGCTGAGGAGAGGCAAGGAGACAGCTTTCGGACGGAGCTATGCTCTCTTGACCGCCATCTCCTCTTGGGACAGGTTCGCCTATGGTCACGCAATGGAGCATCATCCACTCCACACTGCGTGACAAGCTAGAGTTAATAGACGGGATAGACAGCATGGTGGGCATTTTAGACGATTAGAGGTCATAGACCGCACGGCTCTGCTGTGTTGTATAGATGGAAATTGGTCTGTGGCAGGGACGAGGTAACGCACTACTCTTACCAGCGAAAAAGTTTTGCATCTCCCCCATCTTTTGCTTCAGCCAGCCTACCCCCGTGGCTCCTGGCCCTGATACAATTTTTTCTGTAAAAATACTACAAACCTCAAACTCATGATCACCGACTTTGATGACTTTTGTGAGGCAATTGATGAAAATCTGAGCATTGGGCATGAGATCGTGGGATTGGGTCCAAATTCTCCGTAACTCCCAGTCACAATGCCCCGGCAACCATGATAACCTCACCGCCCGAGAACTTTCGTCCAGGCACTTCATCTCCACTCTGGGGAAGGGACCAGTCTACCAGAGCTTGAAGCTTCCCGAGATCTTTCGAGGTGAATTGGCCAATGTGAACTGAGAATTGGGTGAGCTTCACTCGAGCTACCTAGGCACCACGGTAGGTTTTTGCGGGTGTCTCCCGTGCCTGGCGGCGGGAAGCCAGCATCCATCCCCACGGGGTTTCTCGCACATGAGCAATCACGCACCATCCCATGTCCTTCCTTCCTGCCCTGCGCCTCTCCTTTCACTTATCAATCTGCTGGCTCGTTCACCACTAAGTTCACTTCAGTGACTTCACTTTCGCTCCATTGATGCGGGGCAGATATCGCCCGTTTGATTCCCCTCCGTGATCCATTCTGAGGCTGCTGCCGTAGAAAAAGACGATGATGATGATGATGCCACGCGGGAAGACGAGGCACTACCCGCTGAAGACACGCCTCTTGAGATGCCAATTGAAGAGCCAAAACCGACCGCAGTCGCTTCTCACTCGAGCATGGTACCCGCGCAGTCTGAACCGTAAACCAAGGCCACTGTCCCTAAACAAACTACCATCGACGCTGCCAACGATAGTTTGAATCCTCCAGACTCCGTGGCCTAGCCCGGAAGAAAAATGCTCGGTTTCCGAGTGCTCCGCTCGACCTCGACGTATGTCCTTATCGTCGAAGCTTGGCTCCGAGTCGTGCGTCCGACAGCGCTGTAACCCGTACCTGTACGTACAGTTGAACACCGTCACGAAGACTCACACACCCCCTCGGCTCTCTCACACACACACACACACACACCTGTCCTTTCTGGACGACACGAACGGCCGTTTGTTTTGGTAGCCTTTCCTCTCCCCCACTCCTACCCCTTCAAACCGCGACGAAAACTTTCGCCGTCGTAAGCTTGACCAAGCTTGAGCTTTGAGGTAAAAGCTTCAGGAAAGCCAAATGATATAAAGACCAGGTGAAATCAGATAACGCATGTGAACGCCATTGAACCAACCATGATCATCTCGAGCCTCGCAACTGACTTTTTTGTGTTCCTCTTTTGCTCTCCAGACTGCTCTCTCACTTTGAGCATGTGCTTCCCTCTCGATCTCGATCATATCTCCCAGGTCACGGGTGGCCAAAAAGGCCCTGCATAGTTTCTCTCCCTCCCACTTGGGAAACGAGGCAAGCGCGAATAACCACCGTTTCATCAAGCAGAACAAAAAGGAAAGAAAATGCGTTACTTTGTCTTTTGCTGCTCTTATCGCGGGTACCTCTTTCGTGCGCGTGTTCCCACACCTTTTCCCCTTCCCGAACCACGATCATCACCCCCCCGTTTCCCTCGCCCCCTTTGGGGATCAGCTTTGCGGGTCCCCAACGTAAAGGTTTCGCGACGGTCAGGCGCTGCGGGATTGGACTCGAACTTGCCAAAGGGCTCCACAGAACGGTAATGGCATCATGGATCTTTGTATCCCATCCAAGACCATTCCCGTTCTCGTCACCGTTTTTCTCTCATCCACCGTAATTTACGAGGTTAGCGGGCATTCGTGGTCGGGTGTATCGTGATGGTGCGTTAATTTTTTGGCTTCGCAGTCTTCGCACCACCCGACGTTGATTTTGAGATGGGATGTCGTTGGAGAGATTAAGTAATCCTTCCCCCTCTCCTACCACGTTTATTTTTTTTTGCTATTTATGACGGTCCCGGCTGTAGGGTAATGGCAGGTTTCCCCTCACGCGAACCTCGTTCGATTTTTTTGAGACCTGAGCTCATTTTTTTGGCGGCTGGTGCTGGCTTTCTCCAATTCGGAGAACCGAGGGCGTGGGAGCAAGACTGGCGAGTGCAACGGCGTCTCGCAGAGCCGAAGTGCTGCTGCAGCAGCAAGCGAGCGTGCAGAAAAACAAGGCAATTGGTACCTGATGGTTTGACCCACTCTTTGCCTTTTATGGATGGAATGGAATGGAATGGGCGTGGGGGAGGGGACAGGAACGACGTCTGTTCCTCGGCTTCTAGAAATTTGGGGGAGGTTTCTTGACGCGATGTGGTTTGTTTTGACGACATGACTGAGCGGTATGTCAAGTGAGACGCGTATGAGATGTAAATTGCAGTAGAGGGCCTTTTCGTGAATGTGAAGTGTGATATCATAGTGTTGTTAGGGGTGTTCGCGCAACAGGAAAGGGCAAAGTCGATAGCTTGTCGAAATCGCGTGGAAAACGAGCAAAGTGGTAACCAGGACACGACTAAGGCGCTATGAAGGCCCAGTGGCCCAACGGACCAGCGACAGCAGCGGCGTTATCTCATCGTGTTGTTCCGTTGTCCGTTGCTCGTTGCCCGTTGCCCACCAGAAAACGGAAGACTCGATCGAGGTCATCGTATCGAAGGCCCCCCCGCTCCCCATGGGGAAGCAGGTCCCGCAAGTTCACTCAGCTGATGTGGATGCCCCTGCTAACGACTTAGCTTATCAGTCGTCGGGTCATGCGTATGAGATGACTGGAGCTGAGGAGTCAGTGGAGAGCTTCTTCGGCTGTCTTCTTCTTCTTCTTCTTTGATACTGTGATTATAGCTGACAGGCAGAGAGGTGAGTCTTTTTTACCCGCTTGCTCGAACCTTGGTGAGGGTGCGTCAAGTAGGCGCCGACCAGAGATTTATGACGACCTCTGTGCTCTCGACAGTGTTGGCAGAGTCTTGACGTAGGGCTGGGCACTCATTCAAACTCCATCATGTTATCCCTCCCAAGAGAACTGTCCTAGGGAAGCGGACAGATCTAGACGGGAGGTTGTTCATTTGTCTCCCTAAGGGCGCGAAGGGCATCAATGCGCCCCACGCGCGTCTAATGGTGTGTCCTATCGAGATGAAGCTTCCCGCGTGAGTCTCGCCTTGGTTGTCATAGACTAAACCCACAGGACATGACATCCGGAGAAAGTCAGTTGGTTTCCAAGAAGCAGAGCGATGTTCGAGACGGAAATCAAAAGGCTATCAGCCACTATAGATGGGCTTTAGACGTTGTATGGAACCAAAGTTTCGCAGCCAGTACTCCCAATGGCAAACGTACACGGGAAATGCCTCTAGGAGAATGTCTGCACAATCAGTTTCACCCAATAGAGCCAGCTTGATAAGCTGCAAACGCTACCTGGGGGCTTTGGTGATGTGCATTTGCATCGTACAGATTCAGAGCAGAAGCATGATCGTGCTGGCTGGCTCCAGGTCCATGACACAAGCCTCTTAACGAGCTTAGCGACCTATATGATAGACAACGCCCTAAGAGGAGCCCCCATATAGAGAAGGCTGATCCTTCCATCCAGCAATTGCCGCCCATTACCTGGATTATGATTGAGATGAGGTCCAGCTCCCTGGAGATATCTATCCATCTTGACCCGCGCCTACCGGATGACATGGAAGCTCTGGGATAGCTGTTAGCCAAGCTAGATATCAGGCAATACATGAAAGTCAAACTAACTCATAATCTGACCTTCCTTCGTCTACTGGGTAAGTCTTTCCTTGCAAGACTTGCTGAGGCTTGAGTTGCCTCCTTCAAAAGAAGACGCCTCTGATTTCCTCAACGATTCATGCCCTTTCGCTATTATATAAACGCATTCTGGGAAATCGAGCTCGTTTAAATAAGAAGAACAGAAGAACGACATGTGCTTGATGCTTCCCTTTGGGACAGTGAAAGGCTTCTGATGTGGACGTGCACACATGATACTAGTGTCTATTCCTCTATCTCTGCGTCGGACTTACCACTTAGTTCGTACTATCTCCAGATTCCCAACGCTTACCAAGCTTCATCAACTACCCTTTATCGCTTATCCGTCATCTTAAACCTATGGAGACTTATACGCTATCGAATAATGCCAAAGCACCGAGAAGACGGCAAACACGCTTTACTATCTCCAGTATACATCGGAACAAGGTTGACGACGATGGCGGTTGGAGAGAACATCATATGTCATAGTCAGCGAGGACGGGACAAACCCCCTCCCCGCCAGAGGCAGATAGCCAGACACCCCCAGTACGTACCACCTACTTACCTGAGATATGTAGGTACTACGCAACTCTAGTAGTTAAAGTGGCTTCTTGCGAAACCACAGCCTAGAACACAACCAAGCAGTTTGGGGAGATGAATGCAATTAGATTCTACTCGAGAATTTCCATGTTCGCGACCCAGTAAACCTCGGACAGAGATTAAGTCTAGTTTCTACTGGATTCGCAAGGTGGAAATCATTCTCTTGAACCTTAAGTACGAGGAGGGGAGAGTTCAGAGGGTTTGGAAGCCCACGGCTACAACCTCGCCACAACTCAATGTAGTTACTGGCCTTGTAGATATGTGTCATACCAGTCCTGAGTCCTAAGCAGCCAGAGATGGATGGAAGTCACGAGTCTTATTTCAGCCAAGGATCCCAATCCATAAGCAATAAGCTTATTCAAATGTTCTCATGAGTGAATGCTACACAGTATGAGACTATTCTGTTTAGTAAACGA